GGATTATATGGCAGATTTAAATAAATAGTGACAACCACATGCGACAAAATCAACGACATTATTTTCAAACTAACCACCTTTTTTAGTTTCACAGGAATAATGTCTTTTTCACTTCATCAGGCAAACAACATATCCATTGTTCGTTCCTTTAGCTTATTTGGTTTCAAACAATGGAAACATGAGTGTAATGGCATTGAATAATGGCTATTTTACAGAATAACATTGCAGAATCATCTAAACGACTGTCTGTGTTCATGCATATCATTCCTTAGATATCTACCTGCTGTTCATGCTGAAACCCAAGCCATTTTAGTTTTATCAACTGCTAACATTTGAGCACGCACGCTACTTGTAGTCGCGAAACAAGCCATCAGTGGAATTATCATGATTAGTGCGGGAAAAAGAGCGCTACTTCAAATAGTAGTCAACGTAAAAATTGCAAGTTCTGAGAATGCCTTTGATTACGGTACTATAAAGAATCGTCATTTGACGTTGTGAGAGACCCAAGAAGTTTATATATTTGATTGAACCTGAGCCATTTCGTTTTCAGTGGTAAATTTCTTTATCCGTGTGCACAGGATAAGATGGCTGACAACTGGATTTTCAAGGGATAAGAGAACGGTTGCTGCGTTGTGGTGTGTGCATCCCCACATTCTCTTTACACCATCGTTAATAAATACATTCCTGAACAGCCGTTAGGGCCATATTCTCCCATCCCTATTTGCGGCAGTGTTAAGAGTAGTCATGCAACCAGGTTAGATGGGCTAGGCCAACGAGTCAGCAGATGGTTTGGCCAAGGTGCAGATATGGCAGGATAGGTGGTCACACAATAATCATGAGCGTTATTTTTATCCCAAGCCGAATAGAAAGAGAGCTTGAACGAACTGGCCCCCTGCAAAATCCTGCATGTTTATTTATTTCGTTCTCGTGTTTTGGCAGAAATGCATCTTAAATTTTCAGTTGCAAAACGCGTGTCAGTCCAATTCTTGACTGCCGCACAGTGATATATTTAAAGGTACAGTGGCCTTCGAATAAATTAGGAGAACCACTAAGCAAAATTTCTCTTTCATCAGTTGTACTTGGAAATGTAACGCGTAGGCACATTGGCCTCTCTTGTAAAGGCACTTAACAACATTACAAAGGACCTCGTTCACAGTAATAGTGACACTTCCCATCTAAAACATTCAGAAATTGTAGGCTGACTTAATGTATGAGCTTAGAGACTTTAGATGATCTCCGATGAAGTAAAGGAAGACAATGTTATAAGTATAAAACCTGGGCACTGTGGTTGAACATAACTCCATTATGGATAAGATTTTATTTTGATAGATCACACAGTGTTGTACAGTAATATTAACTGATGACGTTTCGAGCATAAACTATTGCTCATAATCATATCGAGACAATGTTCAAATTTGAAATTAGATTTTCAGTGTGATTCTCTGAGTAAAAGCGGTGCCTGAACTCCAAGAATGCTGCTGAGATAAATATCACGATTCGCTTCGAGAAGAACCCTTATATAAGGCTTTAGTTCGCTATTAAAGGATAGTTTCTCAGCTGTTAACAGTGGTAAAATTCGGATCGGTGTTTACGTTGCTGGTAGGGGATGGGGCAGTGCTTAACTGCTATTCCATACTCCTTTACAGTTAAAAAGTAGGAAAGTTGCCCTCCAAACAGGTTTGTCCTGCATACTTTAGATTCGTTTGATATGTATCCATGATGATCGTGGATTAAACGACGTCATGCTGATATATTGGAGGACAACTCTCACCGAAAGCGAGAACTAAAACGCGATAGCCAAAACGAAAGAAGCAGCTGTTCCAAGCAGGATCGTACTGAAGCCGAAACGTTGAGTACTATGAGAGATTGTAGTGTCCAAGTGTCGACCCTCTACAAGGCAGCATGCTATGACTTCGTATCTAGCCAGTGATTAAGGAATTCGGAATGACGAGACTATTACTAAAGGAGGAACTACAAATTCTTTATAATCCGTAAGGCATTTTCAACACAACTACAATAGCTTTGATGGTGAAACCGGTATGGTTAGCACTATAAATTGCAAAATCGCATTACCATTTTAAGGGTTGCATACCTGCTTCTTTTGTATGGTCTGTTTTCATTCAGCTTTACTGCTTCGCCGGAAGTTCTGCTTTCCTGAAATACCCCTCAGTCGAATACGGATGTGGTATTTAATTGAACAGTGGTTAGCTAGTAGTCGAATGCAATAGGAAGACGAAGCGAAATTTAAGATGCCCACATAACCCTGTGCAAAAGCATTCCCATTTGACACTTGAACGGCACCAATCTGAGTACTTATGTTGTAAATCCACTACTACTACTATTGTTAACCTGCACCGATCGCTTCACACGATGGCCTGAAGCAGCACTCCTCAAGGATATATCTGCTGAAACCATCGCGCGCGTCTTCGTAGACAGATGGATCGCAAACTTTGGATGCCCATCTTCCATAACAACTGATCGCGGGCGGCAATTCGAAAGCGGTTTATTCTTCGCTTTGACTAAAATCCTTGGTTGCATGCGTTTTCGAACAACAGCTTACCATCCTCAAGCTAATGGTATGGTAGAACGTCTACACAGACAGTTGAAAGCTGGCTTATCAGCTGCAAATAACACCCATTAGACTGAATCCCTTCCGTTAGTTCTCCTAGGGATACGAAACGCTTTAAAAACCGATGCTGGTTGTACTACCTCTGAGCTAGTATATGGCACGACACTACGACTGCCGGGTGAGTTTGTTTCTCTCTCGAGCATCCCACCAGCGGTAGATCACACCTCATACGTCAGCAGGCTTACAAAAGCAATGCGTTTAGTTAAACCTGCTTCCCTCCGACCACAGTCCATAGATATCTTCGTTCACCCCTGTTTAAAAACTTCTTCACGCGTATTTGCTCGTCGCGACTCTGTGCGTCGCCCTCTAGAGCCCCCGTATGACGGACCATATAAAGTTATTAAACGTACTGATAAATTCTTCGTCTTAGACAAGAAAGGCCGCGAAGACACCGTCAGTATCGACCGTCTGAAACCGACTTACTTGGAAGGTAATCCTACTAGCCTAGAGCTAAACGTACCCGATAATCCACAAGTAATTGAATCTCCTTCAGTCTTCGAAGAACTCCCTAGCACAGCAAAAGCCACCGAAACTTCGGTCGAACACGCTAAGAAAACGCATTCTGGACGTCACGTTAGATTCCCAGAATACCTTCACACCTATTTCACATAACTGAGTGGTGCGTTTCACCCAACTCATTATTTCTCTTCAGACACATCAATTTTTTTATGTAGCATCACTTAACACAAGTAAACGATTTTTTTCCTATAACCGTACATCAAACATGCACTTAGAAAAAAATTAAATCAGATGTATATTTTTTTCCCGATATTTTGAACTTTACATTATTTTACTGTATAGTAGATGAACGTCTTTTTGGAAAAAAAGCGCTTATTTGGTACATTTTCCTCGACAAGGTTCTCAGCATTCTTGTTTTCTTTTCCAGGTGCAACGGGCACTGGACAGGAAACAAACGAAGCACCGGATCCAACGGACAACATCGAGTAAGCTATGTACAGACACCCTATTAGCATAGGCAGACAGACCAGCAGGCTCTCCATCAAGCCGCTCGGAAGTTTTTTTCACCCATCAGGGAACCATCCATATTTTTTTACTTCCGGCTGGTTATGTCTTAGGGTCCTCACAAACCCACTAGGGGGGGAGTGAGCTGTAGCGGTAAATAATTCCCCAAAATTATTAACCACAGCAATCATCACTCATCATTAGATGCTGACCCTCACTGTTTAAGTCGACTCGTTTAGCTGAAGGCTTCCGTTCAAGCGTCCCCGCCATTTGGTACTCCGTCGTGTCACGTGCGTGCACGATTACTAGCTAGATAAGCATTCACTTCTACCCGCGATTTTGTCCCGAAATATATTGCGTACTTTGGACGGCTAAATCTGGTTTTTTGCTTTATCTTTCGTACTCGAAGAGCGAACACTATAGAAGTTGTTGGTATAAGATCTTGCGTCAGTATAATCCGTACAACTCGCGAACGTCGATACCTGCATCCTCTAAACTATCAAAGGAATTAATAACTTCCGGGCATTCTACAGTGCGAAACGACATCATCTTTGCTCGTGTTGGTGAAAATGCTGCACTTTAAATCAGTCTGTCTGTGTGAAAAAGCCCTTTAAGTTGTCTGATTCACATAAATAAAGAAGCGTGGTAGGCCTACAGTTGTGTGGTCACTGCTCTTCACCCTTGTTTCTATGAATGCAAGCCACTGTAAACACTCACCGTATGTCTCCTGTCCTTAGTAAAGTTCTGAATCCCATCATTTACGATTTCAGAGATACCAAAACTACCTAACCTTGCTAGATGACTTGTCAAAAGCCTTGGTAAAACCTAAAAATACAGACTGCACTAGTGGCACAACCCTCATTAGTGCGACATTCCTGTGCAATCTAATTTTGATCAAGCAGGAATATTCTACCTGATCAAAAGTTTACTAGTACTGGCATGCCGATGTAAGTGTGCAACTTGAGCACTGTGGTAGAATGTAATTCCATATTAGATACCTTTATTTCAAATGTCACACACTGATGCAATGTTAATAACCATTGGGTCTTTAAGCCGACAAAGCTTATCTCCGAAGCGTCGGCTGGTTGTTATAAATGCCAGTGATTGGCAGTCCTACGTAAGAGGCTCACCTTGGATGTAGCTGTTAATATATATGAATAAAGTCCAGCGGAACTACTGGGTTTTACCGGGGTCAGGCTTCAGGAGCGATTTTAATACATTTCCTTCTCAACGTGTTGATGCCCTATTCTTAGATAGACCAGTGGAAATTCTGCTACGGCGCGTATAGCTTCATGATATATGCACAGGTGACTCATTAATATTCGTTATTTATTTCCCACACTTGCATAATAATTGATTTCCCGCATCTGCGTAATATTTCTGGCGCTATATAATTTGGTGTTCCCACCAAAGACTGTGCACACCGACGGTTAGCAAAGCTGTTTCTACGTCTTTCTAGCGTTTTATCATGATGTACACCTCTTATTGCTGTGAACTGTTTGCCATTTGTTTGACGGAGATTACGAACTTGTTCAAGTGCTCCGATTTCTTCCTTTTCTAAAGTTGTAATATCATCTTCATCGCATTCTTTACTGTTTTTTGTGGTTTGCTCTTCATTCGTTTTATCTCTATCATCAGGTAGTTCAGTTGTCTTAGCACGATTTATTCTACTACGATTTGGTGATGAACACGGTTTACTAAAGTCTAGACCCCAATATTTTGAACTATGCGTCCAACGAAAGCCAGTACACAGACCGAAATCGGCAAGTTTAATGTGACCTTCACGATTAATAAGAATATTGTCCGGTTTGATATCTCGATGTACAAATCCCATAGCATGAACACTTTGCAGTGCCAGTGTCAATTCAGCAATATAAAATCGTGCTAACGGTTCTTCGAAAATACCCTTCTTGATTAACAATGACATCATATCACCACCAGGAATGTATTCCGTAACTAAATAAAGTGCTCGAGAATCTTGAAATGAGAAAAACATTTGACTACCCATTCGTTATTTGCTTCAGCGAGAATATCTCTTTCAGCCTGTAAATGAGCCAGTTGTCGACGTCCTACAACATCACGTTTATTTAACAGCTTCATTGCATACAACTGATTATTATCCTTTTCACGTACAAGCCAAACCTTGCCAAATGCACCGACACCTAGATGCTTTATTCTGAAGAACATTCACTAGTCCATTTTTGCACGCTGCATACGCATATGATTTGATTCTTTTTTGCGAAGTAGACAGCGCATCTGTATTCGAGCAGTTTCGTCCAGACCAACCTTGGACATTTCAGCTTCAAGGCGATCACGTCTCTTTCCTCTCCCGGTGTATTCGTCCAACATCTGCCATTCTCTGCTCCATGAAACGTCGGTAGACTGCCGGATTAACAGGTTTAACCATTCGAAGCGTGTGTTGTTCTTGAGTTGAGTCATTATTGTCTTCTGTCGTTTCAGTCTCATGAATTTGTGGTGATGACTCTATCAATCCTTCTGCATCTTTCTTTGCCTTGCGTGCCCGGCGGTATTGTTGTTGTTGTTGACGTGCGATTAGGACAGATTAGCCAGCGCATTAGTTAGATTCGCTCGTAGTCTACAAGGTCCTCATTTTCATGCATAACAAATTTGGCGACGGGTTTGCTCAAGATGGACCCACTGCGTCTAGAGAAACTAATGGAACAGCAGCTAAAATTGATGGAAATGCTTGCTAGTCTACAGATATCACGCCCTGCCGATTCATCTACAGCCAACGACAGCATTGGTAGTAGCATGGAAATGCGTCAAGCAAGTACATTGGCCTCCTTCAAAAAGGTGCTTAATGACAAACTACAAGAGTTTGCAAACGATAATAGTTCTAGTTCCTATCTGAGAGCCTCCGAAATTATAGGTCCATTTAATGTATAAGCTTAAATACTACACCTGTTGTTTTTTTGCCTATATTTATAATTCTAGATAAAACATTAACGGTTAAGATACGTATCCTCAAACAGACAACAAATCTCGTTTGTAAAACTACTACCCAATACAATAAGTGGAATAAAATGGATATAAACCGGTAACATGAAAAAGGTATAACTCACCACAACATCACATGGACAGATGTACGCTCGTTGGGCACCATATATCCCTTACCAACTGCAACCCACCTTTTCTAAGATAATGTGATGAACTTATATCAATAATGCTGCTGCGAAGTTAATATTCTCAACTCCTGTCGGGACAGCTGAAATTCATAAACCTTCCTCACGCTAAGAAAATGCCCACAAACAGTAGAAATCCATTAATTAATGCGTCTGAAGCTTATGTATATTTACTTCCAACAATGACATTGCAGATCAAATGAGATAAACACATCACTGATTTCAAAATAACACATCAATGAACTACAGTTCGAGGACTCTGCACACAACAAAGTTATGTATGAATATTTACTTCAAGCTTTATTTTTTTTCCCAGGCACTTATGATCCATCCACCAAAGACCTGGTTTTTTTGTTAATGCGAAGACAATACTTCTGTATTTCCTGTTGTGTTGCACTCACTGACAATCTAGCAGATTTTTTCAACTTTGCACAGAAATGGTTGTATATAAGTGAAAAGGCTGTTTTATACTACTGGGATTAACATTTATCAAGTGTATATATAATCTCCAGCGAACATGTAAAGCATATCTTGCTACTGCCTGTAAATTGTGATTGAATTATATGGTTCCATTTCTGTAACAATTTGATGATGCCTGTAAACTGGCGTCCCTCATGTACTGTACCATGAGAATAAATTTATTTATTTATTTATATATCTCAGAATTCGTTTATGATCCAGATGCGAACGCGACTTTTGATACCTGGTTTCGCAGATATGAAGACCTATTTCGAGTAGACTTTGCGGATAGAGATGATGCCTGGGAAGTATAGCTTCTACTTCGCAAATTGGGAGCAGATGAACTGGATAAATATTGCAACCTAATTCTCCCACAGAAGCCCAGCGAAAGATCATTCGATGAAACTGTCCATACCCTTCGTCGTCAGTTTGGTGATCAGAGATCTTTATTCAACACTCGACATCATTGCATGAAACTAGTTCTGAACGAAAATGATGATATCCATACTCAATTGGGTATAGTCAATCGCACGTGTGAACGCTTTAAATTGGAATCGCTCTCAGAAGACCAGTACAAGGTATTGACTTTCATTTGTGGTTTGCATTCTCCCAAATTTGCTGATATACGCACACGCCTATTAAATCGTCTGGAACAAGATCCACGGATGACTTTGAAAGACGTCGGTGAAGAATATCAGCGTTTATTCAGCATTCATAACGATACCGTCTTGGTGCAGTCTGGCAGCCAAAATGCAGCAGAAATGCATGCGGTGCATCCAGTACCGTCGACATCAACCACACCGCTTCATCCTCAGCATAAACCACCATCAGCCTGCTGGCACTGTGGCTCCTGGCATTTTGCAAATTTGTGCCCAGTCAAACAGCATAAATGCCGTCAATGCCATACTGTTGGTCACAAAGATGGCTACTGCAAACGCAACAACCGACCCAGATTTCGTAGTCGACCCAGACGGCGCAACAAGCTCAAGTCCTTGGGTGTTACTGCCGCATATCATATTAGTACTCCAGGACCTCGCAAATATATCAATCTGACGATTAATACACGGCCGGCACGCCTACAAATCGACACAGCATCCGACATTACAATCATATCAAAGAAATTATGGCAGAAGTTGGGATGCCCTGCCATAGAGAAGACAAATCAGATAGCAATTAGCGCATGTGGTGGAAGACTTCGATTGAATGGAGAAATTAAATGCAGCGTTGGTTTTCGCGATAGTCATTTCGTCGGCACATGCTACATCAATAATTCAAACCTTGACCTCTTGGGTTTAGACTGGTTCGAGAAGCTGCACCTGTCAGAGATTCCGTTAAGCAGTGTATGCCATAAGATCGAAAGTATTGAACCCTCAACAAGAAAGCCAGAAATCAGAGACAGATATATTAGACCTAAGCCCATTAGAAAGAATGACGTCATTAATGAAAAACCAACTTCGAATCGTCATAGTGAGTATGTCTGCGCCAAAAGTGCTTCGATGTCTGGTAGCAACAAAGTAGCAACTGTTAGCTCCAGTAAGAGAGGCTCTGCTCAAAAACTGAAAGTGATGTCTGTCATGGCAGCCAAAGATCCGCCACCGAGAGCATGGCCCACGTCAAAACCATGGTCCCGCTGGGCCGATAGAGGGGATTTACTACTGGAAACCTTCAAAATACCACCAGTCAAACCAGAAGCAAAACAAGAGATGCTACCCAGCCGACGATCCCAGCGCAAACGAACACAAACTGTTCATTTCCAAATCGACTCCAAGGGAAAAAGATACTAAACTGTTTGCAAATTCCTTTTAAAAGGGGGAGGTGATATATACACAGGTGACTCATTAATATTCATTATTTATTTCCCACACTTGCATAATCATTGATTTCCCGCATCTGCGTGATTATTGATTTTAATAACTGAATTCCCATGGTTTGTTAATATTTTTAAAATGTGACATTGATTTTCCTAACTGTATAAATACGGAGTTTTTGTTTAACATTTTCGACTGTTGTTAGAGACAGTAAAAGCTCTCGTATCAACGTCCAGTCTTCTTTCTTTGTCTTGCGTGCTCGGCGGTATTGTTGTTGTTGTTGACGTGCGATTAGGACAGATTAGCCAGCGCATTAGTTAGATTCGCTCGTAGTCTAGAAGGTCCTTATAATATCTCATACATAACACAGCACGTGCCACATATAATGGCGCTGTGATGGAGTGATGCAGACAATATGTGCCAACGGAATATTATTCTCACATATCACCACAGTCTAATTCGGCATTGGCAAAAGTATACTGCGCATACGTGAACATTCTATTTCATGTCGTTTGATGTAAACCAAAATCACACGCTCAGAGATTGATTGAAGAATATTAACTTTATATGTATATATATCTATTGAGGAATAGTTGGCTGGATTGACCAGGAAGAGCTTTTCGTCAGATTATCACCAGCTAAATTTATCAGGCCGTAACTGACTGGAAGGGTGGGGTGTGGTTTCACTTTTCCAAATGACTTCTCTTCACCCGCGCCAGAAGTCTTTTGAGTTAGTCTTGTGAGTTCTCAACTATCTGTGAAATATATGCCTTCCTGGATTGGTAATTCAAGTTAAAGGCTGATTTCTGCCCCTGCAGTATTTTGGGCGGAAATGTTCCTACTCACTAGAGGTAGGAAACTTTCATGACCTTACTCTCTGCTAGAGGAAAGCAGTTTGCTGGCTTTCCAGAAATCTGTGTGGGAAAATTTCAGATGTAACGTATTTATGCGTTTATTCCGTGCATCATCAATGAACGAGTTGGTATTGACAGTTGACAGTCAAATTACATTTGTTTTTGGCTGCAGTATACTCACGTCAGACGTCGGAGTGAAACTAAGACCATACCCAAACTTAATTACTATTCCTTATGATAAACGATAACACCCCACGTTTATTATTAACTAATGGGGAACGAAGTATTTGCCTATCTAGGTTATCTGTGTCGCGCCTTAGTTACAGGATTAAAAGGGATAACCTTCAGTTAGGCTGGAGCATATGTGGCATGAAACATATTAAACTAAAGTGTTCGCCATAACAGTCGGGAGTAACCTTTATCAAATGTATCACTCAACTCCGCAGAAGAAAGAACTGCTCAATCTAAATACAGTGCAATAAAGTCCACATGAATACTGTAGTTGTTGGAGCTATTCAGTTGTCTTATGTGCTCTAATATGAAGTCATCACACTGATTATCTGGCCCGGTTAGCTCAGTCGGTAGTGCATCAGACTTTTAATCTGAGGGTCGGGGGTTCGAGCCCCCCATCGGGCGGCGGCTTTTGTGCGTCGGTGGCACAGTGGTTAGGACTCTCGCCGACCATGCACATGGTCCGGGGTTCGAACCCCTGCCGGCGCACACCCGGTATCTATGGTATGCCTGAATTTGGGCAACCGATATCCATGCTGAAAGTTCCACACTTGTACTGAAAATACGGTGTGGAAATCAAGCTGTAAATCAAAAAAAAAAAAACTTCCATGTAGTACTCCGACAAAGCTCATCTTCCAAGTGACCACTTCGCATGTCTTGCTTTTAGGGACTGTAGATTTCTAGTGACAGATAAAGAAGGAGGAGTCAATGCAAGGAATTGCTCTACTTCAGTCTTGTGAGAGGCGAATTCAGACGTGACACATTCAATGGCATTTCATACACAATTTCAGAACATTCTACTCCATTTGCTAGTAGAGTCCAGTCGAAAAACGAGCGTGGTTGGTGTGATTTACTGGTTAGACTCATGGAATGAACAGTTCTTGAGAGGGTTATCTAATTTAACAGATTTTTCCAGGTAAATAGTAATATATGTCAATATGGTATCCATATAAACAAAGAATAATGACTTAGCGCTGAACTTAACTCAACGAGCGTTATTCAGTTTAATGCGTTACTATGCCTCAGTCCTCGTTTGATAGGGTGGGGTTTTATTATTTCATTTTTTGACATTTATTATTTTATAGATTGCTAATCTCATTAATGAAGCATCTTTAACACTTTCAACTAGTGTTAAGGTAACTAATTTGCTTCAAGTGAAAGAATTGCTGATACATCGCGAAAGCTCATTGTTGGACAGCTTTTTTGAAGTACCTAGTTTTTCTCATAACTTACACTCTTCCTAGGAGGTTGTTAAATTTCAACATGATCCCAATTCGGAAGTTAAAAAAGCTGTAATCGGCTTCATCGAAGAAGCTTGGTAAGTATTTTTGCGGAAATTTATGAACCTAGATAGGCAAATACTTCGTTCCCCATTAGTTAATAATAAACGTGGGGTGTTATCGTTTATCATAAGGAATAGTAATTAAGTTTGGGTATGGTCTTAGTTTCACTCCGACGTCTGACGTGAGTATACTGCAGCCAAAAACAAATGTAATTTGACTGTCAACTGTCAATACCAACTCGTTCATTGATGATGCACGGAATAAACGCATAAATACGTTACATCTGAAATTTTCCCACACAGATTTCTGGAAAGCCAGCAAACTGCTTTCCTCTAGCAGAGAGTAAGGTCATGAAAGTTTCCTACCTCTAGTGAGTAGGAACATTTCCGCCCAAAATACTGCAGGGGCAGAAATCAGCCTTTAACTTGAATTACCAATCCAGGAAGGCATATATTTCACAGATAGTTGAGAACTCACAAGACTAACTCAAAAGACTTCTGGCGCGGGTGAAGAGAAGTCATTTGGAAAAGTGAAACCACACCCCACCCTTCCAGTCAGTTACGGCCTGATAAATTTAGCTGGTGATAATCTGACGAAAAGCTCTTCCTGGTCAATCCAGCTAACTATTCCTCAATAGATATATTAAGCAGTTTAATTTAAAAATGAGTGTTTTGTTTGTAGAAACATCGATGTTTTAGTCTGTGACTTCCGTTACGTAACTGCTTTAATTTCCATCGCTTTAATAGGAAGTGTTGTATACCTAATGTACCTGAGTTGCGTCGACTTGTGTGGACTAACTTCTAGGCGTTATCTTGCGTAATTGTTCTCTTTAAATATATACTTTTTTATTCCTTTACGTTCGCAGTGGAACATAGTGCTTCAAGCTAGAGGCTTGGAAGTTTCGGTTGCAGTGTTGTTTATTCTTACAGGATGGAGTTGCTAGCCCCATGCCCAACCTTCCCTCTTTGCCAGTCTTATTACTGGCTTATCGAGGTCAAGGAGTGCGTCGGTGGCCGGGGATCGAGCCTTGAACCACACTCGTGGTTGGCGAGCATTCTACCGCTGTGCCTCCGACTCACTTTATGTATATATATATCTCCGAAATAATAATTAAGTACAATCTGGAATATGTTAGAACTTACGTTGTATTTTACTTTCTATAGCGATTGCTTCAGCAAACTTTAGGAGAACTAAACCATTTTGTGTATTGATAATTCTAAAGGATTTTGCACCCTTCGCTCCAAAAAAGTGACAAATTCAACACGAATATGATAAGCGATTTCGGGTAAGGAGGCGAAATCAATAGACGAGGCTGTGAAGCAGCTGCATAGATTAAGATAGTTAAGACATGTGTTACACATACAAGCCTAGTCATCGCCTTCCTCGACGGGCAATGTTAGCTGACATAGGGTCAGGCTGGAAAAGAGCCAGTGGTGGTCAAACGAAAACATGGTTTCATCAGTCAATGAAATCTTTGACAGTTAGTTTACGCCACGTAGGAAGGTGCAGACTTCCTGTTTGGGGTCCTCGGGACGGTAAAAACCAATGAAGGCTGTAGACAATTGTTGATACAGCTCAAAATCGTTCTCAATGACTGACGCAGACGCATCCACTCCCTGTGACTTATAATTTCCACTGAAACTATATTGTTCTTCGTTATTACTATTCATTTGTCTCATATCCCTGTCTACTGTCTCTGTTTTGCATTTCTTTTTACTTTCTTCTCTTGCTTTTTGTGCTACATGGAGGGAGTGTGGTGACTTGAACTGCTTCATTTCGGTACAAAGTTCTGTAGTGAAAACAGACACACATCTTAATTAGTTCACATTCACTTGACAACGTGAAAGTTATTTCTGGTTTAATATTACTTTGATGAATGATGATGATGTTTTTAAACTCCTTTGCATTTTGCGTGGAAAATAAGACTTCAAGATTGAGCTCTGATGTTCGGTAGTAGTGATGTTCATATTTTATGGGGTTGCTAGCCTCATGCTCAACCCTTTCTCTCCTTGCCAGGGTACACTACTGGCTAAGTGAGGTCTAGGAGTCTGTCGGCTGGGAATCGAACTCCGGAGGCGAGTATTCCACCACTGAAACACCGAGGCTTAAAAAAACCCAGAGAGTACTGGATAGCAGTTCCACCATCCTGGTGCTTGGAACTCTTCAACAGCACTATGCAACCAAGACCTACAAACCGAGCTCGTACAGCATTCAGCTACTGGTATAGTACTGAAGCTATTGGCAGCACTAAATAGCCAAGCATCAGTAGAAACACTAATATCGTTTTGTTTTTCCATTCATTAGGAAATACAAAAGCTTTTATATTAGAGAATGTTTATTTCTCAATTTAATTTTATCTGATATTGTGAAACATGATTTGCCTTTGTGTCCTGCCCCCGACCCCCCGTCCTTAATCTCTGTTTTTTTCTTCTTTTTGCATTTTACAGTCGTGTTGATACAGGTCTACTGAAAAGAGCAGTAGGCTCATTGTTCTATCTCTTTTCTACAGCAATACAACAAGAACCACCATCTATCAGTCTATTAAAGCGTCTTATGTCATCAATGATCCCGATCTATCGTACTGCATTATCATGTGCTGTTAAAGTTGGTATCATTGATTCTGGTGTAGCAATTGGCAGTGGAATTGGAATCACTGCCAATTCAACAGCTGATATCGCCTTGGAAACATTTCGCAGCTTAGCTGGACTTAAAGATGAACTTGTCCGGTTAATGTTACCAATGGAAGTATCAGGAACATCAGTTTTTGGTCAATATCATCCTTCAATCTTGCATAATGATGTTATACGAATTCAAGCAATTAGCCTAATTGAAGTTAGTTCATGTTTCTTTTAATTATTGTTTCTTTTATTTTGCTATTTGTTATGTCTGTCATCAAAGTGTTAGTTGCATGAATTTTGAGTGGGACTGACTAACTGATTGACTGAATGGTTTCATCATAGAACTTTGTACAGGAGTGTAGCACTTCAACTTACGACACTCCATGTCCCACACCAATGGAAAACAAAAGAAGGAAATAGAAGAGATTCGAAGGAACAATAGTAAGCAGGCATATGAGTGAGAAAGAATAGTAACGTGGAAATAAAAAATGAAGGTTTATTGGATATTGGAGATCACAAAGAGTGAATGCTATAGGACTGGGCTACATTAACTCCTAGATTAGAAATAGACAGGAGTGAAGTGGTTGGCGGGGAGTGTTGATCACTTCACTTACTTGGGAAGTTGCATCAGCCAGTGCCAACGGGTTGATCTCCGACGAAATCTCAGCACGAATACAGAAGGCTCGTTCCGTATATGCTAGTTTACGCCGTCTCTGGCTTAGTAGACGTGATATACGGCTGGCTTTCGACCGAATGGCGTGTATGCTGCTCAGCAGTCCACTCCGTTCTCCTTAAGGGCTGCGAGAGAGAAATGGCCATTGAAAGTGGAAGACATAAAGTGGTATAATAGGGTGAGCAATATTGAGGTTAGGCATCGGTCGAGTGCTAGGTAAGGAGGGAGGGGATATCAACAGACGAGGCTGTGAAGCAGCTGCATGCATTGAGATGGTTAGGACATGTATTATACATGCAAGCCTAGCCATCACCTTCGTTGACCGACAGTCAGTGTTAGCTGACATAGGGTCAGTGATCAAACTAAAACATGGCTTCATCAGTCAATGAAATCTTTGACAGTTAATTTAAGCCAGTCACGTAGGAAGGTGTGGAATTCTTGGCTGTTTGGGGTCCTCGAGACGGTAAAGACCAATGGCTGTAGACAATTGGTGATATGGCTCAAAATCGTTCCCAATGGCTAGTGAAGATGCATCCACTCCTTTTGACTAATACTGTCCAATAAAACTATTGATATAAGTATAAAACTTGTGCACTGCAGTACAGTATAATTCCATTATGGATAAGATTTTATTTTGATAAATCACACAGTGTTGTACAGTAATATTAACTGATGACCACGTTTCGAGCACAAACTATTGCCACTGATAATTATATCAAGTCACTCACACAAACAAACACATGGTGTAGCAATGGGATGGGTCACCAATTTCCCCTATCGTAGCAAATATCTTTATAGGCAGCTGGGAAAATATTGCTCTCAATACATTTAATCCTACTCCAAAAATACGGTGGAGGAGATGTGAATGACACTTTCACAGTGTTAAAAACAGAACATCTCTCTCTCTCTCTAGCTTCTTCACACACACATAAACTCACTAGTAAAGGGAATACAATTTACATTTGAATTAGAAAATGAGCAAGGAGAATTAGCCATGATGTTAGATTGTAAAATCAAACGACGAGAAGAAGGGAAAATGCACACTAGTATTTATAAAAAACAACACATTCTAATAAGTATTTAGACTTTAATTCATCTCATCCGTTGTCCGTAAAGGCACGCTTAGTTAAGTGTCTAGCAAACCGAGCAGTAGTACTAAGTAGTACAACGAGAAACCTAAAAGATAGAAGAGGCGTTGGTGTTAAATAACTAACTATCCTATACAATTCATTGGAAAAAATAAAAAAGGTCGAAAGCTAAATAAAAAATTGTGATGAAACTAATAATGATAATATAAATAAGAGGGAATATAAGACATCTTCCGTTTTGCTATATTAGGAGGGCACATCTGAGACCCTCCTTACGTAGGGTTCTTAATAAAGCAGGAATTAGGATGGCATTCAAGCCAAACTTACTCAGAGATAAGATCTGTAGGCTAAAGGACCCTGTCACTTGACCCAATTAGACAAAATAATATACTTCATAAAATACCTTGGAATGACTGTGAGTTAAGTCAACTACATAGGTCAGTCAAACTGGGAGATCAGGCAGGAGTAGTGAGATTATCAGAACATAAGAATTTAGCTAAGGTTACAATGACTGATCCCACAAAGATAAGTAATTTAGAAAAAACTCAGCAGTAGCACTGCATGCATTAACACACAATCACACAATAGTGTGGGACGGACGGAGTTAAAATTCTAAGAAGTAATATGGGTTGATGGAGAGACAGAGAGGTTGATTATTTACTGAATCCTGGTTCATCGAGTTTACACATACAACAGAAATGACTCAACGCAAATACCAGAGATATGGAAGATATTATTACCACCAGTCAGTCAAATCAGAGGAGGATAGTAAATAATCTTAAAATGTATTCAATTCACATTATAACATTCTAACAAGTTATTTAGTTATTTTACTGTAAAAACATCTTATTTCCCATCTGATTGCAATTGATAAATAACACTCATACTATTATTTCTGAGAGCACATTATTCTATATTGATTTTTATTCAAATGTCTTATCGTCGGTTTCACTCATGTATATAAATGAAGCAAGAAAGTTATGTGAGTGATACCTTGATATGATTATGATTGGCAATAAATTGTACTCGAAGCATGTGGTCATCAGTAAATATTACTGTATAATACTGTGTGATTTGTCAAAGTAAAATCTTATCCATAACGGAGTTATCCAAGAAAACTATATTGTTCTCCCACATGACTATTCTTTTTGCCTCATATTTCTGTTTATCATCTCTCTTTTGAATCTCTCTTTACTCACTTCTCTTGACTTGTATGCTAATTGAAGTGTGGAGACTTGAACTGCTGCACATCAGTGCAGAGGTCTACGTTGAAACCAGTCAGTCAGTCAATCAGTCTTCGCCAGTCATTGAGAACAATGATTTTGAGCCATCATTGGTGCTTACCATCATCCCGAGGATCCCAACCAACCAGAAAGCAAGTCTACACCTCCCTATGTGGCCGACTGGCTGGTTTAAACTAACTGTTATGGATTTCACTGACTGATGAAGCCATGTCTTGGTTTGACCACCACTAGTAGCTCTTTTACAAGCTGATTTATCTTCTGTCAGTCAGCTAACATTTAACGTCGAGGGAGGTGATAGCTTGTCATATGTAGCACATATCCTAACCATTGATTGATTTTCTCTCCTTACCTAACACTTGGCTGAAGCCTAACCTCAATATTACTCACCCTATTACACCTATTACTTAACACAGGAAATAGGATGGAGACACCATCTATGGTCAAATATTTGAGGGTAGCATAGGGCAGGGCTTCAGTAACAGAATGTATAGATCTTGGAAAGAGATGTAAAATTATAGGTTTAGTAGACAATTAAAACATTACGTAATACATAATGTGAAGTGTTGAATAAGGCAGAGTTTAACACCGCCAAAAATTTTTTTTATTTAAAAAATAATAATTGGGATAATTTGAAATAATGCCAGAAAATGTTCAAGATGGAAACAAAAGTGATAACAGTTGTGGTAATAAGGGAAACGTACATAGACTAAATAAACAAATGTTTATGTCTCTACGGCTAAGGTGTTAACAAGGACCGTACGTGCTTATTTGTACACGAAGGCCTAGCTTGAGTTGATGAATGGTTAAGGCATCCTCTGTTTTTAGAAGCTTACAACGAAGAAAACGTGGCAAGTTAGCATGAATTGGATAGACGATCTTAAAACCATGTTCGTGGTTGGTAGTCACACACTCTTCGCACACTTTCTCCGTTGTGAAGACATACTGGAATGTGTTCTCTTATCCGTGTAGAAAGCATTGTCTAGCCACGATCTATTTACCCTGCTCCACAAGAGCAGGTGAACTGGTAGATTCACATGAAGGTAATCAGGCGAAGTAGCTTCGCACACACTTCCTTTCTCCCTTGTAAAACCATTCCGGAATATCTTCTCGTATCCGTGTGGAAAGCGTCCTCTGGCTGCTACCGATGTACCTTGCTCTACAGGGGCAGGTGAACTTTTATAGATGCACATGGTGGCGGCCGAACGATGGAGCTTATCTTTTACAGAGACAAAGAACAACTTACGACTGGTGAATGTCATTTGTAATTTTCCAGTAAAGAACGTCTTACTGACTGATTTAGACCGACGATATTTGAGCATATATCTGAAGCTTGATGTTCATCACTTTTGAATTCCAAGTCCATGAGTATGTTTTTCTTTGGAAGTGAGTCAGTGACCTGTTCGGATTGCTTTTTGTCAATAAATCGTCTCGAGTAGCCGTTTTCTGCAAGCGTAGCTCTTAGGAAACAGAGTTCTGAATCAACGCAATCAGAGCTACAAATGTTTCTTGTCCAAAAGCAGAACTAGTGGATTAAGTTCCTTTTCCTGGAGATAGGCACCCAACCATAAAAATCAGTTAGTTGTCCATTCCATGTACGTTTCCTGTGGATGGATCTTTTGGAGAGATCCGTCATTACATGTACTAAGGCGCAGTTGTTGAACGCAAACAAGATATCATCAACAGCTACGTTCTTATCGCGGATAACGAAAGTGTCATCTACGTAGCTTCTATAAATGTCAAAGTGACTGATGCTTCGACCAAGTTGAGTGTTTTCAAGCCTTCCCATAAAACAATCAGCCAGTGGTGATCCCATCGCAATGCCGTCTCTCTGTCTAAAAATTTCATTATTGAAGCTGAACTGAACGTTGGACATCCGTCTTAATAAGAATTCGTTCAGGTAGATTGTTGGCAACCCTATGTCATTAAACTGTGTACAGCAATATTAATCACATTTCACCTTATACTTTTAGTATTCACACCTTTATTTAAATTTCCTCACGAGACAAAGTTTGTTAATAAACTCATTGAAAAGAGTTTCTTCGCTGAATACTGTGTTCTTATTAATCCATTATTGTTATTCCTTTTTTAGAGTGTAATCATTTTACACTCTCGTCGACTACCCAACTCTGAAATCCCACGTGCCAATGAAGGTGATATATCCTTAGATCAGATACCAGCGCTTACAAATACCCAGTTACAGTCTATCCTAGAGGCGAGTACAGCCGCATCATCAGCTACTCTTCTTCCCGGTGTCTGCTTAGTTAGACCGCATCGATTGGCAGAGGAAGCTGAACGTTTATTTGCAGGTTTATCAAGTTGGCCAGTGCGTGGAAAGCCTAGTGTTACTGCAGGATCAGTTACTTGTCCAGTAGTTGAAGCAGTAATGGATTCATTAGTGAATATTGCAAAACAAAGACCACAATTTATGGATCGTGTTGTACAAGCATTTGAAACAGTTCATGGTAAGTATTCATTCTTTTGTATTAATTATTTACTATGATTTCTTTCTTTGGATTCTGAGTGGGACGTAGGACTCCAACAGTACATCTCCATTTCGTTCCGTTCTTTGTAGTCCTCTTCAACTGACCACACGACTACTCATAAGCTTTCATCGATTTGCATGATGATCTGTGTGTCATCTATGGACAGCCAACTCATCGTTTCCCGTTCGGGCTCCACTCGAACGATGGCCTAGCAAGCGATGTCATTGGATGGTCTCCTCAGCATGTGTCCCTGTGTCCATCTCCACTTTCTTCTACATATTTGTTGGACAGTATGCTCCTGATTGGTTCGTTCCCAAAATTTCTGGTTACTTATTCTTTCTGGCCAGCCATCTGATCTTCAGTAAGGAGCCAGCGAAGGTAGCAGCTGTTGATAAAAGTCTCTGGCTTGTTTGAAATACTTTTTATGACGCGTCAAGTTTCAAATCCACATAAAAGAACTGTCTGACTTAACATTGCTGTTGAAAATCCGAATTTCTTCCTTTATAGTGAGTGAAGCAGATTTCCAAACTGGTTTCAGGTCGATGAAGATGTATCTTATCTTTCCGATCCTGGCTAAGCTTTGACATAAACTGACATCAGATGTGAGGACAAATACTCGCCACGGATGACATTCGCTAGTGGTCGCGTCATATCATGAATTGGCAGAAGTTGGAATTCATGCACTGGTCATTGGATCGGATCCCAGGGGCTTAATGGTCTACAAGCTCACGTTGTAACCAGTGGGTGCGTAGTACTGAAGAACCCCGAACTAGGGCGAAACATCTGAACAGTACTCATAGGTTTCCCCCAATGATCCTCTAACCGTTGTGAATTCATGATGAAATCCCCGAAACCAATTAAATCCCTGCAAACCAACACTTCAATACAATAGTAGTCGTTAAGATGCTCATATACCTAACTCATAAAAAAATGAATGTTAAAGGGGTGGTGTTGTGTCGATTCCCCAATTCTATTATTAAATTATTATTATTGTTGTTCCCTTGAGTTCCTAGTGGAACATATGGCTTCAACTACACGTCTCCACTTGCTTCTATCTTCCGCTGTACTTTTCACTTGCATCCATGTTAGTCCATGCTGTTTCAACTCTTCTTCACACGATCTCCTCCATGTCACCCTTGGACGTCCCACTCGCTGCTTCCCTTTCGGGTTCCACTCGAGCTATGGCTTGACGCGCGATGTCACCCAACGGCCTCCTCAGCGAGTGTCCGATACATCTCCACTTTCTCCTGCATATTTGTTGGGCGATTGGTTCTTGTTTTGTTTGTTCCTATACTTTCTTGTTGGTGATTCTTTCCGGCCATCTGATCTTCAGTATAGGGCGAAGACAGTTGTTGATGAAGGTCTGAAACAGGCTGTTGGAAATATTCTTTGTGACCGGCCAAGTTTCTGATCCGTATAGAAGAACTGACTGACTTGATGTTTGTATTGAAAATCCGAATTTTGTTGTTGATTCAGGCTGAGTTGAGTGACGAAGATTTCCAGATTGGTTTCAGGTTGATGAATATGTTTCTTAACTTGTTAGTAATTGTTTCACTGGGCACGTCACGCTTGAATTACAGTCGTACATATATAAGGCTTTTTATTTACAGATAGAGAATAGTCCTTTTCTGCTTTTTTGCTCATGTGTTTCTTGATGAAGTTTTCTGAATAGCTATTTTCAGTAACCTCTTCTGAGCACATAGCTCTAACCAGGTGGCTGAGGGTCCTTTCTAAATTTCTTTTCTATTGGAGGGGAACAAAGCTATGAAAATGTGTATATTGTCCTGTCCATGTGCTTTTCACATGCAAATTTCATTTTATACTACCACCTGGTTTCATTGTAAGAAAGACATCTAGGAAGGCAATTCATTCTATTTTGGGTTTCCTCTTCACAGGTGAATTTCATAGCACAATGTACTTCATTGAATTCAGTTATTATTGTGTTCCTATCCTAATCATTTTCAGAAAGAATGAAGGTGTCATCCATGTACCTACTGGAAATCATTGAAATTTGACATTAAATGTTATTCTGCTACCTCGCAAACTAGATTTCAAGTCAAAAGCACTTAAGAAGTGTGGCCACATGGCAAGTGCTTGCTCTTTGAACTGAGATGCATGAAACAAGTCTTTCAGTTATCAGATTGTCAGGGATACTCCTAGTATGGAAGCTGGTGATACCTATCCAGTTAACCTGGCTTGAAGAAGGTGAGGTGGGATTTGAAATCCAAGATCCATTGTCTGAAAGTTGGTTGTTTAAGCCGATGAGTCATGTCGCCACTAATAATGGGTGGTGTTCGGAGGGCAAATGAAAATCTGGGTCGGTGCAGGAATCATACCGATGACTTTCGAACTACTAGTCCTTCATTGAACCAAATGAATTACCAGAGCCAACCACCTGGTACTCGTATTGTGTTTCTTTGTACTCGTTCCTATCAAATATATATTTGGATAAACAGGTATTACTGTATACTGATAGACGGACTGACTGGTTTCAACACAGAACTTTGCACAGAAGTGCAGTATTTTGAGTTGCCACTCTTCATGTAGCACACAAAGGAGAGTGAGGGAAAAAGAATAGTAATGTAAGGGAGTAGAGTAGAGTTTTATTGGACGTGATAAATCACAAAGGGTGAATGCACCTGTATCATTGAGAATGATATTTAGCCATATCACCGATTGTCTCCAGCTGCCACTGGTTCTTACAACCATCCCGAGGACCCCAACCAACCAAGAAGTCTACACCTCCCTACGTGGATGGCTTGCTTTAACTAACTGTTATGGATTTCATTGATTGATGAAGCCATGTTTTCGTTTGACCACTACTAGTAGCTTTTTTCCAACCTCATCGATCCTATGTCGGCTAACATTGACTGTTGGTCGAGAGAGGTGATGGTATTACTATATAAGCCTTCATTATTCATCTCTGTTTGAACTTTTTCGATTGAGTAAATGCCGTAATCAAGTTAATCTCTTCTCAAGTTATAATGTATTATTTTGCTTTTGTTTTTAGTAACTTTACCGCCTCATTTCTCGGATAATCAAGTTAGTTCTGTAAGAAAAAAGTTAAAAAATGGTCTACTACAGTTACTACGACATCCAGCAGCTGTATCTGATTTCCAAGGCCGAATCACTATATTACTAACTGATCTTGGTGCTACTCAAGCAGAAGTAAGTGCAGATTTAACGATTTTTTGTGAGTATATAATTCAAGTATGTTTCATTCCCTTACATTTCGAGTAGAGAACATATAGAGAGGACTCTTCAAGCCTGAGTTTTGAGGTTTCAGCAGCTGTGGTGGTGGGTTCTCTAGTGATGCTCACACCCCAATCATCTCCTCTTTACTGGGTTTATTGCCCGCTAACCGAGATTCAGGGGATGCTTCGATGCACCGAAGAATCAATCAACTTCCACAATGTGGGCAGCCGGGAAGTAACAAACAGTCACACACTTCCAAAGGCACACGAAGCCCTCCTGAGCATCATTGAAGTTAGGGGAATCGAACTACAGATCGTGTACATGGGTTGGCAAGCACTGGTATTATCATTAGTCCCTAAACGTCAAATGTATGACTCATAGGTGCTGGGTTACTGAGCTTTAGGTTATAGTTCTAGCTTATTTAAGGTGTTGTTTGGATAGAATTATGATTGTCCCTGATAATTTTTTCTTATGAAACCGTGTTAATGAAGACCAGGACTTCAGGTGAACATAGAGAAGACAGAGGTGATGAAGGTATATCTGACAGTCATTGGTAGAAACAAGCACCAATCACCATTAACAAGAGTAATTTAAAGGAATTAGGTCTCTTTCACTCATGGACTGGGCAGCGGTGGTTCGGATGAGGGGATTTCAAAGCCAACTACGATCATATAGAGGAAGTATAAGAAGTATTGATTACTTTGAAATTAGTGTGAAGGTTCACAGGATAATAAATAATGTTAAAATGTATTTCAATTCACATTTCACATAACATTCTAACAAGTTATTTATTTATTTATTTATTTTATCATAAAGACATCGTATTTCACATCTTATTGACTAACAACACTCGTCTAATTTCCCAGCCTATTGTATTTGATTGATAACACTCGTATAATTATTTCTTAATGTACATTATCTTATATTGATATTATTCAAATGTCTAATCGCATCAATTTTTACTCATGTGTATAAATGAAGCAAGCAAGTTGAGTGAGTAATGACTTGATATGATTACGAGTGACAATGAACTGTGCTCGAAGCGTGTGGTCATCAGTAAATATTACTGTATAACCACACTGTGTGACACTTTATGGAAATAAAATTTTTTATCCATAATGGAATTATACTCTACCACCACAGTGCCCAATTTCTATCTTATGTAAATAATCCTTTTCAATTAAATCATCATCATCATCTCTGGCTCTACTCTAATACCATACACAATGAATTTACCAATGAAGTGGCGATATGTTTCTTAACAATAATTGTAGATAAGATTTTATTTTGATAAATCACACAGTGTAATACAGTAATATTAATTGATGACCACACGCTTCGAGCACAATTTATTACCACTCATAATCATATCAAGGCACCCCTCACTCAACTTTCTTGCTTCGTTTATATACCTGCGTGGAAATGATGATTAGACATTTGAATAAAATCAATGTAAGATAAAGTACATTCGGAAATAATAATATTAGTGTTATCAATCAAATACAATCGGCTGAGAAATAAGACGAATGTTTTACAGTCATAATAAGTAACTTGTTAGAATGTTATGATGTACGTGAATTGAAATAGAAATTTGAGATTATTTATTATCCTCTTCTGATTTAACTGGTGGTAATAATATCTTCCATATCTCTGGTATTTGCGTCGAATCATTTCTGTTGCATGTGTTGGATGTAGACTCGATGAACCAGGCAGGATTCAGTAATCACAACCTCCCTGTCTCCACCTACCTATATTACTTCTTACAATTTTAACTCCGTCCGTCCCACCCTATTGTGTGATTGTGTGTTAATGCATACATGCAGTGCGATTGCTGAGTATTTTTCTGAAGTACTTATTTCTGTGGGATCAGTCACTCTAACCTTAGGTAAATCCTTACGTTCTGATAATCTCACTACTCCTGCCTGATCTACTAGTTTGACTGACCTGTGTAGTTGACTTAACTCATTGCAAGGTATTTTGTAAATTATATTATTTTGTCTAATTGGGTCAACCTACACGGTTCTTTAGTCTACAGAGCTTGTCTCTGAGTGAGTTTGTAGGTTTGAACGCCACCCTAATTCCTGCTTTATTAAGAATCCTACGTAGAGAGGGTTTCAGATGTGCCCTCCTTATATGGTATGACTGTAGATGCTTTATATTCTCTCTTATTTATGTTATCACTATTAGTTTCATCACAATTTTTTATTTAGCTTTTGACCTGTGTTGATCTTTCTAATGAATTTTATAGGATAGTTAGTTATTTAACACCAGCCAGTTATTCTTCTATCTGTTTAATTTCATCATTTAGGTTTTTTGTTGTAATGTGTTATAACTATAATGAATTAAGGTGAAACCCCGTCGTCAATTTGTTATAACCGTAGCGGAATTAAATGAGGACGTTGTCGCCTTGTTCTGTCTGCGCCTGACTTATATGCCTATCTGCTTCTGGTACCTTCCGATTCAGCGAACAATAACAAAATGCGTGGGAAATGATGATATACCACTTATGCGAGATTAACAGTCGTTAAGATAATAGAACAGTAACAAAGTGTGTGGGATCCTATCATACAGCTTAGTACTACTGCTCGGTTTGTTAGGCACTTAGCTAAACCTGCCTTTGTAGATAATGGATGGGATGAATAAAAGTCCAAATATCTATGAGCAGAATGTGTTGACTTTTTATAAACGCTAGTGTACAGTGTAATTTCTTATATTCGATTTATTTTACAATGTAACATCATGGCTAATTCTCCTTGGTCATTTTCTGATTCAAATGTGAATTTTATTCCCTCTATTAATGGCGACAGATCGATAGTCTGTATGATAAACAGCCAATCAATATTATGTGACCTTTTTTGTCGCGATTATTGGTCAATTAATGTAACTTACACCACGTGATGGTGACCTTGAATGTTCTTTTTTGTCTGTCACTCTATTTGTGTATACATGTAATTAATTGACTGTTCATTTTGTCCGTACCCTCAATACTACTGTTCGGTACGTTTTTGTCCTTTTTTTGTAATGACAGTGGATTTGTACATTTTTCTTGGTGTAATTGTATGATTTATTTTATGTTTTAGAAACAGATAAAGTTAAGTCAAGTCATCCTGTTTTTAACTATAGCTAAGCCGAGACTCTGTATCGTCAGTATTGAGGAAAGAATAAATCTGTAGGTAAAAAATAATCCTACAAAACGTATTACCGTGGTAGATTCAGTGTGATGACCATCTCATTTTGTACACAGAGGCCTGGTTTATTAACTCCGATGGCACAAGCCTCTGTAACTGCAAGCATCTTCCTGTTTCTTTGTCTGCTGACAATAACAGTGAATGACTTGACAGCGTCGATATCATGTCCATAGTCCACAGTCCACAAGATGTTTCGTTATTGAGGTTCTTGGCACTTTGTGTTCAGCTGTTTTCGATCATTTTGGCAAATGCTCCATCATGCGATAAGTAGACAATCGCCTTTCTCTACGTACGACCTATGTATTTGCTTCCAAAAACACACTTAAATTTGTGTGTGTATGTGGGTGACAACCCCTGGTACTGCATAACTCTGAGTCCTAGACTAACTAGCCATCTTTGTGACTACTATCCTGGTTTTGTTTTTAATATGTTAAAATATGCTAACTCTCCCACCCCCTCCTTACCTGCATGTTATTTTCCATCTTTAAGGTATTACAAGCATTGCAAAGTCATACAGAATTATCACGTTCACGTCTTTATCCAGATCCAAGTACATTTATGGTTAGTCGTACAGGACCAGTTTCTTTAGATCATGGTGATGTCGATATGCGACAGCAGCAGCAGCAGCAACAGCAACAACAACAACAAAAACAGCAACTTCTTCACCAACAATCAATACCTCCGGTTACACAAGCTTCTTCATCCACTGTTGTTTCTACAACCAGTCATTCAAGTAATATACCGCCAACTGATATGAAACTATCCTTCAGTAGTAGTCAGTCACAAGGCACTTCATCAACAACAGCAGCAACAACAACGACACCATCAGCAACTGCAGTAACCACTTATACAGATTCTACACTCACAGATTCTACCAAGTTACAAACAGAATCAACATCAAGTCAAAAGGATGCACCGACAACTTCTGGTGGATTTACATTAGCTGAGGTTAGTTTTACTTGGATAAACAAATGGTTTATATTTGTGAGTTCCGATATTATGTTGAGTGTATTTTCTTTTGTGATCAGCATTCCCACTTTCTTGTGTGTGTATGTATGTGGAGACGTCGTTCATTGGTTCAGGCAATGGATTTTTGGGTTAGAACCCTGCATCGTCTTTTTCTGCCCTAGGTAACTGGTTAGTAGTAGTAACTGGTTAGTAGTAGGCTACAAGCCACATCTATTCAGCTGTCACTGAATAGATGTGGCTTGTAGCCTAGGATCAGTCCGCTCCGTCCTCCTATAGGGCTGTGAGTGAGACCTGGCCATTGAGAGTGGAAGACATGAAAAGGCTGGCTGGCTAGCTGTCTTTGATCATAGGTGCCTGTGTTCTATCTCCCGTGTCAGGTGGTGGTATAATACGGTGAGCAATATTGAGGTTAGGCATCGGTCGAGTGCAAGGTAAGGGGGGGGGAGGAATCAATAGTCGAGGTTGTGAAGCAGCTGCATAGATTGAGATGGTTAGGACTTGTGTTACACATGCAAGCCTAGCCATCGCCTTCCTCAATGTACAATGTTACCTGACATAGGATCGATGAGGTTGGAAAAGAGTTAGTGGTAGTGGTAAAACCAAAATATGTCTTCGTCAGTCAATGAAATCCATAAGAGGTAGTTTAAGCCAGCCAGTCAGCCACGTAGGAAGGTGTAGACTTCTTGGCTGGTTATGTTCCTCGGGATGGTAAGAACCAATAGCGGCTGGAGACAATTGTTGATGTCTCAAAATCGTTGTCAGTGGCTGGTGAAGATGCATCCTGACCCTTGTCTTCTGTCGTTACAATATGAATCAAACTTGTTCTGTCACTGGTGCAGATGCTCATACACTCTTTGTGATTTTCCAAATCCACAAAACTGGCATGTTTTTCCATGTCACTGCTCTTTCTTCATATTTCTTTTTACTTTCGTTCTTTTGGATATCTTTTTCTCTCGTTTATCCTCTTTTGTGTACTACATGCAGTGGGAAAACTCGAAATGTGCTGCACTTCTATGCAAAGTTCTATGTTAGTCAATCAGTCAGTCAATCAGTTTTTTTTCCTTCACGTTTCCAGTGGAACATAGGGCCTCAAGCTAGTGGCTTGAAGTTTCTGTAGTAGTGTTTAATTTTTACAGGATGGGGTTGCTAGCCTCATGCCCAACCTTTCCTCTTTACCAGCATTACTTCTGGCTTAGCGAGTTAAAGGAGTGCGTCGGTGGCCGGGGATCGAACCCCGGACCATGTGCGTGGTCGGCGTGCATCCTAACCGCTATGCCACCGACGCAGTCAATCAGTTATGTACCTGCAATCCTCAGTGAGTGTGACATTGTGTACTTTATCTTTCAGTTGACCAATCACAGTTGCAGTTAACAGGCAACATTACAAATTTTATGAGTGCTGATTTTCTTGTCTAGTCCTTTTAACTTTTATCTCCCTTTTCCTTTTTCTTTCTTGATTTCTCTAGGCAGAAGCAGCTCTTCGATTCGATGATGATGATGATGACGATGAAGATGATGATGACATTCAGATACCTCGTACATCTAGACGTCTAAAGAAGAAGAAGAGACGGTCATCCACTACTACTACTACTAATAATAATACAGGTAATCTAACACCTAGTGGTAGTGGAAATAAATTAACAACTTCAAAAACTGGATCTACAGATGTTAAAAGTCAAGTGCCAGAAGTTGATATGATCACATCAAGAATAGTGCCTAAACTGACAACAGCTAATGTCGCCGATTTAGTTTTACTCAGGTAGGCCTCCTATCTCTCTCTCTCTCTCTTTGTATCTATGTACATTTTTTATTGTATGATGGAGAAAGAAGATTTGTAGCTCAGGTGAATGATTTTGATGTGGTTGTGTTCTCTGAGCTGGATATTTAATTGGCGAAGCTTTCATCACCCTACTAGGTGACATCTTCAGTGCATACTTCAATTTGAGTTTATTAATCATCTCTCCTGGTGACCTTGGACGTGATTGGTTGTTTTTGTGTATTAGATGGTTGGAGGCAATCGGCAGGAAGCCTTGGACCTAGGTTTCGTGCTAGTTGGCACTCATCAGCAAGGCGTATCTGCAACCTTGAAGGAACTGATGTCCCTTCTGAGATTTGAACCCGCGTCACCCAGTGCTGCAGTCAGAGACGTTACCACTGAGCTATTCAGGCTCGCGACTGACCTCCTGTAGGACTGTATTGGATATTTTTGATTGCACACTAGTCAGTAACTAGTGTAATGTGTCTAGTCCTATGTTCGGTGCAGATTGAATTCTATCAGTCATTTTTGCAATGTGGCCACCCTGCTAGGTTGTTTTTGTGCGTTTTCACACCTTCTAGGTTACTTGTATTGTAACTCATTGTTTCTTTGACTTGAACTTTGACCTTTTGTGTGTGTGTGTGAGGTTTCTTTCTTATCGGTTGATAAATTTTGTCAATCTCGATGTGTCTATTGATTGATGATTCACTGGAATACCAAGCTTCTAAAAATTCTTTAGCATTTTTGTTGTTTACTCTGTCTAATATTTGAACATTGTCCCAATCGAAATGATGTCCGTGGTTGTCTGCATGTAGTGATATGAGCGAGGGAGTGGATGTCATGTCTTTTGATGGCTAGGTGATGTTCGTCGATACGAAGACGAAGGGGACGTCCACTTTGGCGAATGTAGTGTTTTTCGCAGTTGCTACAATCTATTTTGTAGATGATGTTGGTTTTATCTTCCTTCGCTGTTGAGTCTTTTGGTTGACATAGCGCCAGTGATTTTGTTGGTTTGTGTGCGACGTCAATTCCTATAGGTTTGAAGAGTCTTGTAGTGATTTCTGAGATGTTCTTTATATATGGTAAGGCGATTTTCTTTGTGCTTTCCTTGGGGGCTTTTGGTTTGATAGGTTGGCTTGGGGGTATATGTCAGCTGCGAAAAACACTACATTGGCCAAAGTGGACGTCCCTCCTCTTCGTCTTCGTATCCACGAACACAAGCTAACTGTCAAAAGACATGACATCCACTCCCTCGCTCATATCACTACATGCAGACAACCACGGGCATCAATTCGACTGGGACAATGTTCAAATATTAGACAGAGGAAACAACAAGAATGCTAGAGAATTTTTAGAAGCTTGACATTCCAGTGAATCATCAATCAATAGACACATCGAGATTGACAAAATTTCTCAACCGATTAGAAAGAAACCTCACACACAAAGGGTCAAAGTTCAAGTCAAAGAAACAATCAGTTCCAATACAAGTAGCCTCGAAGGTGTGAAAACACACAAAAACAACTAATCACGTCCAAAGTCACCGGAAGAGATGATTAATAAGCTCGTGGAGAAATCTAGAAGCTCACTTCAACAAATTGAAATATGCGCTGAAGATGTCACCTAGTATGGTGATAAAAGCTTCGCAAATTAACTATCCAGCCAGCTCAGAGAACACAACCACATCAAAAATATTTTATGGTATTTGGTTGAATTCCTCACTGTTTCATTTCACCAGAGCTGAAATAATCGGTCTATGTTTGGCCATATATAAGGCTGGTGCTGGGTTAGAGTTCACACTGGCGATGTGGATGGAAGAAATACGCCTTCTTGATTCTAATACTGGCCATCAGTTTTCTGATTTCCTTACCTGGTTTGTCGAGTATATTCCTGGTATTCATGTACATTAGGTTCAATAGTAGAGTTCCAGTCCTGGCCGCTTTTACTGGTCGCAGAGTTAAGAAGAGATAAGAGACAATGGTTATCAGCAATGACAAGAAAGCAAGAAGGTGAACGCTATCCCCACTGTGGGAGTTAATTTCTTCTCGGGGTACCTGGAACATAAGGAGCATTAGTGTTGCCGTAATGGAGTTAGTCACATACTGTCTGTTTGGGTTGGTTTCTGGTCTTATTTCCGTCTATGAACCGCCGCAAGATAAGTCTCAATGTTCAATCTTCGGGGCTAACTTTTTATAGCCACCCCACCATCTCTCCAAAGAGGTGAGATACCAGGGCTGGTTGTCTTGGGGGAAACGCCTTACTGCTGTTACAACCCTGTCCACCAACAGCACGACTTTGCTCACATACTTTCAACCCAGTGTGGATGACCCATACTTTAGTGGGAGCTACTTCCAGTCTAACCTCCTTCCAGATACCGTCAATATTTCATTTTCTTCCTCTTGTTGGTATTAGATGGTTGGAGGCAGTCGGCCACAGGAAGCCTTGGACCTAGGTTTCATGCTAGTTGGCACTCATCAGCAAGGCGTATCTGCAACCTTGAAGGAACTGATGTCCCTTCTGAGATTCGAACCCGCGTCACCCAGAGCTGCAATCAGAGACGTTACCACTGAACTATTCAGGCTCACGACTGACCTCCTGTAGGACTGTATTGGATATTTTTGATTGCACACTAGTCAGTAACTAGTGTAATGTGTCTAGTCCTATCTTCTATCCTATCCTACATTCTTATACTCCTTCCAGATAACTTTTCTTGGGATGTCTACCCTCTTTCGGTTGGAAGTTCCAGAGGAGTTTAACTTTGCTGTTGGATTTTTTGTCCTACATTTCGTTTTTGTCTACCGCAGTATTTGTGTATTGATTTCCATTTCCATTTCATTTTCTTACTACAAACAGTATGGTCACTTTACCAGATCAAATGCCTGCATCATTTCAGTCGACGTATACACCGATAGCAGCCGCTGGAACATCAGCACAAATACGTCATTTAGCCCGTATGCTTGCTGTCCAATTGAGTGTATGGGCTTGTGAAGGTGGACAATATGAAGTAGCTGATCGGATAAATCAATTGGAGACATTGTTAATTCCTGTTGACGATGCAGATGGTGATCGTGATGATAGTCAAAGTATGCGTAAACGGAATTTCAAAAGTGAACCACGTACCTCTGAACAAGGCAGTGATATACAAAAAGAATCAATGAAATCTAAAAAACGACGTTTGGTAAGCAATCTCATTTTAACTTGTATATGTATAGGTTTTATCAATAATAAGAATAAAAAAGTGAGGCAATCTGTGATAACACAAATAATGAAAAATAGCATGATTAAACAAACAAATGTTCAGGTGGAAGTAGTAGTCGATAAAGGCTAGTAAAAACAAATGAACCGATTAAGTAATGTTGGATTGTAAGGGAAGTAAATGAAACACGTTTATCATGAAGATAAGATTATGGGATGATAAGAGAGTGGGGTTGAAAATATAAGTAAGGGGTGGTGTAGAAGTCATCAGTTGGTTATGTCTAAATAGGCCGGCGATGGAGGGATAATGGCTGTACGAACTTCTTTTGAATGCATAGTTTTGGTTTAATATTTCGATTGCCTATCACCTCAGCTGTGTGCAGTAAACGAATACAAAGTCTATTGGAAAGATTCGGTGGGATATGATGAATTACTTTGAAAGCTCTCGTTTTCTCCACTACATGACCACTATCAATTAAATGTGACAAAATTGAGCTACGGATTGTTTTTGTCTGTCCTTTGTCGAACCACCACGATGGGAGATGTTCACTAACACTTTGGCTAAGCTGTCTAGTACTGCGCCCAATATAACTGTCATCGTAGGTGTAGTTGAATTGATAAATGCACATAGATGTAACAAAACTATCAAGCTTATCCTTCGTTTGCGTCCCAATCATTCGTCGGCTACAGAATGATAAACATTGGAATGCTGAGTAAAACTTTCTTCGTATACTCCTGGAAAGTCTCTAGAATAAAATCTCACTTGATAAGTCACCATTAAATTTGTAACTTAATAAATAGAGGTTTTTTATGTGTAGTCAGAGTCTCAGGTTTTCTCTCTGATGTTTTCATATGTTTCTTTATGAAACTAATCGGATAGCTCATCTCCATCAAGGAATCGTGAATATATTCAAATTCCTTTTGTAAAGAGGTCATCCGTGTATATCTTTCTTGCTCTGCTCGTAAGACATTTAACAACATTTCTTTTATATTTAATGGGCACGTAACTGAGGAATTGTGTGTATTGCCCTGTGAATGTGCTTTTTCTATACACGTTCCTCCCAAGTGACCCATCTTCTCACCTACTTAGCAAGACAACCAGAAAATGTAGTTTATTGTCCTGCTCCTCTTCACAAGTAAAGGTAAGCGAAGGGTGGACGTTGTTAAATTTCAGCAACAATTCGTCTATGTTAACATTCCAATCAGCTATGATAAATGTATCATCGAAATAACCAACTAATGACTTCTACACCACCCCTTGTTTATATTTTCAACCCCACACTCTTATCATCCCTTAATCTTATCACATGTTCATTAAAAACGTGTTTCATTTACTTCCCTTACAATCTAGCATTACTTAATAGGTTCATTTGTTTTTACTAGCCTTTATCGACTACTATGTCTACCTGAACATTTGTTTGTTTAATCGTGCTAGTTTTCATTATTCGTGTTATCACAGATTGCCTCACTTTTTTATCCTTATTATTGATAAAACTATTATTATTATTATTATTATAATGACTAATTGCACAATTTATATTCACCAATCAGTTTATAGAATGTCTGTTTAAACAGGTGTGGCAGTGTTTAAATTTCCCCAGTTCCTGTCCACTACGATACAATAGAAGCTTGTTTAACCCCTTGTTGAAGAGCATTCTGCATACAGCTATACAGCTCACGCAATAAATTACTATTGCTCCCTTAGGTTCCAAATGGAACATGTTCTGTCCTCTGAGGTCCTCTTCTTCTCGCTTCACTATTGACCATAGTCTCTCATCTCCTCCATGTCACTCTTGAGTGCCCCACTCGTCGTTTTTCATTCGAGCGATGACCTGGCACTCCATGTCATTCGACGGTCTCTTCAGCACACTACTCATCCATCTCCATTTTCTTCGGGATATTTGTCGGGCAGTAGGCTCTTGATTGGTTTGCTGGTTCCCGGAGTTTCTTGTTGCTGATTCTTTCTGGTCATTCCATCCTGAATATGGGGAGCAGAGAAGGCGGCTGTTTAGATACAATAGATAATGGCAATATAACATTGACCGGTGCATTTGTTGAGAAGCGATATCCTTCGGAGTTTTTGGACCGGTTTTTATAGGGTAGTTAAGTCTCCAAGTCTACAGTTTACTGTGTTCCAAAGAATATTGTCTGTGTTGAATTGTTATTCAGTGAGGGAATAAATAATCTGAGTTCCAGACAGTGACTAAATTTTGTTATCCGTAAAACTTACCATGCACCAGCAGCCTGTAATCGTGAAAGCCAATGGGATGCTGTATCACAAACCTGAATATTGCATGAGTGATTACGTCACATCCCATGTACTATGCCAATTTACTTGTATGTTTCATACATTTATTCCCCTTAATGAATTTGAACAAAGCAAGAACTACAGTTTTAGCAGAATAAAATGGTACCATCTTTTATTTCGTTGCCTTTTCGTCAGCTGCTTACAGGGCAAAGACATTATTAAATGTATCTATAAAAACAATTTTAACATGCTTGCACAGATACATTTAATAATGTATTTGCCCTGTAAGCAGCTGACGAGAAGGAAACGAAATAAAAGATGGTACCACTTTATTCTGCTAAAACTGTAGTTCTTACTTGTATATGTGTATGTCTATGGACACACATACACGGGGGGGGGGGGGAAGTAATCGCACCGTGCATACGGGGGCGGGGGAACATATCCCTAAATGGTCGCAGAAACAATTGAACGCCTAATCCTTGGTAAATACAGGTGGCAGACTACCGACATCGTCTGTAGCAAAGCAGAAGGTTGATATCGAAACGCCTTTTAAGATTATAAGTGCAAATGTCACTTATCAGATTAAGTATTCGGGTTCGGGGTTCGAACTCCTCTTCTGGGTTAGTAGTGTCATCAGCTCTTACACAGTATTCGTCACTTGTTGCTGAGTAACTGAGTTTTAGCTAATTAAACTGTCCACAATTTATGTCGACGTAACTAATCTTGTATACGAATAACCTCATGTCTTATGTGTCGATAACATTCAGAGATGACTTGTTAAAGTGATTTGATGTCCCTCGCCACTTGTTTTGAACTGATTTGGCCCTCTCTATGAACTGAGTCAAACTGGCTACGCTTTTTATGAACAAAATACCCGCCTGGTTAGTAAGCAATACTGTTTGATTTTTGAAGGGTTCCCAACTACTCATATCAATCATTCAGTAGTATGTAACATCACCGTTCAAATAGCTATCTGCATTATTCAATAAGGCTTTATGGCTAGAATAATTTTGTATTGAATAATTAATTAAGCCCAACAATCACTTGCAGTTTTATGGAATTGGCAATGAGCCTCATCTGTTGTATGGAGCAGGCTTCGAGTGCGTGACCCAGTCGTTGAAAGTCAAGTGTTTAGAGAAATGAGTCACAACTCCACATCAGCGCTTAGGAAACTACTGTATCCATCTTTTGAAATACAAACTGTATTACACATGTATAAGTAATTTTATTAGCCCCCATAAACGACCTTGTATGGCCGACGGTGGATAGATCTCCGTCTTTCTATCGAAATGCTTTCATGTGACCACGCGTTCATAGACTGTGACGGATAGGTCCTATTTACTACCTTCACATGGTGACTGGTGTTCCTCACAAAACTGAAAAAGGACGTGGTGTAAATGATTCCCAGAATCCAAAAGGACCAAATGATGTATGAATCTGTTCTGGGCATGGCACCGACAACCATTGAAGCATAGCTCCTAACTCTTCTGCACTGCCTTGTGAATCAGAATTCAAGACAAAGAATGGCAGCTGAGGGGGGGGGGTTGGAGGGTTGCTTTTTAAGACAGCCATCTGCTTCAGTCTGGGCGTCCCAGTAGTATTCCAGCTCATGTACAAAGTATGCGATTTTCTATGGTGCATCTCTTGTGGCCCATGATGTACATAAAGTTTCTGTTTTCTAATTATACACGTATTGTCTCTTCCTCTATCTCTTTTCTTATATTTAATATTTTTTATACAAGCATATGTTAGGTGATCAGACATCGGCTGAAAATGATCCAGAGGCAGAGGATGCTGTAATTCGTGCTAATGCTGCACGTAAAATGAACACTGCACAAACCATGAATATCTCCACCCTCGTTGGATACGGTACACAACAACAACAAATGATCAATGAATCTTTAGATATGAAGATGCTTCCACCTGGTGGTGTACCTGGTATGATGCCAATGTTCACTGGTCAGAATACTATGTCGTTACCGCCTACAATGCCACCAAATATGCTAATGCCTGGCTTTAATCCCTCTCAACCTCCACCACCATTAATGCCTATGATGATGCCACCGGGTATGATGCCGCCACCACAAACACCGTCACAAGCAGCAGCAGTGGCCTCACTACAGCAACAACAACAGGCAACAGTAATGCCAGGTCAAGCAACACTTGGCAATGTGTCCTTTAATCAGTATACCAGTTCAACTATACCTATGCCTCAGGCGGATTCAATCGGTAGGTTATTGTGTAATATATATATATATATATATATATATATATATATATATATACATTCCTTTCTGTTCTCAGTGGAACATAGGGCTTCAAGCTTTGAGCCGTGGAGTTTCACTAGCAGTGGTGTTATTCTCTTTTATGGGGTAGGGTTACTAGCTCAGCCTTCCATCTTTACTGGGCTTACAACCAACTAAGCGAGGTTTATGTACGTCGGTGGCACATCGCTAGAATGCCCGCCAACCATGCACGTGGTCCGGGGTTCGAACCCCGGCCACAGACGCACTCATTTACCTCGCTAAGCCAATAATAAGATTGGTAAGGAGGGAAAGTTGGGCATGAGGCTAGCAACCCATCCTATAAAGATAAATACCACTGCTACCGAAACTTCAAAGTTCTGGCTTGAAACCCTATGTTCCACTAGTTTGTGTATGCTTCGACAAGGGATCAAACCCCAGCCCATGTGCTTAATTGGCGAACATCCTATCGCTGAACCACCTATGCATCGAACTAACTATGAGCCAGGAGGCACTGGAAAGCTGTTTCGTCCTTTTTGGGGACTGTTCATCGGTACACACCCACCCATGACCTCACCAGGGATCGAACACAGGACGTTCAGGTTACGAGGCGAATTCGAATACCAATTAGCTACTGGGAAAAACAGCTGGTACTCAGAGCTGGTCACTCATGCCAAGTACTAACCGAGCCCAAGGTTGCTTAATTTCAGTGATCTGACAGAAGCCGATGTTTTCAACGTGGTATGGTCGTCTATATATATATATATATATATATATATATATATATATGACGTTACAATTTTTTATCACACACACTGTCACCTTTACCCTTGCTGGCACCTTTTAATTTTAAGGTAAAATTCCACTATGTATGTTGTCTAAATTAGTAATTTTCAAGTATTGGTTTTGTAGGGAATTTTGTTTGGTTGTTTGGAGGATTTCACCATGAGCTGACATCAGTTAGAGAACCATTGGAAAACCACCTGGGAGTACTGGACAGCTGTTTCGTCAGCCTAGTTTGGGACTCTTCAGCAGTACGCACCCATCACGGGGGTTTGACCCCAGGACCTTCTGGCTACAGGGTCAGACCACTAAGCCACTGGAACCTGATCCAATGACCCATTCAGGTAGGTAGTTACCTCGGGTTCTAGTGGGAAGTTGTGACCAGTAGGGTGCAGCAAGTCGGGTGTGAGGGCAAATCCTTTCCGAAGACGTTGGCTAGCGTTCGCGACATGTTGTTAATTGGCAGAAGTTAGAATTCATGGACTGGCCATTGGATCGGGTCCCAGTGGTTCAGTGGTTTACGATCTCTATGGCCTTGTAACCGGAAGGTTCTGGGGTCGAACTCCTGCAGTGGGTGCGTACTGCTGAAGAGTCCCAAACTAGGACAACGAAAACAACTGTCCAGTTCTCCCAGGTGGTTTTCCAATGGTTCTCTAACTGATGTTACCTCATGATAAAATCCTGTAACCAATCAATCAAATCCCTACAAACCAATACTTGAATATTATTATTATTCCCGTGGGTTCCGTGTACAACATAGGGTTTCAGCAGTCTGTCTCCATTTCAATCTGTCCTCTGTCGTATCTAGTTCCACGATTGCCTCTTTATACGACAGGAGGAGATCGTGCGAGCAGAAGATGAGAGCTTGTGGGAAGTCGTGGAGTCGGCTGTAAGTGATGTGACAGAGAACCGAGTGTATTGGAGATATGCTATTGAAGGCCTATTTACCACTCTGAGCGCAAAGGATAAATAATTCTTAACAACAACTATTATTATTATAATCGATCCACAGCCTAACTGAATTCCTAGGTCCTTTCTACAACACAAACTCACAATAGCGTCGGCCAGCTTCCCTTATTGGTCTCGTTTTGATTCATCCTATTGTTCTATTTCATTAGTCACCTCCTGGTCAATAGACAAATTCGTATTCAGAATTCGTTATTTGTCTAAAATTGTACATCATTCAATTTCAGATATCGTATATTCTGTTGTTATTTAAGTTCTGCTCTAAACATGTTGATCATTTTTCAACGTAGATGTTTCAACGAACTATGACATCACTTATAGAATTACGGGGTACTAGATAGTTGTTGCCACTTTAGTTTAAAACTCTTCGGCCATACCCATCCATCACCTTCAAGTGATGGAACTCTGCACTCTGCTATTTCAGGACTGAGAAAAAATTCATATTGGCTGTTGCATTCTAACTTCTGTCAATTTGCGGTATATATGGCTCCTTTACCCGTCTCCTTCACCCTGATATGGTTGACCCCACTGGTTGTTCTAGTTTTCCTTATTATCGATTTATTGATTTCACTAATAATATGTTTTCTCTCTACTTTCAGTCCCTTCATCTGTCCGACCATTTTCACTTGACGCTGTAACTGCCTTTCTCAGTCGTGATGTTCAACGTCAGCTGGCTCGTGATGCATTCATGCGTATTATAGAGGGTTTAGAGACACCATACACACGTCATCAATCACTTCATGATGGAACAATTGTTCCTACACCAGCTGGAACCGATTTAATTACTGGTCAATATGATGTCAATAGAATGAAGATATTAACACGGCTTACAACACGTCGTTTCGGTGGAAATGAATTCTATAATAGTAAGTGTCATTGTTATTTTTTCACTTTTGTTTAATCTTTCAGTCGAGAGTATTACTCTTTTATTAAAGGAATAAGGATGTTATAATAAGGGTTTTTGTATTTCCCAATGAATGAAAAACAAAACGAGACTGTTTTTACTAACGTTTCGCTATTTAATGTTGCTGCTAATAGCTTTATCAAAGTATTATTAAACCGGAATTTCCAAAATCTCAGCATATATATAACAAAAGAGTTAGGCAGTGAGAAAATAGACTTAGGTCAAGTTAAAAAGACATATTGAAAGTTAAAATAACAATGAAGATCACCAAACCAAATAACAAAGGTAATGGTACATCTGTTATGATATCAAAACAAAGTTTACTAACTTGATCATTGTTCGTTAGTCTGGGGTCATTTTTGTTGTCAGGTTGGTCAATTGGTAAAGATAACAAAATCAAGTGTAGATTGTTGGATTTGTTCAATGTTTAAAATTATAAAAGCAGCTTGTGTTTACATAGTGAACTTGCTTATCACATTTGTGTTGATTTTGTCACTTCATGGGGGAGGGAGGTGTTGTAACCAGGTCAGATTCTGTTTTAGTCCATCATTCCTATTCAGGCAAAATTTGGATTCCACTTGATATGAAGTGCTTCTGATATTAGACGTTCTTTATGATTTCTGAAATTTTTCTGGATTATTTCAATATTGTCAAAACCAGTTTTGTGGCCTCATTCTATAGCGTGTATGTCACTTATGGCTGATGATTTTTCAAGCTTTTCTAGTTCAACTGGATTTATTTCTTGGTGGTCGAACAGATGCTCTACGGTATTCATTTCTTCTGATTTTGATTTCTCTCCGGCAATGTTTGTCCGATGTATATCGCATCACATTTCAAGCATTTTATTTTATAGACACAATTAGATAAAGAATCTTTAGGGATTTGGTCTTTTATACGAACAAGGTTGTTTCGCAGTGTGTCTGATGTTTAAAAAACTCTAATGTCGAGCTGATTGAGTACTTTTCTGATATCATCTGACGTTTGCTTTCTATATGAAATGCCGACTGTTGAGGTCCATGTTTTCGGAATGCGTTGGTTAATCCGTTTCTATGTATATCTTTAGTGTGTACATGTATGAGTGTGTATGTGTGTGTGTGCCTGTGTGTGACATAGCATGAGGAGCAGCCACCATCCTCCTCCTCGTCGAACTGAAAAAGCTGACATACGGCGGTTAGGTTAGGGCATAACTCGGGTAGCTAAACACTGTAGTATTTAAGTTTTATTTCTCAGATACTGGTAATTTGTACTAAAAATATCTCAGAAACACACAGTCTCCTCACATATTGGGATACCTTAAAGTAATAATCCCTATTAAGACATAAAAACAAAGAATTCAGTGAGGAAAATTTTCTTTTCAACGATTCCCTCTCGTAAGCTGTACAGTCGTAATTATATTTGGCAAGGAAAACATAAGACCAATCAGATACTGGTAAAAATTGTCCTCGAAAAAAAGTGTTACGTAATGTAAGGTGACTAAGTGGAAATGATGAAATGTTTAAGTAATAGAGCACAGAATCTAAGCAGTACGAAGGAAAATCTAAGACAGGAAGTGAGGCATATAAGAGAAGCTTTGAAACTTAATAATTACCCTGATAAATTAGTCAGAAAGTATGTAGGGAAATATAAAAATTAAATAAATAATGATAGTAGTGGTAGTGATAATAATAATATTAATGACGACATGCATGTCAAACATGAGCAAGATAATGACAGCACCAACAATAAGGAATCTCGATCATCGGTAGTAATTCCATACAAAGAAGGAACCTCGGAAACCTTACGCAGAATTCTTAAAAAGGCGGGAGTAAAAGTGACTGGCATTCAAACCAACCACAAACTCAATTAGAAACAAGCTTTGTCGGCTAAAGGATCCTGTAGAGCCTTTAAAACAAAACAATTTAGTTTATCTAATATCCTGCCTGGAATGATCGTCAGGTCAAATACATAGGTCAAACTAGTAGAACAGGGGCAGTCAGACTAGCTGAACATAAAAACTTAGCAAAATCTAGATTGGTTGACCCGAATAAGATAAGAAATCTAGAGAATAGTTCAGCTATAGCACTACATGCAGTCACACACAACCATACAATAGGATGGGATAGGATGACAGTTTTAAAATCTAATGTCACAGGGTATAGGGAGAGATTGATAACAGAAGCTTTGTTTATCGAATCAACTACAAATACATGTAATAGGAATGATTCATCACCTGTCCCCGATATTTGGAAAATTCTACTACCCATACGACAAATAGGAGAGAACAAAGAAAACTATAAAACTCAAGTGTCAAAGTCGTGTGATCACAATTGATATGATTATGAACAATAAATTTTGTTCGAAACTTTGTCATCCAGTAAATAATACTGTTTCACTGTGTGATATACCTAATAAGCAAACTAATATGCAAAATCTAGATTGGTTGACCCAAATAAGATAAGAAATCTAGGGAATAGTTCAGCTTTGGATAGCACTCACTACATGCAGTTACACACAACCATACAATAGGATGGGACAGGATGACAGTTTTGAAATCTAATGTCACAGGGTATAGGGAGAGATTGATAACAGAAGCTTTGTTTATCGAATCAACTGCAAATACATGTAATAGGAATGATTCAACACCTGTCCAGTTGGACATCTGGAAAGTTCTACTACCCCTTACGACAAATAGGAGGGAACAAAGAAACTTTGGTTTTATGGTTTTAAACCAAATTTTTGAAGTCGTGTGATTATAATTGATATGATTATGAACAATAAATTTTGTTCGAAACTTTGTCATCCAGTAAATAATACTGTTTCACTGACTGTGGGATGTATCTAATAAACAAAATAATATGGAATTACTTACTTCCACAGTGCCCATGTTTTACACATATGTTATATTAACATGACTATTTGGAAGTTAGAAAAGAGGCAGAAGCTGGCATGACGTAATAAGTGTGAGATAATGACTAATCATTATAAATGTGTAGAGTGGACAGGAACTAGTTGAAAGATGATAAAGTGCTTTCATATAAATCTATGAAAACGCAATGTTATTAATAAACAGTAATAGAGTGATAATAAAATATGAATGATGGGAATAATGGTGATGATAAAATAATAGTAATAATAAACTTACATAATACAAGAGAAGTAAAATTATAGTAAGAACGTTACTCTGGCCACGGTAGGGCGATTGAATGTATGTAGCGCTTTTGATTACAGAGGTAAGGTTCCAAATCCCGAATAGCTAATGATTCAGCTATGTACAGATGGTGTATGCGAATTCCATTTATATGTTATTGAGGGACTCTGTGTAGCACTGTGAAGCATTCATGCGGGAATGCTCGATGTCCAAAGATGACAAGGTGTTCGAGGATGGAGATGCTACTATTCTTCCTTTCTCCTCTGTCTGGCTAACCAAGCTGGACAAGCCTCTAGAATACGTTTGTTGACTTGACGTTGCGTACGGCAGATATACTTTGCTCCACACGAGCAAGTAAATTCATAAATCCACATTGAGGTGGCCAAAAGCGGTGGTATCTTATCCTTAATGTTAGACTGGATTAACTGTCTGCTGGTCAACGTGATATACGTAAGGTGGCTGCTTGAAATGTCTTTCTCAGACATTAAGAAAGGCGGTTTCTAAGCACTTCTGCTTCGATGTGTCACCTTTGAATTCCAGATTCATGAAGCGAGTTTTCTTAGGAACAGTTGTATGTACTTTGTTTTCTAATCCTCTATTTCACACATGCTGTCTATTGAACTTTAGGTTGACATCCATTTATTTATTTATTAAATTATTCATTCATATATCTAATCATTTTGTGACTCATAATCCTATACACCAATATTATCTCACCAATATCACTCACTATCAGACGTTAACACACACACACACACGAAGCCCTATGTTCCACTGGGAACATAAAGGAATAAAGGAGGAAAAAAGAGTTTTACAACAGTCAATACTTTATGTATCTTATCAGTAATGAATACTATGTACAAGATTGAGAGAAAACATTTCATTTGTTAAAATTATATTCAACTAAACGCGAATTGGTTGGAGGATTTCATCATGAGCTGACATCAATTAGAGAACCATTGGAAAATCAAGGGGAACTACTGGACAGCTATCTCCGTTGTCCTAGTTAGGGACTCTTCATCAGTACGCACCCACCTGGGCTCGAACTCAGGACCTTCTGGTTACAAGGTGAGCTCGTAGACCATTGAGCCACTGGGACCTGATCCAATGGTGAAATGGTCGCGCTATGTCGTGAATTGGCAGAAGTTAGAATTCATGGGCCATTGGATTGGGTCCCAGTGGCTCAATGGTCTGCAAGCTCGCCTTGTAGCCAGAAGGCCTTGAGTTCGAGCCCCGGTGGGTGCGTACCACTGAAGAGTTCCAAACTAGGACAACGGAGATAGCTGTCCAGTAGTTCCCCTTGGTTTTCCAGTGGTTCTCTAATTGATGTCAGTTCATTTTGAAATCCTCCATCCAAATCTAATTACCGTAAATATTGTCTGATTAGTATGACTTTATAGTAGTCATATTTTATAAACTGTGTTATATCCTCACATGTAATTCTATCCCATATGAATGTGATATAAAATTCACTCAAATAAAATAAATCGGTAATAAGTCTAAGGGCGGATTCTTTCTTGATGTTACGTTCGATAAACCTTGTAGGATAACCATTGTTAAGGAGATTTGATCGAAGGTTATCTAGTTCACTATCGATTGTCTCTGCAGAGCAGATTTTACGAATTCTGGAGCATAAGGAATGAATAAGATTTCTCTTTCTCCCTAACGGTACCCAACTGTGTTGAAGTTAGTGTACTGCCCAGTGAATGTTGGCTTTCGGTAAATCGACCTTAACAACGTGCCATTCTCTTTTCTATCCAGCTTAACATCACGGAAGTGAAATGAGGAATTCGAAATAGGTAATACGCCTACCAGTGGTACTTAGTTTCTCTGGTTTTTATTTTAGTACTCAGTGCTCAGATAATATGTATATAAGACATGACTGGAAGATTGCAGAGAGTGAATGCACTGACGCCATTAAGACCAGCTCTAGGCCATATCACCAACTATCTCAGACCATTACTTCTTAGCACCTTGAGGACACCAACCAGACAATCGACACCTCTCTACGTGATAAGTTCAAAGAAGATGTCACTGACTTTATAGATTGATTTCAAGTTTTCTAACTTGATTCCATGTTGGCTAACATTGTTCGTCAAGGAATAGGCGATACCTGTTGGCATGTACAACGCATGTCCTAGTCATTTCAGTTGACACAGCTTGACAACCTCACTGGTTGAATCTCCACCACCCACCCCTATACCTAACAGTACGCCTGGTCTCCATTAATCAACATAATATGCCGCTTAACAGGAGATATAGACCGCGAACATTTATTGTCGGAAACTGCTGCACAGTACACACGTCAGCTGGCAGATAGCTGGATATCACGTCCACAGTATGTTTGGAAAATACCACACGAGCCTTTTATTATCCGTGCTGAGATTTTGTCAGCAATCAGTCAGTCAGTCAGTTGGGGTTGATATAGTTTCCCGAATAAGTGAAGTGGTCAACAGGCTTAGCCATTTGTCTGTCTGTCTGGTTTCAACATAGAACTTTGCACTGATGTGCACCAGTTCAAGTCGCCACACTCCCTCCTTGTAGCAGACAAAGCAACAGAAGAAAGTAAAAAGAAATGCAAAATAGAAACAGTGAACAGAGATATGAGGCAAAGAGAATAGTAATATCGAAGAACAATATAGTTTTATTCGACATTATAAGTCACAAGGAGTAAATGCATCTTCACCAACCATTGACAACGATTTTGAGCCGCATCACCGATTGTCTCCAGCCGCCATTGGTTCTTACCACCATCCCAAGGACCCCAACTAGTCAAGAAGTCTACACCTTCCTACATGACTAGTTGGCTAGAACTAACTGTTGTGGATTTCATTGACTGATGACACCATGTTTTGGTTTGACCGCCGCTAGCTCTTCTCTAGCCTGACCCTATGTCAGCTAACATTGATTGTCAGTCGAGGAAGGCGATGGCTAGTCATGCATGTGTAACACATGTCCTAACCGTCTCAATTTATGCAGCTGCTTCACAACCTCGTCTATTGATTTACCCTCCATCCTTACCTAGCACCCGACCGATGCCTAACGTCGATATTGTTCACCCTTTTATACGGCCACCTGACACGGGAGATATAACGCAGGCACCTTTGATGAAAGACAGACAACAAGCCTTCTCTTTCATGTCTTCTACTCTCAAAGGGCAGGTCTCACCACTTCACTACCAATCCTTAAACTAGGAGTCAGTTTACATTAGTGCTGCAGCATCACCTTACCTTGACAAGAGTAAATCGTATGTGAAACACTGTAAGATTTCTGCTCAAGGTCTTCATAGAACTCCGTATTTTGTTAACTTTTTCACCTAGGATGACGATATCATTATTCTTATACTCTAAAGCGACAAGACTTCCCTCATAAGAAATCAATCTTCAAAATACACTAGTTCTTCTTCTATGTAAATGAAGTTTTAGTGAAAATCATCAGTAGTAGGTTTATATCGTAGGAATTTGACCACCGCTCTGTTACAGAGGTGTAGGTTCAGGCAATCAAATCATTTCTCAGCAGCAACCTACTTTACCTAGCTGGGAAACATCGTTTCAACTACAGGCGGAACTGACGAGGATATCAAAGCGAGCTTTCATTACTCTCAAGTCTGTGTGGAGGTTAACAGCACTCAACATGAAAAATAAGATTCGGATCTTCAACTCCAGTATAAAGGCAGTGCTACTATACGGATGGATCAGAGACTTGGCACGTCATGAAGGGCACTTCGAACAAACTACGGAGCTTCATCAACAGCTGTCTTCGCTCAATACCACTCAAGATCAGATGGCCGGACAGAAAAGATCAGCAATAGGGATGGATCTTTGGGAACGAACCAACCCAGCAGGAACCGATTCTGCAACAAATAAGCAGGAAGAAATGTAGGTGGATTGGCTTGGCCATACTCTGAGAAAACAAACCATCGAGTGAGTGACATCACACGCCAGGCACTCGAGTGGAACCAGAAGAAGAAGTGGCGAGCTGGTCGTCAGTACGAGGGTGACATGGAGGAAGAGGCGATGCGAAGAGAGGAGATGAAAGCATGTGGGCATACGTGGAGCCAGGTGAAATAGTTGGCGGAGAACCAAACGCAATGGAGACGTACAGTTGAAGGCGTATGTTCCTCCAGGAATTAAAGGAAACAATGACAATAATAATAATAACTCATTGTTTCAAGTACTTAACTTTCAACTGATAGGTCCTGGGTTCGAATCCTGTGCTGCCTACTTCCACCTTGGTGTAGTATCATCATTTTTTTTGAACGATGAGTAGGACTCATATCCCCGGGTTTGTGTCTCACTACGTAAGATGTTTTTTTTGAAATTTATGTATAAATATTCACCTACATAAATGATTCTTTCTCTCCCTCTTTCTAACTGCCGATATTTTTTCTTTTTTTTTTTTCTCTTTATTATTTTACAATTAACTAGTACTAATCGATCATGCTATTAAAAATCTTCGCTACGGTTTCGAATTATTATCAAAATTACTAATGCAAGAGTATTGTCGTTTCCGTGGTTTCCAGTTAAGTGGTTTCAGTCCATTTTTGGATGCACGTCGACATCAGCTATCTGTGTTAAGAGAACAAATACGTAAACGATTGGAATCATCTATAGAAAATGATTGTAATAATAATAATAGTAATAATTCAAGTGAGAAATTATCCAAAGCCGATGATAATGATAAAAGCATGCTGTCAGAGACGAACGATGATACTGCCAACACAGACGCCAGTGATAATCATGAGAAGACTATTGAAGGGGATACTAGCCGCCAAGATATGCCTACAGATGAAATCTCTCATGAAGATGAAAAGCACAAGAAGAAGAGTAATCACAATAATAATAGGAAGAGGAAAACCTCAGATGACAGTTCAATGAAACCAAAATGCACAGATGATGACGAACCTGTCAGAGAAGAGGAGAACGACGAAGACGATGCTGTGGCGAACACAGCAGATGGCGATGAAGAGCCAAAATCATCGGTACCCAATTCTTCTCCTTCCTCTTCGTCTTCTGCTTCTTTGAAAGATACTGCTAGAAGACAATCAAAAAGATCGAAGAAGGAGGTTTCAGGAGATATGAAACCGTCTAGTAAGGATAAATTAAGTATCCTGAAGACACCAGTAGCTCCTCCGGATGACTTAGGTTGTCTATCATTTTATGATTGTTTATTGATCACAATTCTGCAGAAATTATCGAATCCAGAAATACGTCAGCAGTAAGTTATAGTTTATCAATATGCCTTTTTTGTTGTTAATTCTATATATTTAAAATCTGTGCGTCGGTGGCATAGCGCTTAGGACCCTCGCCGACCATGCACATGGTCCGGGGTTCGATCTCCGGCCTTTTATTTCGTTAAGCCAGAAATAAGGTTGGTAAAGAGGAAGGGTTGGACGTGAGGCAGGCTAGCAACCCCATCCTGTAAAAATGAACACTGCTACAGAAACTTCAAGCCTCCATCTTGAAGCCCTATATTCCACTGGGAACGTGAAGGAATAAAAGAAAATTTGACAAACGAAAATACAGTTAGTAAGTTCAGATGGATTGGATGTTGATATAAGAGAGTAGTAACTAAAGTGATGATTGTTAAAGAAGGTTGTTACGTAATAATGTGAATAGTTTGATGAAAGAGTTGAGCTCAGGGTGTACATGGAAACAAAATAACATACAGAATTACGTTAGAGTTTTAAGTAGTTAGAAAAATAAGCACAGAAACAAAAGTTAAGTCAAATCAACAGAGTTGTTACCATGATAGTAGAAGTGGTTGAATAATTTTCTTTTGTATGCATAGTTCTGGTTCTTCCAACTGAGTGACTAGAGCTTCTGCAATGCAAAGAAGACGGGAACGTATTGTCTTTGGCAGTGTGTTCTTCACTTTGTAGGCTACTTTGAAGGGGGAGGTAGGCGTTTGTTGAAATGGAATAACCAGTGGTGATGAGATGTTCGATTATTGCACTCCTTATACGGCCACTACTTCCTTTCTGCAGCTGAGTACCATTCAGTCGAAAAAGAAACCTAACTAGATCTCTTGATACTCGCGTTCGACACATCTACAGCTCTGATACCCTGGAAGAAGAACTACACTTCTTGAAAGAAATCTTCATACAAAACGGTTATCCATCAAGATTCATAGACAAAAACATCAAGAGGCAAGGCAGGAGACGCCATCCGTGACAAAAAAGATACTTTATATGAACCTCGACTTCAAAGGTGACCTACTCAGTGATGTCCTTAGGAGGAGAATTTCCACCTCTTTAAGAACAATTTTCTTTACGGCAACATTGAGAGTAGTGTTCCCCAGTCGCTTGCTGATCTGCAGAAGCCCAAAGGACAAGATCTCTCACCTGACCACCTGTTCCTGTGGAGCCAGGTACATCGATCATTCAACGCGCATCCTGTCAAAAAGCGTCAAAGAACACTATCCAGCCTGGCTGCAGAAATGGAGTATTGGTCGTATAAGGAGTGTAATAATCGAACATCTCGTCACCATTGGTCATTCCCTCTCAACAAACGCCTACCTCCCCCTTCAAAGTAATCTACAAAGTGAAGAACAACCTGCCATAGACAATACGTTTCCGTCTTCTTTGCATTGCAATATCCCTAGCTATTCAGTTGGAAGAACCAGAACTATGCATGCACAAAAGGAAATTCTTTATATTTTACTTTTTTCAATGTTCTTCGGTGGCTGCATAATAGAGTGTTCGCCAGGAAATCAGACTGACCAATCTCTGCAGGTCAGGATGAATAAAACAGATGTCCAACGTCATGTATCGTAAAGCACATCATATTAATAGGTCATAAATTTGATTTAAGTAGTATAAAACATTTTTAATTCAATGAAACCTTAGTTATTATGAATTTAGCTGCATAAAAAGTCCTTTTAAAGGCAACAGCGTTCAATTTTTATCTAGTTGTTAAGCTGTTATGACCACTCATATAGGGTGGTAGCTTGATGTACATATGTCTTTCTTATTGGCGAGTTAGAGAGTGGATCTTGGTGTTCTAACTACTTCATATCTCCTAATGAACTTGTCTGGATTATTATTACTATGAACTAGAGTTTGTGTTAACTTTCTTTCTTTCTTTCTCATCAAGTGTGTCTTCAGTGCATATTTGTTGGATTTTGCTGAAGAGGCACCTTACTAAGGTTCTTTTGTACCGAACAGGGCAGACACTGTGACAATTAAGATACTTTCAAGTATTGGTTTTGTAGGGATTGTGCTTGATTGGTTGGAGAGTTTCATCATGAGCTGACATCAGTTACAGAACTAGCGACTGGCTCTATTCAGACAGTCAACCTGAGGTTCTAGTGGGAAACCGTGGCTAGTACGGTACAGCAGTTTGAAGGTGAGGTGAAGTGGTTGCGCTATGTCATGAATTGGCAGAAGTTAGAATTCATGGACTGACTGGCCATTGGATTGGGTCCTAGTGGCTCAATGGTGGACGAACTCGCCTTGTAACTGGAGGATTCTGTGGTGGGTGCGTAGTGATGAAGAGTCCCAAACTAGGACAATGGAAACAGCTATCCAGTACTTTGTGGTGGTTTCCCAATGGTTCTCTAACTGACGTCAGCCCATGATGAAATCCTCCAACCAATTAAGATACTGTCCTGTACAGTTAGGTTTTCTATGAATAGATCGTTTTATTGATCCATCAAGTCGTCGACTAAGCAATATATCTAGGAAAGATAAACAGTTATCTTCCTCTTCTACAGACGTAAATGATATGCTATTCTGAACTTCATTCATTCAATTTAAAATTGAGTTGGGTGATCAGCTTGACAACTGTACAAAGATTGAACACTGCAGTTAAAAAGAAACCACCGTTGTGCATCAGTGGCATAGCGGTTAGGACGCTAGCCAACCATGCACATGGTCCGGTGTTCTATCTCCGGCCGACGCACACCTGATATCAATGGTCGGTCTGCTAAATTTGGGCTACCGATATCACATCGCTGAAAATTCCATACTTGTACCAAAATACTATGTGGAATCAAGCTATAGTAAAAGAAAATAAAAACTAAATTACACCTCTTTTTTGTGTTCAACGATGATTTGTTATTACTTTGAACCTGCCTTGGTTAGTCCGTTTGGAAATCCAGCCTTCATTTTACTGAATAGTATTTTCACCCCCCCCCACCGTTTGATTTATTACCTCATTTGTTTACCTCTTATCTGTGACTATAACTGGTAAACATTTTGACTTATATTGATGAAAATTAGGATGCTTTGTTGCTCTGTTGCCTCGTATACAAATGTGTGTGTGTTTGTGTGTGTGTGACAAGTATGTGCGTACGTACGTGATGAGAATGTTTCACAAATACGCATTGTATAATTCATATATGTTACGTCTTATAGAGATAATTGAGATTATGAGGAGTGAGGTGTAGAACCAGCCGCCTACACACTTCTATAAACGCGCAAACCTTCTTATAATCTTGAAATTTAAAAAGTTTCACAGAATCTGGAAGATGGCATATTATGCACGACTGTGATGAAGCGACATTAAGCTATGTCATCATCATTGTCATACCCTATTGCTTAAGTCAATTCTCTTTTCCTGGTTTAATTGATTGAACCGAAATGTTGTTTGCCTTCTGTTGCTGTGACATGTCGCCTCTTAGCTAGTATGGACACAAGACTGACTGGCTGACTGACTGGTTTCAACATAGAAGTTTGCACCGATGTGCAACGGTTCAAGTTGCCACACTCCATGTAGCACACAAAGCAAGAGAAGAAAGTAAAAAGTAATGCAAAATAGAAACAGTAAACAGAGATATGAGGCAAAAAGAAAAGTAATATCGAAGGACAATATAGTTTGATTGGGTATTATAAGTCACAAGGAGTGGATGCATCTTCACCAGACATTGAGATCGAGGATTATGAGCCAGCCATATCACCAATTGTCTCCAGCCGCCGTTGGTTTTTACCACACTCCTGAGGACCCCAACTAGCGAAGAAGTCTACCCCTTCCTACGTGGCTGACTGGCTGGCTGCCTTAAACTAACTGTGGTGGATTTCATTGACTGACGAAGCCATGTTTTGGTTTGACCACCACTGGCTCTTTTCCACCCTCATCGATCTTATGCTAGCTAACATTTTACATTGAGGAAGGTGATGGCTAGTCATGCATGTGTAACACATGTTCTAACCATCTCACTCAGTCGATGTAACTTCACAACCTCGTCGACACACAAGAGATAACTCTTGTGGTTCTAATTGGTCCAATGGATAAGGCTTCGACGTTTGAAACGATGGATATTTCGTCGGGTCTTGACTTTGAGTGTCAACAGGGACACCAACAAATTACTGGGAATGTAAGTATGCCCAGTTGACGGGTCCTGAGTGGAACGAAATGCTCATTCTTGGATTCCACTGCTAGTCAGCATCCATCAGATAAAATCATCTCCACTCGCTGATTGATTGGTTTTTAGCATTATTCCGTTTTCTGTGATATCATTGTTGTATTACCTCTTGCATAACAGTATATATTTATTTGCTTTTTGTTTTGTTTTCCTTATTTCCTATTTGTTTATAGTTATTTTGGTAGATTTTTAATGGAAGCACCTTTAATAACCCCTGGAGCAATAAATGAATTAAGACGATATTGTTCATCACCGGAACAAGCAACTTATGGCTTTGAGGTTAGTTGTCTTATAACTTTTGTGTCATATTTTTGTATTGTTTTTTTGTAAGTGTCTAGTTGATGCGCTGAAAAATGTGCGAATACTCTAACACGCACTTATGCACACACAGCTGTGATGAACTGATAGCCGACAAAATCTCAGCATGGATACAAAAGGCTCGTGTGGCATACGCCAGTAGACGTTATCTGTGGTGTAGACACGACATGTGGCTATCGATTAAAGGACATGTTCCCTCTGTCTTCGTCTATGGCTGTGGGACATGGCAATGTGTTAAGCATCCCTAGCCATCGATCGCCTTCTTCGGCGGGCAATGTTAGCTGAAGTAGATATAGGATGAGGTTGTGTAAAAGAGAGCTACTGGTGGTGGTTGAACCAAAATTTAGAATCAGTCCGTGAAGATCTTCGATAGTTAGTTTTGAATGATGTAGAGAGGTGTACAGACTGCTTGCTTAGTTGTGGTCCTCGGGATGTTAAGAACTAATGGTTGGTATTCAATCTTTGCAATCTGCCATCCATCTCCCTCACATTTCTGCTTCTTCTTCTTCTTCTTTTGAATCTCTTTTCTCTCTCCCTCGCTATCCTTTGTGTGTTACATGGAATGCGTCAATTTGAACTACTGTACTACTTCTGTACAAAGTTCTTTGTTGAAACTGGTCATTCGGTGTTTATAAGATTCTAAGCAGAAAAAATCTTATTTTTTAACTGAATAATATACTGAGAATATCGATAATTGTAGCTAAGAGTGTGCTGTTGTAACATATACACTTTCCAGTCAGAAAGGCTTCGTGTGCTTTTGGAAGTGTGTGAGCGGTTGTTACTTCCTGGCTGCCCGCAAGATGTAAGATGATTAGGCTACTGGACTGGACTGGACTACATTGACTCCTAGATTAGAAATAGGCAGGAGTGAAGTGGTTGGCGGGGCGTGTTGACCACTTCACTTATTTGGGAAGTGCCAACGAGTTGATCTCTGACGAAATCTTAGCATGGATACAGAAGGCTCGTTCCGTCGTCTTTGGCGTAGACATGATATACACCTGGCTGTCGACTGAACGGTGTGTGTACCGCCCAGCAGTCCTCTCCGTTTTCATTTAGGGCTGGAAGAGAGACATGGCCATTGAGACTCGAAGACATGAAAGAGAAGGCTAACTGTCTTTCACCATAGGTGCCTGCGTTCCATCTCCTGTGTCAGGTGGTGGTATACTAGGGTGAGCAATATTGAGGTTAGGCATCGGTCAAGTGCTAGGTAAGGAGGGAAAACAAATCAATAGACGAGGTTGTGAAGCAGCTGCATGTATTGAGATAGTTAGGACATGTGTTACACATGCAAGCCTAGCCATCGCCTTCGTTGACCGACAGTTAGTGTTAGCTGACATGGGGTCAGGATGGAGAAGAGCTAGCGGCGGTCAAACCAAAACATTGCTTCACCAGCCAATGAAATTCACAACAGTTAGTTTAAGCCAACCACCCACGTCGGAAGGTGTGGACTTCTTCGCTAGTCGGGGTCCTTAGGATAGTGGTAAGAACCAATGGTGGCTGGAGGCAATTGGTGATATGGCTGGCTCGAAATCGTTCTCAATGGCTGGCACAGATGCATCCACTCCTTGTGACTTATAATGTCGAATAAAACTATATTGTTCTTCGATGTTACTATTCATTTTACCTCATATCTCTGTTCACTGTGTCTATTTTGCGTCTCTTTTTACTTTCTTCTCTGGCTTTGTGTGCTACAAGGAGGGAGTGTGGCGACTTGAACTGCTGCACGTCGGTGCAAACTTCTATGTTGAAACCAGTCAGTCAGTCGGTCACTTTCCTGTTATATGCTATCATGTATGTATTATTGATTTTGGTAGATATAGTACCCATTTCTTCAGTGAGAATAACTGACATAATCTAGAGTTGACATTTTCCCAGCTGATCTACCAACTACTAGCTAGATTTTGATTTCACTGTTCTGGAGTAGTAATTCGGCGGCCTGTAGTTCGAGTCTCATCATGACCAAGATTTTCATTCCACTTGTAATCGTCACCCAGCAGATCAATAACAGTCTGTTAACCGAGTGATTTTCTCAGGTAGTCTTACTACCAATTAACAACTCTGATTCTCCACTCCCCCCAACTGTTTTGCTATGATTGAAACGTACTAACTATCCAGCTGGACAGCTGTTATTATTATTATTGTTCCCTTTGGTTCTGAGTAGAATATAAGGCTTCAACAGAAAATCTCCACTTCGATCTATTCTCTGTGGTCCTCTTTAGCTAGCCCTACGATTACCCATAGTTTTTTATCTCTTCCTTACATGATCTCTTCCATGTCACCGTCGGACACGCATTCCACTCATCGTTTCCCATTGGGTTTCCACCCGAGCTATGGCCTTGGGACGTAATGTCATTCGATAGTCTCTTCAGCGAGTTTCTGATCTGTCTCCATTTTCTTCTGCTTATTTGTTGAGTAGTAGGCTGTTGTCTGCTTCGTTCATGGTTGCTAGTTCTTTCTGGCTGACTATCTGATCTTCAGTATGGAGCCAGCGAAGGTAACTGTTGTTTTTAATCAGCAGTAGCCTGTTGGAAATGTTTTACGTGACGTGCCAGTGTTATGATAAACGGATAAGTAACGAATCACTCCTTCACATGGGGATTCACTTGGTAATTTCAATGAGAGAGGATAACTCGGTTGGCAGTTTGGTCTCGTAGATCTGATGGTGGCGTTCTCGAATGATTTCAAGTTTGATCACGGATTGACATCAGTTAGAGGATCAGTACTGGAATACTGAACAGTTGTTTCATCCTACTACATCGGCAGTACTCACCAACCGGGTTTGGGGTCTAGGTCCTTCCGGTAACAAGGTAAGCTAGCTCGTAGACCATTCAGTTACTGGGAGTCGACTCAGTGGCCTGTGAATTGTAATTTCTGCCCATTCCGTGATTTTGGCGCAGCCACCAGGCTCTCGAGTGAAACGCGAACGGGAAGCGGCGAAGTTGGTCGTCAGTGCAAGGGTGACATGGAGGAGGTGGTCATGTGAAGAGGAGATGAAAGCATGTGGGAAGACGTGGAGCAAGATGTGGAAACTTTGGTGGAGAACCGAACGCAATGGAGACGCACAGCTGAAGCCCTATGTTCCTCTAGGAACTAAAGGAAACAATAATAATAACCAGCCAGTGTCATCCATGGCGAGTATTTGTCCTTACATCCGACATGGTCGACCCCAACTGGTCATGACTTCTCACTAGACTCCTCCCTACGTATTATTAATTTTTTTACTTTTGTCATGTGTGTGTGTGTGTGTTAGATTCTCCGTACACTCATTGAAACACGTCCAATCACTCAAAGAGAGGATCTACTGAATATGCTACTACATTTTTGTTCTGTTGATGGACTAGAAGTACGTAAAGCAGCATTGACAGCTACAAGAGAATTAGCTAACTCTGATTCTCGTTGGCAAGAACATATAGAGGTAAGTATAATGTTTTTTTCTATAGGTTTATTATTATACTACTTGTTAGAGACAGATAATTTATGCTTTCTGTTGTTAGGCCAGGTGGTCAATCAGTCAAAATCAGTTACTCCCGACTAAATTTAAGCTAATGCAGCTACCCTTATTGCAGTGGTTGGCATAGTGTGGTTTTCGATCCATGAAGGTCCATTAATAGAGAAAGCCGGATGCGCTTAGGTAAGTCATCAAAACTCGATAATGTAGAGCAAGGTTTAAAGATGATCGGCATCTATCTGTTGGAAGTTCAGCCCACCACGCCCCGTTGTATTTGGAGTAAGACATAGAGCTTCAGGTTTCAAGTTTCAGTCGCGATAGTGTTGTTTTTACACACAAGGTGGAGGGGGCTAGCCTCTCCCACCCAACATTCATTCTTTTTTAGGCCTACTATGTTCTCGTGAACTAGGCGAGGTTGAAGAGTGTGTCGGTCGGTAATCGAACTTTGAGCACTCACGTGATTGGTGGTGGTGGTGGGGCATTATACCACTGAACCACAGGTTGAACAGTGATCCTCAATTCAATGAGCCCGCAGTGCGTAGTGTTGTTGTGAATAGCAAGATTCCAACTTGTTATCTGATCTATCTGAATTATGATTCTACCTGAACACTCTGATTCGGGTTCATACTCGCTGCCCACTGGATGAGTGTCGAATACCTAGGATTGATGAGCCCTATGTTCTACTGGGAACGCAAAGGAATAACAAAAAAATTCGTATTTAAAGTAAAGTAAAAGAGATACTTTGATGTCTCCTTACAGATAGAGTTACTCTGCAACTTTTGTTGTTATTTGATTCCCTAAAAGAATTGGTTTAAATTATACTCGTAAACATAATATTCTTTTATATTTTGGTCACAACCTAACTTCAGTTAGAGAACCATTGAAAACCAGGGAGTAATAGACAACCGTTTCGTCCTTTTCTGGAACTCTTCAACAGTACACATATCTGTGAGACCACCTGAGATTAAACTCAAGACTTTTAAGTTATAAGGCGAACTCGTTAACCATTCAGCCACTAGGCGGAATCCAATACGCTTTGAATTCTAACATTTTCCAGTTTGCAATTATATAGGGTGCGATCTGCAACTGTCCACTCAACCTTGGTGTACCCTGCTAGTCAAGAAGTCTCCCTAGAACTTCATAAAAATTGCATTCTGGCGACAGTTACTAGTGGAGTATATCGATGGAAAAAGGGTTTTGCCTTGTAACTTGAAGGTCTCGGCTTTGACTATCGGCGGAGTCAGAAATTGGTTGTCCAGTATTACTCCCTGGTTTTCAAGGGTTCTCTATCTGCTCAATTTTTGAGTCGATCAAATATTCTTTTTATTCATTTTACTATTATTATTATTATTATTTATCAGATGTTCGCTGTACAAATGCTGAAAAAATTGTTACAACCACGTCCAACTGCAGACATATTCCCTTTTCTTAATCATGCTTCAATACCGTCTACATGGACAGATGAAGCGTGTCAAGCATGTGCACATTTATTTCTTGGTTTGATGCCACAAAGTCCATCACTTATGCATAAGTATGTTTTATTTCTATTAATTTTTTTTAATCATTACTTGTTTTCGTTGATCCAACTTTGATTGTAATCCCCTTTGCGCTCTATTGTGGTGATTTCAACGCGGGGTTTGAATCCCAAAGGGGGGGGGATTTTACACACACCTTACTGTGGCGAGTGTCAACAAGGGTGGAAATGAGCGTCTCATGCTTCTATGCTATGCCTCTTCATTTTTTCTGTAATCTGAACAGCCTTACGAACCTCATACATGGTATGGTGGAGACTGCATATCCCCCCTCATTGAAAGAAGTCTCATCGGCTGACTCGCTTCCAAAGTATTTTCACTCTGTGGTGTCATCCGTTCTCGTATTGAGAAGTTTTCCCGATTCTAGTGAACAATAGGTTTATTTTGCCATGCTTTCAAATTTCTGCGGCTTTGTAGGGAGGTAGAGGTGGGTTTTTTTTAGCACAGTCAGGTTTTTCAGGGACTTTCCCCCTTTGAACAACCCATCAACCCATGAAATAAACTAGTGACTGACTAACCGGTATTGGTTACAGGTTTGTTCATGAGTCGAGGGAACTATTGAAAAGCCACCAGAGAGAGTACTGGACATCTGTTTTGCCCTAGTGCTTGAGGATCCTTGGCAGTACTCAACCACTGGGACCCAATCGAATGACCCATGAATCCCGTCTTCTGTGCGACATATAGACATTGCAAATTAGCAGAATTTGGAATTCGTGAACCATTGGATCAGGTCCTAGTGGCTAAATGGTGGTCTACAAGCTCGGCTTGCAACTGGAAGGCCCTGGGTTCGAACCCCAGCGGTTGTATGTCGCTGAAGAGTCTCGAGTACTAGGGTGAAACAGCTGCCCAGTACTGTTTGGTGGTTTTCCATTGGCGTTCTTTAAGTGATGTCAGCTTTATGTGTTTGTATACTTTTAGTGTCCTTCGATTATTATTATTATTATTATTATTATTATTATTATTATTATTATTATTATTATTATTATTATTGGTAGTATTATTAATGGTGATACTATTGAATAATTGTTAATTACACCTCCCCCTCATTGTTTATTCTTTTTCCATCTTCTTTTTTTTATTGAACAGGTTAGCTGAAGTATATACTCAGGCTAGTCCAAATATTAAACGATGTCTACTGAGAATGGTGGATTCTCCAGTTAGTTGGATTTGTTGTGTTGTTGTTTTTTGTTTTGTTTTCAATTTTGAATGTTATTCAAGGGGTTAAGTCTCGTTTCTTTTGTGTGTTTTACCTAAGTATGGTAAATTAGGTGTGTGTGTGTGTGTGTGTGTACTGCACATCAGCAGTCCACTTTGTCCTCCTTTATGACTGTGAATGAGACATATGGTCACTGAAAGTCGTAGACGTGAAAAGGCTGGATGTCTTTGATCACAGATGTCTGTTTTGTATCGCCCATCTTAGGTGGTATGATACAATGAGTAATATTGAGATTAGGCTTTGAGTGTTACATAATGAGGGAAAGTTAATCGATATAATTGTGAAGCTACACCGATTGAGATGGTTAGGACATGTGTTTTGCATGCCTGGCCGTTGTCTTCCTCAACTGACGGGCAATGTTAGCTGACTGACATAGGACTGCTCAGGTTGGAAAAGAGCCAGTGTTGATCAAAACAAAACACGGCCTCATCACTCAATGAAATCCACAACAGTTAGTTTAGGCCAACCACGTAAGAAGGTGTAGACCTCTTGGCTGGTTGGGGTCCTCGGGATGGTGGTAGGAACCAATGGCGTTTGGAGACAATTGATGGTGATATGGCTCAAAACCATCGTTCTCAATGGCTGGTGAAGATGCATCCACTCCTTGTGACTCATAATATCCAATAAAACTATATGTTTCTTCGATATTACTATTCTTTTCACTTCATATCTTTGTTTACTGTGTCTATTTTGCGTTTCTTTTTACTTTCTTCTCTTGCTTTGTGTGTTGAGTGAAGTGTGGCAACTCGAACTGCTGCACATTGGTGTAAAGTTGTACGTTGAAACCAGTCAGTCAGTCAACAGCTTCCTTCGCTGCTTCCATACTGAAGATCAGGTGGTCAGAAATAATAACCAACACGGAACTCTGACAACAAATCAACTTACAACCCCTATTACCCGACAAATATGTAGAAGGAAACGAAAGTGAATTGTACACAATCACACACTGAGGAAACTATTGAATAACGTTATGCACGTGGGGAATCCGAATGGGAAACAACAGGTTGGGCGTGGGTGGTGACTGAGTCTGATCAGCAGGAGTAGTTTGCATAAGCAAGGAATGAAACCTTGTGTGGGCAATCGTGAAGCCAGCTAAATATAAGACTATAGAGAACAGTCTGTCTGTCTGTCTGTTTTCAACAGAGGACTTTGCACCGATGTGCACCAGTTCAAGTCACCACACTCCCTCCTTGTAGCACACAAAGCCAGAGAAGAAAGTAAAACGAAATGCAAAATAAAGACAGTAAACAGAGATATGAAGCAAAAAGAATAGTTATTTGGAAGAACAATATGGTTTTATTGGGTTTTATAAGTCACAAGGAGTGGATGCGCCAGCCATTGAAAACGATGATTTTGAGTTAGTCATATCGCCAATTGTCTCCAGCCGCCATAGGTTCTTACCATCATCCTGAGTACCTTAACTAGAGAAGTCCACACCTTCCTACGTGGCTGGCTGACTTAAACTAACTGTTGTGGATTTCATTGATTGATGAAGCCATATTGGTTTTGGTTTGACCACCACCACTGGCTCTTTTCCAGTCTGAGTGGTCCTATGTCAGCTAACATTGCCCATCGGTTGAGGGAAGCGATGACTAGTCATACATGTGTAACACATGTCCTAACGATCTCAGTCGATGTAATGGAGGTGTGCCTTGGCTGATGCCCTTGCGCTCCATCACATTATGCTCATAGTGTTCATGTCATTTTCTTAGTATTTAGTGTGATAAACACTCAGTTTGTAGTTGACTGTAGAAATCCTTCTCTTGTTCTGAGACGTTTGTAGGCGCATAGCATTGAATGATTGTAACCTTCCTTCCTTTTGAGTTGAACCTGACTGTCATTATCCTGGAGGAGATTGGTTCCCACTGCATGATAACTTTAGGGAACAATAATAATAATAACACTCAGTTAGTTAAAGCGTAATTTCCTTGTTTTTATTCTCTCATATTTTTTCTTCCTTTTTTAGATTCGAGATATTGGTATTTATTCAGTAGATTTACAAAATCTAGTCGATGAATGTCCAAATGGTGCTGAAACTCTGATCACACGTATGATACACATTTTGACTGATTCACCATCAGCTGTTTCAGCTGCCAGCAATGCACACACTGCCACAAATTCATCATCTGTTACTGCAAGTACACCGGCTAAAACACACGCCTTACCTCATAGTCCTCCTCCTGCTCAGACATCATCATTATCAGCTGGGACGCCGTCAACAACGTCAACTGTTGTCGGACCAGGTGTTATTGTCCCACCACCATCGTTAGTCAGTCGTGTCTATCGTCTGTATGAAGAAAAAGTACACGATGTACGTTGTCTTATTCCTGTTATTGTTGGTTTAACTAAACAACAAGTCATAGCTGCTTTACCGAAATTAGTACAGTTGAATGAAAAGGTTGTTAAAGAAGTATTACACCGTTTACTTCATGGTAAGTGGATCAGATTGTATGTCTACGTAATAGTTATTTATTTATTATTATTTCATGACTGATCTGAAACTTATTTCAATGAATGAACCATTGAAAGCTAGGGAATGAGTACTTAACTGGACATCTGTTTCGTCCTAGGACCTGGGGCTCTTCATCAGTACACGCCCCACCAGGATTCGAACCCCAGGACCTTCCGATTACAAAGCGAGTCGCTGAAATGACCCCAGGACTCTAACCTTGCTACACCAGTCAATTTAATCGGCGAGTAAATTCGTCTTTACACCCGTAATTCGGTGAATCCTACTGGTTATTACTCTTCCCGCTAGAACTTCTGGCAACTATCATCATTGTAAGCGCAATATCGCTTGAAATTAAGTCACGCGTAGTAGATAAAGGCTATCCCGGTCTAGAACAAACAAGAAGCCAGTCACTGTTTCTACGGTACTATTAATAAACGAATGAATAACTACATATATATACAACAAACCTTAACGGTTTCTAGAGTACAAAGCACAACGCTTAACAGAAAGCAAGGCACCGCTATCAGAGCGGAATAACGTTAAAGCCAAAATTGTGAACTAGCCGGAATCAGACACGACCGTTCAGGTAAGCAGTCAGTAGAAGAATGAACCCAAGTAAGAGATAGACAGAGCATAGGCACAAAAATAGAGTTTAATTGGCTACTTAACCAGGTAGGCTGATACAGATGAAGATCAATAAATAAGATAAACTCGATAGAATAGTACAAAGTAAGACATGGGTCAGCAAAAATAACAGTTCACAAAAATACTCTGATTGGGTCATGAGTTCAACTGTCTGACTAAAAGGATCGAAGTAAAAACACACACACACAGTTCACTAAACAAGGTGGGATAGACACGTTAGGCATGGATAATTGGGTTGCAACAACGCTAGGCTGATCCGGGACAGGTTGACTTGATTCAAGGATGGGAATTGAATTGATCTTACAATCATCCTGTAGCCAGTCGTGGTTGATACACGTACACACACTCACCCTGAATAGCTGTCTGTGTAGATTTGTAACGATAGAAGACAAGGGTCAGGCAACAAATCGTTTATTGAGAAAATCAAGAGAGATTTATAGATTTTTATGTACATTATTATTAGCCTTATTGTTAGCAGAGAAGCAACTTCTTCTGACTGGTTGTTTTCTTGCTGAAGGTTATTCTATACTGCGAGTCGTATTTACATACGCTAAGTCTGCTGTGATTGGTTGTTGAGTTCGTCAAGGTTAAGCTTTTTTATTGTGCTTTTTTTCTCATGACCTGGATTCGCGACGTAAACATTGTCGTGAATTGTTGTCTACAATTTTCGCTAGCAGACAGCTGTCACCATAGATTTAGTTTTTTTCGCCGAACGCAGGTCAGATCAAAAGATAGATTAATTGATATATTTTGATGAATGAGTTGTACTCAAAGGTTGTGCATGGAAACAAAATAATATATAGAATTACACAAGGGTTTTAAGTTAGAAAAATAAGCATACAAACAGAAGTAAGGTCAGGTCAAACAAACAAAGAAGAGTTGGGTCAAATCAACGGAGTTGTTACCATGCGCATCAACAAACTCTTAGCGTACTTTTTATACTAGGAATCAATAATTGTGTTTAACTGGAAGCTGTTCATAATCACATGTGAAGAGATTAAACAGAAAAATGTTGCTTTAGCAAACATTTGTATTTCCATACAACTGGCAGACAGTAATCCTGCCCTTATTGCGTGTATCTGTAAGTTTAGTGTATGTGTTTAGCGTCATCTCAGTGTAAAATACCTTTGTAAGATTGTCATAAACCTTCACCTACAGTCACGCTTGCAGATGGACTGTTAGAAGAAGTTGACAGTCAACCAAAAGCCTCAACAACGAAAGAAGATAAAGCCAACATCATCTACAAAATAAATCGTAACAACTGCGAAAAATACTACATTGGCTAAAGTGGACGTCCACTTCGTCTTCGTATCCATGATCATAAACTAGCCGTCAAAAGACAGGATATTCACTCGAACATATCGTTGTATACATACTACCACGGACATCAATTCGACTGGAAGAACGTTCAAATATTGGATAGGAAACACCAGAAATGGTAGAGAATTTTTGGGAGTTTGGTCTTCTAGTGAATCATCAATTAATAGACACACATTGACATAGACAAAATCTACCAATTGATAAGAAGGAAATCTCACGCACAATGGGTCAAACTTCAGGTCAAGGAAACAATTAGTACCAATAAAAGTAGCCTAGAGGGTATGAAAACACAAAAACAACCAATCACGACGTTCAAGGTCACCGCCAGAAGAGATGACTGATAAACCCGTGTAGAAATCTAAAAGCTCACTCTAATAAATTGAAGTATGCACTGAAGATGTTGCCTAGTAGGGTAATGAAAGCTTCGCAAGTAAACCGTTCATCTGAGAGAACACAACTACACCAAAATCATCCATCTGAGTTACAAATCATCTCCATCATATCGAAGTCGACAGGTAGTTGTATGAGTACTGGCGGAGGTGTGACGGATGAGATCTTTAATTGTATAGTGAAAGCTTGTGTGGCAAACACCAATTTGAGCCATATCTGGCGCCGTCGCGACGTTAGCCTAGCTGTCGAAGTTCAGGTTTTGATCAGTGCTTTAGTGAGCGCAGTCTTGCTCTAAGCCTGTGAAATCTTCTCTCTCAGCCTCATGATGTGCTGTGATTCTGCTTATTCAACCATCACTCTCTACGTGAAATTGCTTGCGTAATTTTGAGGTTCGCTAGCGTGTGTTTGGACACGACGGAGGCCACTTTAGATTCAGTGTCGTCATCCGGGAAAACCAGCTTCTTTGGCTGGGACATGTGCTACGAATGTCATCCCAGCGGCTTCTGTACTTTACTTTTACTTTACTTCGGCTATTTCCTACGGGAGGATGAGCCGGCTTCATGAACATCTCGAATCAAGAGAGTTCGTGAAGTTTCATGGGAATTTGGTACGAGTGATGTCCCCAGAATCGCTCGGCCTTTTGTTTGAGAGTGCAGCTCTAGCCTTTACACAACCAAGTGTGACCTACAAGGCAGTAGGAGTGGAGTAGGGAGTCCAATATCCATTGGCAGCCGGTGACTGGAGTTCGGTTCATACGCCTTTTTGAATGTTGAATCCAGCCAGCCAGCCTTTTTGAATGGGGCCAGACATCCTGGACATCCAACAAGCCCTTTGTCCATACGTCTGCCGGTGAGCTTCATACGCCAGTCGTTGGAGGTTTGGAATCAGGGTTTAGCCATCTCCCCTAGACTGTCATCCAATGGACAGTGAACCCGGTGAAGAGCTCCGGGCATCCGCTTCTGTATCGGTCTGTGTTCTCTGGACCTAGGAGACTGGATGCAAAAAGCTGAGAGGTTGTCAGCCTATGACGTGACTTCATGGGATGGAGGATATTTGTCTTAGGTTAGCATTAGTTGGTAAACCACAACTCCCTGGTTGAGATCCAAACGATAGTTCGAATCGATGTCTTGAGACTCTATCTGATGTGACCAAGCATTACAATCATTGGTTAGTGGATGATGAGCGCTTAGACACCCACCCAGTTGTGCGCTACAACTCACAACGTGTGCTTGTGTTTTAAACGTCATTCTATTTCTTCTGATTGAAGAGTGTCAGTTTTTTATAGCAATCTGTGTTCTACTATGATCTCTTTTGTTTTTTCTTTTCTTGTTTCACAGCTAGTGTATCTACTCAATATGCTCCAGTAATTAAAAATGTTAAAAATATTCCCTTTGATCCAACTGGTAAATCTCCCCCACCTGGTCCATTGAAACCTGAAGAATTGCTAGTCGCCGTGCATTTATTAGAATTTGCTAGAGATCCTACAGCCCAACCATTGAATGAAGGTATTGTCCTGTTTGTTGGTTTGTTTGTTTTTCTCTCCTCTTTTTTTTTATCTCTGTTGTACCGCAAAATACCCACCCATTGGAGAGTAGTAGTGTAATAACAGAAGGCAAGGGCCAGGCAACAGATCATTTATTAAGGAAATCAACGCATATTTATATATTTTCATGTACATTACTATGGATATTTAAGCCAACAAACACAGTCTTCCGATTGGTTGTTTCTCACGTAAAGTTAATCTTTCATCTATTTGTGACTGTTTCTTGAATGTCAAATCCTCTATCTGTTAACTGCATCCGCCTACGCAAAGTCTGCTGTGGTCGGTTTTGAAACAATCTTTGTTCACATTTTCTCACGAAAATCTTGGGAACGTAAATATTGACGTAAATTGCTGTCTACCAATTTGGCTAGTAGACAGCTCTCACCACAGTAGTAGTGGTCTTGAAGGAAGGTTAATTGTTTTTTGACCTCAAATGCTTGCATTCTATCTCCCATGTTAAACAGTATAATATAGTGTATACTATCAGGTTTAGGCGTAGTGTTGTGTTAAGTGAAGAGGGCTAATCAGTCGATGAGGTTTCGTGAAGGTGTATATCGCTTAAGATGACTAGAACATGTGTTGCAAATGCCTGTCAACCCACTAACATATAGGGTTGGATTGGTAAAGAGTTGGTGAGTGGTCAAGTTAAAATCTGATATCAATCCATAAAATCTCTAATTGTTTGTTTGATCCTGACAGTGTAGAGAAGTGTAGACTGTATGTGGGGTTGGTTGGTGTCCTCAGGAATCTAAAAATCGATTGCTTGAGACTATTGGTGAGGCTATGGCTAGAAATCTCCCTCACTCAATGTCGGGGATGCATTCACTGTTTGTGGTAACTCTCAAGGTCCATCAAGCACGTATGTCTTACAGTGTTACTATTCTTCCTCATGTACATTTCTGCTCATTTATCGTTATGGTGAATTTCTCTTCGCTATCTTTGTGTGTGGTATATGGAGTGTGGCAATTTGAACTGGTCTACGTCAGTCAGTCATTCGTGTGGGGGGAATGGCTGTACAATCGCGTTTATGTTCCGTAAGAAGTGTATTATTATTATTGTTCCCTTGGGTTCCTAGTGGAACAAAGGGCTTCAACTGCACGTCTCCACTTGCTTCTGTCTTCTGCTATACTTTTCACATGTATCCATGTTAGTCCATACTGTTTCAACTCTTCTTCACACGATCTCATCCATGTCACTCTTGGACGTATCACTACTCGCCGCTTCCCTTTCGGGTTCCACTCGAGCTATGGCCTGACGCGCGATGTCAACCGACGGCCTCCTTAGCGATTGTCCAATCCCTCTCCACTTTCTCCTGCATATTTGTAGGGCGATTGGTTCTTGTTTTGTTTGTTCCCATAGTTTCTTGTTGGTGATTCCTTCCGGCCATCTTATCTTCAGTATAGAGCGAGCGAAGACAGTTGTTGATAAAGGTCTGCAACAGGCTGTTGGAAATATTCTTTGTGACACACTGGCCAAGTTTCTGATCCGTATAGAAGAGCTGACTGACTTGACGTCGTTTGTATTGAAAATCCGAATTTTGTTGTTGATGCTGAGTGACGAAGACTTTCAGATTGGTTTCAGTTTGATGAATGTGTTTCTCGCCTTCCCGATTCTCGATTTGACATCCTCGTTTGTTCCTCCTGTAGTTGAGACAATGCTACAATGTAAGAAGTGTATGTCAGTCTTTTATTGAGTAATAAAGAGGAATATAGTCATTGAGAAGTAGTTTTTGAGGATAGACAAAGTTTATGTAATATTTGGTCATCCGAATGGGAATAGATTGGTCGGCAGTCGTTCTAAAGGTGGCATCTAGAAGGGAGCATGTGGAGAGGAGGGGGAGTAGGAAATTAAATTTTGTGGGTAGTTATGAAGTCGGGTAAAAGTGTGGTGGCAGAGAGGAGCAAGCGTAATGGGGAGATGGGCCGTCTTAAGCCCTATGTTCTTCCACTTTGAACTCAAGGGACGAATGATAATAAAAATAATACGGATTATTTTGGTGAAAAAGTCGTCTAAATTAATCTGCTCATTTGATAATCGTATATTGTTATTTATTTATTTTTCTTATCTGTCCTCAGGAAAACCAACAAAACCCTATGTAAATCTTCAATCTATCCTCCATGCATGTCGTGTTTGTTTCTCGGAACGTCGTTTATTTACTCAGGAACGTTTATCAGTTGCAATTGGACAGCTATTAGAACAACCTGTACTACCTACTCTGTTTATGCGTACTGTAATGCAAGCGTTAGCTTTACATCCAAGATTAACTGGTTATGTGATCAATGTGTTGGTTCGATTAATACGTAAACAGGTTTGTTGACCATTAATCTTAATAGCAATGCTCTTTTTTGTGCCCCCAGTATGAAGATGAGCCGTCCTTACTTACTCACTTACTAGCTTTTGAATTGGCAGCATTGCATGGCTGTTTATTCCTATCACTTGGGATTCTTCAGCAGAACAATCCCACTGGGGTCTGGACCTCAGTGATAATGTGTTGTAACTGAGATGAAAAAAAATAATCTCCGTCGCCAATTTGTTATAACTGATACTGAATTGAATAAAAATCCGTTGCTACTTTGGGCTAAGTTAAACTTTAAGTACCACTAGCCATCAATGGAAGGCGGCCACATCAATGACCTTGAAATGCTCACTGAGCAAGTTAGTGAAACCTGGCAAATAATGTTGTCATCATCAATAAAATATGCTCAACGAAGTGTTACGTTATTAAATGGGATATCTGGCCACTTTCAGCTTAGGTTTGGGAAAGATTAAGTTGAAGTTTAATCCAAGGACAAGTTAGGGTTAGGTTAACCTGATAAAGGCGACATTAGGGTTGGTTCGAGTTAGATTACAGTTAGTTTAGGGATATGTTTCACGTTAGGGTAAGAAGACCTAAATAATCGTATGCATAGAATTTGGTTGTGCACTGTGGTAGCAGAGTATAATTCCATTGCGGGGTAAAATTTATTTTGATAAAGTCTCATAGTGTTATACAGTAATATTTGCTGATGACCAGGTCTTGAAGAACCTAGAAGACCTGGATTTCGCGCGTGGATGATTTATGTTTGATGTCACACAAAATCGAAGACTTACAAGCGAAAACCGACAAACTGGTCGGTCGAAGAAGCAGCAAAGACAGGACTCCAGGTGAACATAGACAAGATGGAGGTCATGAAAATAACCAACCAACCAACAACAACAACAGCAGCAACATCCAGCACCAATCACCATCAACGGGAGGGATTTGAAAGAGGTTACTTCATTCACTTACTTATCTAGGGAGCATTGTCTCAACTACAGGAGGAACGGACGGATGAGGATGTCAAATCGAGAATCGGGAAGGCGAGAAACACATTCATCAACCTGAAACCAATCTGGAAATCTTCGTCACTCAACTCACCATCAACAACAAAATTCGGATTTTGAATACAAACGCCAAGTCAGTCAGTTCTTCTATACGGATCAGAAACTTGGCCAGTGTGTCACCAAGAATATTTCCAACAGCCTGTTGCAGACCTTTATCAACAACTGTCTTCGCTCGCTCTATACTGAAGATAAGATGGCCGGAAGGAATCACCAACAAGAAACTATGGGAACAAACAAAACAAGAACCAATCGCCCTACAAATATGCAGGAGAAAGTGGAGATGGATTGGATACTCGCTGAGGAGGCCGCTGGGTGAAATCACGCGTCAGGCCATAGCTCGTGTGGAACTCGAAAGGGAAGCGGCGAGTGGGAAGTCCAAGGGTGGCATGGATGAAATCGTGTGAAGAGGAGTTGAAACGGTATGGACTAACATGGATTCAGGTGAAAAGTACAACAGAAGCAAGTGGAGACGTGCAGTTGAAGCCCTATGTTCCACTAGGAACCCAAGGGAACAATAGTAATATTAATACTGATGACCACGTTTCGAACACAATTTATTACTCAGTAAATATCACTGTATAACACTTTGAGACTTTATCGAAGTAAATTTCACCCACATTGGAGTTATATTCTGTTGATATTCCAACCTAAAACTGAGAGCTATTTTTATCACATAGGAGATGAAGGTATCCTATATAACCTTATTACACAGATTTATGCATTTTTTTTCATAAATATGTGTTCCATACACAAAAATGCCTCCTTCACGTGATTGGTGCGTTCGAGGTCATCCTCTGATTGGTAGTCAGTAGTGGTGCTCATAGTTTAACTTTGCCCTACTTTGTTCTGTCTGCGCCTGTTAATTACTATAACGGTCGGTAATGAACTCGGCTGGCCCACTAGTATGCCTCTATTTGTCCGTTGTACCTTCCGATTCACTGAGTCACACAAATATCAAAAGACAAAGGCTGGCTTGTAACTGTAAGATACTGTATTGTACATCTATTAAGATACAAAACATCATATTTATATATTTAATTTATCACAACAATAATACAGTTGGCTCACAACCATGGGAATGGATTGTTCTTATTGGCTGAAAATGTCTATTCTGATTGGTTTGTGATCATCAGACAAAGACGACAAGGTGAGACAATAGACGATGAATTGGTGACACACACACACACACACACACACACACACTAAATCACAATGTGCGTGAGAAATGATGATACATTCGCATATAGTAACTCCATGCCAAGATAAATCTCACACGATTCATGAGAAAGGATGATATACTACAACTGTATGCTGGGTGTTATCACAATGAGTGGTTGTTAACCTTTCGGCAATTGAGAACCGAGCCAATGACCACCAGTTCATGAATTCCAACTTTTGTCAATTCGAAATATATATGTAGGGCAATTGCCAACCAATTTCATTGGAGGGTAATTGGCTTAGTGGGTCACGCTGATTGCTAATTCTCACTAGAATTCCAGGTAACTCTCTGTATAGACTCAATCACTAAGTGAGTTGAAGAGTCTTGGACTAGGACGAAGCAGCAGCTGTCCAGTACTCCCTGATTTTCCAGTGATTCTCCAACTGATATCACTTCGTGTTTGTAATTGTAATGCATTAAATGCCTGAAAATCATCAGCTGAAAGTTGCCATTAGTCTTCTTTATATGAATTAGTTATTAAGGTGATTCATTTCATCAATGTGTGAGACAAGAATTTTATTGATAATTTTGTCATGCGGAATAGAGATGTACTTCATTAGATTAAACCCTCGACTTTTAGCTAATGGACTTGTAGTTCGAATCCGGTCCCGCATACTCCACTTTTTGTGAGTGACTGAATTGTGGCTCATACCAAGAGTAATTTAATTCTAACTAAATGACTATAGTCTAACGACTACGTTGTTTGAATGAACGTTTAGTGTTAATCTCTCATAGATGGTTTCAATTCAATATTATTTTGGATTGGTAGTGCATGTTATACTGTGTATTCATAATACTCATTCATATTATTATTATTATTATTGATATAATAGGTATGGAAAAGTGAAAAACTATGGGATGGTTTTATCCGTTGCTGTGTGAAAACTAGACCACAAAGTTATCAAGTCCTGTTACAATTACCACCGGATCGATTAGAAGCTGTATTCCGATGGGAACCAGCTATGCGTGCTCAAGTGAGACGTTATGTAGAGAATTTCTCTTCAGCTCAGGTAAGTATTCTTCGTTGTCCTCTTCTGCTTCTTCTTCTCTTTTACCTCCCCCTCCCACTGCCTTCTTCTCAACGTTATATGTCCAATTATTTTTTCTATTTTGGCTATATCAGTCTTTGTTATCTAATCATTTAATGTGTTTTGAATGTGTGTGATGTGGTTGTTGCCAGGAGTTTTATAGTGCTATTATTATCACCATCAATATTAAGACACCAAATAGGTATATACTATAGGTACCAAGAAATGCGTCATATAAAGTCCCTCAGTTTGTCCGAGGGTTAGGATACACTGCCCGAACACCCAGACCGAATCAGGTACATGTCTTAAAGTGTGTAATCCACCGAACTTTTGATTTGAAGTTTGATCTACAAGACAGTGGAGCTACGTTCTCATAGTTGGTGGTAACCAAGACAGATGCATACACCATTCAATCCTTCTGGATTCTGGAGCCTATGTACACCACAGGGTTTTCCGGCTTCCCGATACAGACCCGGATATCCACCAGTTTGATTGTCAGAGTATTCACGCTTTCAATCTTGTGAGGAACCCCCCCCCCGCCGCGCCGTCACATGAAGACGGTGAATAGGACTTACCTGGAAAAGGCTATGAATGCGTGCTCATGTGATAACATTTTGAGAGAAAGTCTGAAGTCCACCCACTCTAGGCCGTAGCATGTCGTTTATTGAGGCGTTTTGTAGTGTGCTCAACTGGTGTAGGCACTGAGTATTAGAAAAACTGTACAACCATCGATATGTAGGGAGTTTTACAATCAATCTCATGTTGTGTAGTCTCATTCACACTGACTGAATTCTACCGGTGAAGTTTGTAATATGATGAGTGAGCAAGACTCATTGTGTTGCAGTACACTTCAGTTAATCTGTTTCGTCCTAGTTTGTGACCCTTTAACAATACTGGGCTGTCGGGGATCTAACTCAGGGCCTTCCGGCTGCAAGTGGAATTCGTAAACCATTCAACCTCTGGGACAAGATCCAATGGGGAATAGAGACTTGACAGCAGCACATCACCATTTCACTCTGATTTCTGCAATCTTGTTTTCAGATGGTTCCATGTGACCCTCTTTTCCCATTCGTTTTCCGTCACAGGACCTGGCACTTGATGTCATTTGACGGTCTTTTCAGCATTTGTCCAATCCATCTCCACTTTCCTCGGTATATTTATTGCACAATAGGTTGTTAGTTGATTCGTTGAAAGTGTTTGTTGTGTCTAATCCTTTCTGGCTGTCGATTTAACCCTCAGTAGTATCGAGACAGAGAAGGTAGCCGTTAATGAAGGTCTGCATCAATCTTCTGGAAATGCTTCTGGTTACGCGTGCTTCGGTGTGTCAGTGGCACAGCGGTTAGGACGCTCGCCAACCATTCACATAGTTTTGGGTTCGATCCCCGGCCGCCAACGCACTCCCTTACCTCGCTAAGCCAGAAATAAAAGCTGGTAAAGAGGAAAGGTTGGGCATGAGGCAGGCTAGCAACCGCATCCTGTAAAAATAATCACCATTGCTATAGAAACTTCAAGCCTCTAGCTTGAAGTAGCCCTATGTCCCAGCACTGGGAACGTGAAGGAATAAAAACAACTCGTGCGTCAAGTCAAGTCCCTGGACCATAGAGAAGCTCAAACTGTCTTGAAATTAGTGTCAACAATTCGAATCTAGTTCCTTATACTGCTGACGCATATGAATGTGTAAAATCGAACCGTTTCAGTAAGCTTGAACTTACGTGTTTGTTGAGCGATTAGTTTAATGTCCACCTGACGCCTTGTGTGCATCAATGGGAGACTGCGTCACACACAGTCCTGTGTATTATTTTTTTCAGAATAAATGTTCTCAGGAACTTTAGACTGACCTGCGTCATAAATTTTCACCGTCGTTTTCCATCCTTTTTTTTATAGCGTATTCATATTTCAAAAGCAATTGTTGAAGTTCTAGAACATGTACCTACACCACCTCGTGTACCGACACCTGAAGATCAATCAAAACCGGATGACGTTGTTGCCGTTGGTGGTGGTGATGCTGATGGTGATGGTAACGGTGACGGTGACGGTAATACTACAGAAGTTAAAGAACCAAACACCACCACTCAATCTGGAAACAACAGTCCAACATCATCAGGTCCAGGTACACCTACACGTGATGAAATGTCACACTATGACGCCGCACCATCATTTATCCCGGCTGGAATGTTCAATCAACCAGCTACTAATATCCCTGTGATGAATATAGACACTGTTACATCTAGTGAAATCGATAATCAATATCATCAAATCCCTTCATTATTGACTGGATCAAAAACTGTTATACAACAAGTCGCTGGATCATACAATCCACCGTCGTCTAGTCAATCGAATCTGCTTAAAACAACAACAACAACAGCCGCCACCAACATCACAACGACACCACTGACAACTTTGTCTGATATACCTAGTGTTGTCGCAGGCGACGATACAGAAGTAGATCCAACTGTAGAGGAATTATTCGAAGCTGATTATCAATGCCAGTCATCCTCAGCACAGCAATCACAACCACCAATAGGAGAAGGATCAGTTCCACCACTGGTCGATGAATATGATATGAATATGATGAATCATTCACCGCCTCAAATCACAATGGATATATCACATCAATTGAAGAAGAATATGAAGTCGAAACCAGCTTTAGTTCTACAAGAAATGGACAATGATCAATTGGATTTTGAAGAAAATTCTGGTGAGTACTAATCGATCGATATCACTATTAGTATATGTGTAAAACTTGGGCACCGTGGTAGTAAGTAATTCCATATTAGTTTGTTTATTAGATGTATCACACAATCAGTGAAACAGTATTATTTACTGGATGACGAGGTTTCGAACAAAATTTATCGTGGTTCATAATCATATCAGTTATAATCACACGACTTCGAAACTTTCGTTTTATAGTTTTCTTTGTTCTCTCCTATTTGTCGTCGTCGGGGTAGTAGAATTTTCCAGATATCCGACTGGGAAGGTGTTAAATCATTCCTATTACAGTTATGTGCAGTTGATTCGATTTGTCATGGGGTCACTAATATCCCCGGTTGTAGCAGATATATTCATGGATAGGTGGGAAAACGTAGTGATTGAAACGTTCAGCCCCACAGCACAAGTATGGTGTAGATATGTAGATAGCACATTCACTGTACTTTAGAACACAAGATATAGATAGATTTTTCGAACACATTAACTCAAGGGTGGAGGCAATTCAGTTCACTTATGAATTGGAAAGTCAGGAAGCGGGGGAGCTTCCAATGTTAGATTGTAGCGTATTAAAAAGGAAAGAAGATGGGAAGTTAAACACACACTAGTGTTTACAGGAAACCCACACATTCAAACCGATATTTAGATTTCCAATCATCCCATCCGATGTCAGTGAAAATAGGACTGGTGAAATGCTTAAGTAATAGAGCACAAAACTAAGTAGTACGAAGGAAAATCTAATACAGGAAGTGAGGCATATAAGAGAAGCTTTGCAACTTAATAATTACCCTGATAAATTAATCAGTATGTAGGGAAATGTAAAAATAAAATAAATAATGATAGTAGTGATAGTGCTAGTGATAATAATAATATTAACGACATGCATGTCAAACATGCGCAGCATAATGACAACACCAAGAATAAGGAATCTAAATCATCAGTAGTAATTCCATACAAGGAAGGAAACTTGGAAACCTTATGCCGGAGAATTCATAACAGGGCAGGAATAAAAGTGGCTGGCATTCAAACCAACCCCAAACTCAATTAGAAACAAGCTTTGTTGGTTAAAGGAACAGTTTTGTAAAGCCAATTAAACAAAACAATTTAGTTTATCTAATACCCTGTCTGCGATGATTGTCAAGTCAAATACATGGGTGAAAGTAGTAGAACGGAGCACAAAAGCCTAGCAAAATCTAGATTAGTTGACCCGAATGAGATAAGAAATCTAGAGAATAGTTCAGTTATGCCACTGACTGCATGCAATTACACACAATCATACAATAGGGTGGATAGGATAAGATGACAGTTTTAAAATCTAATGTAACAGCAGGGTGGATGGAGAGATTGATAACGGAAGCTTTGTTTATCGAATCAACTGCAAATACATGTAATAGGAATGATTCATCACCTGTTCACCCAGATATTTTGAAAATTCTACTACCGTGCCTACGACGACAAATAGGAGAGAACAAAGAAACTTTAGTTTTATGGTTTTAAACCAAAGTGTCAAAGCCGTGTGATTACAATTGATATGATTATGAACAATAAATTTCGTTCGCAAGGTAATCCAGTAAACAATACTGTTTCACTGACTGTGTGACACATCTAATAAACAAACTAATATCAATCAACATCCCGTTGTTTTCCCATTTCCGTTGTTTCATGTGTTTTTTGCGTTTGTAACCTTTGTTTTTAGAAGTTGATATGTAAGGGTAATTGTACCACTTGGAAAATATGTGTGTTAATGTATAAAAAGACTTTTGTAGATGTGATTTCTGGCTGTCCGTTGATAGATGTGTTATGTCCTGTGAGGGTAGTCTGTCTCGATATGTTTCACGGTTGTTGAGACATGGTCATTTTAAGTAGAAGATAGAAAGAGGCCAGTGATCCTTGAAACATAGATGTCTACATTCGGTTTCCCACGTTAATTGACATAATTAATTGATCAAATTGAATTTTAGATTTTCCCGTCGATTGATTGAACCGAAGTGCTCGGTCTCAGGTTGACATGTCGGCTTCTTGTGCAGATGCTTCGACGATGTCTGGGCATGTAATCACAGTTTAATGTCCGTACAAAGTTTGAGCATTGTGGAATAGATCAAATAAAGCATAATTATATATTTCAATAGTTTACACACCATGATGAGTTTTTGCTTTTTGTTGGTAATATTTCGAGCAAAATTACTTACTGCCCGTGATCACACACCAACTGTTGGAATTGTTTTATTTTTTATATATGTCCAAACCAAGTTCACTTTTAACAGTTTGAAAAAATTTGGGCATTGGGTATATGATATTCATTATAATAAAGGTTGTTTTTTGTATTTCCCAATGAATGAAAAATAAAACGAGATTGTTTTTACTGACATTTCGCTACTTAATGCTGCTAATAGCTTTATCAAATTATTATTAAACCGGAATTTACAAAATCTCAGCATATATATAACATAGAGTTAAGGGGTGAGAAAATAGACTTAGGTCAAGTTAAACGGACATATTGAAAGTAAAAATAGCAATAAAGATCACTAAACCAAATAACAAAGGTAATAGTACATCTGTTATGATATCAAAACGAAGTTTACAAACTTGATCATCGTTCGTTTGTCTGGGGGCATTTTTAGTTGTCAAGTTCGTCAATTGGTAAAGATAACAAAATCAAGTGTAGATTGTTGGATTTGATTAGTGTGTAAAGTTATAAAAGTAGTGTGTGTTTACATAGTGAACTTGCTCATCACATCCGTGTTGATTTTGTCACTTCATGGGGGAGGGAGGTGTTGTAACCAGGTCAGATTCTGTTTTAGTCCATCAATTCTATTCAGGCAATTTCGATTCCACTTGATATGAAGTGCTTCTGATATTAGACGTTCTTTGTGATTTCTGAAATTTTTCTGGATTATTTCAATATTGTCAAAACCAATTTCGTGGCCTGATTCTTTAGCATGTAGACCTATGGCTGATGATTTTTCAAGTTTTTGTAGTTCAACGGGATTTCTCGGTGGTCGAAGAGATGCTCTACGGTGTTCATTTCTTCTGATTTTGATTTCTCGAGATGTTTGTCCGATGTATAACGCATCACATTCCAAGCATTTTATTTTATAGACACAATTAGATAGAGAATCTTTAGGGATTTGGTCTTTTATACGAACAAAGTTGCTTTGAATTGTGTCTGATGTTTTGAAGAAAATTCTAATGTCGAGCTGATTGAGTACTCTTCTGATATCGTCTGACGTCTCTGCTCTATATGGAATGACGACTGTTGATGTCCATGTTTTCGGAATGCGTTTTCGGCCATACTTAATGTCTGTGTTGATTTTGTTGATGAAGTTCCATGGGAAGTTGTTTTGCTTGATTTGTTTTATGATTTGTACTCATATATACGTAGTTCATTTTTTATTCATTCATTTTTGTGTATTCAGATTGATATTCCAGGTTGTTGATAGTTGTTCTGCTGAGTCACCCTTGTTACATGTATCCGGTGTGACCTTAACGAATATAGATTCTGTTATAAGTCTCTCTCTCTTTCCATTTGTTCATATTAGTTTTTAGAATACAAACATTGTCCCAATCGATATTGGGGATTTTGTCCCATGCATGTTGTTCAGGTATAGATGAACATTTTTTCTAAATTGTTGTAAGCTTGTGTTCCTGTTGGTTGACCTTTAGTTAGGTGTTTATGTTCATTCATTCTTACTTTGAGTGATCTGGACGTTTGACCCACATATTTAGTCAGGCACTCGACACATTACTGTTTTTATCCACCATTTTTATGGTATCTTTCAGTTGGTTTATTTTATTTTTAATTAGATTCGTTGGTTTAAATGTGGTGTGAATCCCAATATTTTTGAAGTTTCTTTGAATTGCCTCTGATGTACCATTTTTGTACGGTGTCGTGACTGTTTTTTGTCTTCCTCCGGTTTTACCCTCTTTTTTTATATTATCTTTGGTAAATTCTTTCAGGCAGTTCTTGTCGAGTAACATTTTGAATAAGACGTTCATTTCTTTTCGCTGGTTGTCTGGTATTGTTGCAAGTCTAAACTATTCTGTCTGCAAGACCTTGTATTGATCCTCGTTTAACCGTGAGTGGATTAGCTGAGTGATAATCAAGGAATCTTCCAGAGTGTGTAGTATTTTTCTGTATAGCGTCGTTTTTATGCTACCTACCATCTGTTACTCTTTGTATTTTTTTGCAGTCTAACATAGGCAGTTCCCCGATTTCATTCTCTATTTCCATAGTGAATTTTATTGAGTCGACATGGCTGTTTATGTGTGTGGGAGAAGAACGTCTCAACATCGTTCTTTTTCATTATTACTAACGTGTCGTCTACATACCTCCACCGAAATTTTATTGATGACCTGAATGGTCTAAGTGTATTCTCTTCGCAAAAATCCATAAATATGTCAATTAAAAACAAAACAATTCCAACAGTTGGTATAATGATCACGGTTAGTAAGTAATTTTGCTCGAAATATTACCAAAAAAAAAACTCATCATTGTGTGTAAACGCTTTCGACTTGGTCAAATGAGAAAGCATGACTCATTGGAATATGGTAGAGGTACAACATCGTCAGTGAACACCAGCAGATAGACATTTTCAATTCAATGCTAAAGACGACTATTCTCGCTATTTCAATTGATCTGAGCCACAAAAATATTGAGATAGCAAAGATTGACTTTATTAGGTAAATAAAATAGCAGGTCGGGCGTGAGGACAAATACTCGCCGAAGACATTGGCTAGGGGTCGCGCTATGTCGTGAATTGGCAGAAGTTAGAATTCATGGACCATTGGATCGGGTCCCAGTGGCCTAATGGTATACGAGCTCACCTTGTAACCAGAAGGTCCTGGGTGCGTACTGCTGAAGAGTCCCAAACTAGGACGAAACAGCTGTCCAGTACTCCCAGGTTTTCCAATGGTTCTCTAACTGATGTCAGCTCATGATGAAATCCTGTAACCAATCAAATCCCTACAAACCAACACTTGAAAATAGCTATTAGTAGTTCAATGGTAGGGTAGGATGCCTCCCAGACACATGCGAGAGAGGTCCCGAATCAATTCCCAACTGACGTACTCCCAAACCTTACCTAACTGCTACCGTGTTAAGCCTGAAAGGAAGGGAGGTTGGAAGGAGAATACAAATAACTTTTACAACTTGAGACTTCAATTTAAGGTTCCAGTATTTTTCCATCACTGTATATCGTATTCTGGCCAAGTTAAACTTTAGACACCAATAACTACCAATCAGCGAACGATGTCGAATTATCCAATGAGATTCACGAACGTAGTTCAATGTTGTATAGCGATTGATTCATTTCAGTGCGTGCCCTTACAAAATTACGTTTGCAATTCGAGGAGGATAGTGTCTTTCAGTATTCCCTGGACTTAGGTTTGTTTCGAAAGGAGAGAAGTTGTTCGTGTGATGGTGTAATGACTCTAAAAAGCTATACTAGGTCAACTGATGGTTTTGTACATCGTTGTGGAATATGCTGGAAGCGAGTTAGTATTAGAGAGGGTAATATTTCGTAGGAAATTTTTTTGCTAGGTCGCATCTCTCCCTAACCCAGATTTTGTACATTTGCAATTTCTGGATACTGAAACAGCCCGTGAGAGCCGCAGCTGCCGAGAGGGAGAACAGCCTCGTCTCAACAGTTCAGTGGTATACCACTGGTATACCATCACTGCAGGGACATCGCCTCATGGAAAATGGGCAGAATTACTTCGTTGTTAGGCGTGGACGACGTAGTAGTCCATGTGGATGAGACAGTGTTGGTGAAGAAGAAATATAACCACTGTCGTTAGAGAGCGAACAATTCATCACAGAGTGAACCACTCCAGTGATTTCGTGGATCCAGTCACAGGGACTCATACAAATTGAAGGATTTTGGGGTTGATTGAAAAATAGAATAAGGGCTATAAATGGATCTCAAAAGGATCTCATTTATAGTCATTTAGATGAATATATGTATAGAATGTGGTGCAACTTCTCTGTTGACAGTCCCATGCTGAAAGGGGAAATGTTTCTCTCCCATGCCTATTGTAACCGTTTTATCATTTTTTAAAATGCATTTTTCTATAAATATACGTTTCCGCTTATCATAAAGCCTCTTCCATGTGATTGGTTGGTTCAAGGTCGTTTGCTGATTGGTTGTTACTGGTGTCGAAAGTTTAACTTTGCCCGTATTGTCAAATAAAAAATTCTGCTGTTACTATTTCAGCCGCTTCAACCTTAATAGATGGAGCAGGTTTCGAACTGGTAAATTTGTCGTTGGTAGCCTACTGTGTGTAGACCAATGAGCCACAGCTCCACATATGAATATTAATGGAATCTAATCCTTTGATAGAGAAGATTTGTAGTTCAGATGGATGATTTTGATGTGGTTGTGTTCTCTGAGCCGGATAGTTAATTTGCGAAGCTTTCATCGCCCTACTAGGTGACATCTTCAGCGCTACATTGGCCAAAGTGGACGTCCCCTTCGTCTTCGTATCCACGAACATAAGCTAGCCGTCAAAACACATGATATCCACTCCCTCGCTCATATCACTACATACAGACAACCACGGGCATCAATTCGACTGGGACAATGTTCAAATATTAGACAGAGGAAACAACAAAAATGCTAGAGAATTTTTAGAAGCTTGGCATTCCAGTGAATCATCAATCAATAGACACATTGAGATTGACAAAATTTGTCAACCGATAAGAAAGAAATCTAACTCACAAAGGGTCAAAGTTCAAGTCAAAGAAACAATCAGGTTCAATATCGATACAAGTAGCCTAGAGGGTGTGAAAACACAAACAAACAACCAATCACGTCCATGGTGGTCACCGACCAGCAGAGTTAATAATAAACTCATGGAGAAATCTAAAAGCTCACTTCAATTCAAATTGAAGTATGCGCTGAAGATGTCGCCTTGTAGGGTGATGAAAGCTTCGCAAATTAACTATCCAGCTGGCTCAGAGAACACAACCACATCAAAATCTAATCCTTTGTTCATTGTTGATTTAGGTAGACTAAAGGAACTTCTGGTTAAGTTTGTGTATTATTATTTCCTCGGGTTCATTTGTTTGTTTGTTTTACAAATCACAATAGATCCAATCAGTGAATCGGATGCATCGAATCCACAGATTCATCAACACTCCTACTATTATCGTCATCATCATCAACATCATGAAGAACAACAATTCGACAAGGAGTATAATGCTGGTGGTGATGGTGACATTGTCGACGATTATGGTGATGCTTCCGCTGCTGCTGCCGATGATGATGATGGTGAACCTCCAATACTCCCCGCATCTCGTATTGATTCATTGACCACTACCACTACTAGTAGCAGTGCTAGTTTAAAACGTTGGCGTGAAATTGAAGATACCGTTTCAATGTTGAATAAACAAATAATCGATGAACGAAGTCAAGATCTTTCACAGACTAATCCATCTTCAGGGATTACTTCTACTGGTGGTGGTACTATTATATCGATTAGCAGAGGAAAACGTCCAGTCGATGTAAATAAATTGGAAGCTGACAGGGTAATTTTTTCTTGTTGAAAAATTTTTACACCTTTCATCAATTACATAACAGTTGTATTAACAGTAGTCTTAAAATAACGCGAGATATCAAATCCGCCTCTCTCTGCTATTTGTTATTTTTGTGTGCCAATGAACGTCTCTTTATATACTACTACCACTATTACTACTGATAAATTTTATCAGTAACATACGCCACATTACTTACTGTGTTAGTGGTTCTGTGATAGGAATACTATCTGGCCATGACTCTGCATTTTGTCAGCGTCTTCACCTAGGAGGGAGGGCTATATCATCTGCATATTCTAAGTCGACAAGATGATTCATACCCTGGTAACAGGTCAATCCCTGAGTCTCTGAAGTCACTTAGGGTTAATTCCATTAGTACGGTATCTATGGTGAAATTGAATAGAAATGGGGATAGTGGGTACCCCCTCTGATGGACACCAGTGGAGATGACAACTCGCCGTAAGCTCTCACCTGTCTGGCTGCATGAGTTCGAGTAGAGTGAGCACCTTGATCAGCGCAATGTATTTCCTCGACATTCCTTTTACAGCCAAACATCGCCAGAGAACCTCTCGGTCGACAGAATCGAATGCCGCCTTTAGGTCAAGAAATATAACGATTTTTGGACGCGGAACGGTAAGTATGCCTATGTTCCAGAATCTGTCTGTCGAAGGGTGAAGATATGATAAATGCACTCACCCTCTTCCTAGTCTAAAGCCTTCCTAGTTCTCTCGCGTTTGTTCCTCCCATGCACCGCTCAGTCTAACCCTTTCTCTCCAGAGTAGAGAGGCGGCATAGCTAGCTGGCATGCTGGTCATCTGAGGGAAACACCTTACTGCGGCTGTTACATCCCTGTTCCCCAGCAGTACGACTTCGCCCACAGACCCCCAGCGTAGTGTAGAAAAAGTTCTTACACAATGCCGGTAACTGCTTTTAGTCTAATCGCTATCCTACGAATCTTCCTGGCATGGTAGGACTTGCAGAAGCATTGGTTCCAGCCAGTGTAGCTTGTTGGGTCATTGCGATGTGCAAGCTCGACCACTACGTCTAGGTAGGAGCTATCGGTCGGGTATCAGAGAACTATGGACAACTGTTTCATCGCGCGGCTATAACTCCATCAAGCAATAAACCCAGAATTCACGACTTACTGAATTTGTACCCAATGACTGAGTCTTAACCGAACTGGCATCGTAACCTGAAAGTTCTGGGTTCGATCCCTGATGTGGTATAGAGTCCCTAACTGTAAGACAAAATAGTTTCCCATTACTCCTTTGTTTTTTAATTGATTCTACGATAACATCCATAGAATCATGAGGCGGACAGAAAATAATTCCGTCATGAACGAACCTCAGTTAGAGAACCGTTTAAAACCATCCAGGAAGTACTGGACAGCTGTTTCGTCCTAGAGCTTGGGACATATTGACAGTACTTGTCCATCTGGCGGGTCTTGAACCCAGGACCTTCCGGTCACAAGATAAGCGCGTAGACCATTCAGATACTGGAACCCGATTCGATGGTCCATGATATCAATCTGTGATCTGACTTGGAAGAAATCAAATCCATACAAACAAACTCTTGAAAATTAATCTGATGCTCGCTCGCGAGTAATTGGCTGCAGGACGAAGTTGCTTGTAGTTCGAGTAAGAAATCGTGACTAGTGGCGTCCACCTGGTTGGAAGTGGAGATAAATTCTCACCATGGATGACACATTGACTGGGACCAGTCGATTTCAAATCACATTCGTAGGAATTAGAATTTATAGACTGGCTATTGACTTGGGCCCCAGTGGCTGAATGGTCTACAAACTAGCTTGCCTTGTAACCGGAAGACCGTGGGTTCGAACCCCTGTGGTATGTGAGTACTTCCGATGAGTCCTAAGCGGTAGGACGAAACATCTGTCCAATACTCCTTGATAGTTTTGAATGGTTCTAAAGCTGACTTGAATCCGTGATCAAATATGAAATAAATTGATATTGAGTTAGATTCTCATCCTTTTATACAGTAGTGTACATCGTTTTATTTTTTCATTTTTTTAAAACTTTTTGAATCATTGTAGAAACGTTTAGAAGAAGAGGCAGTTAAATATAAACAATTAAAGGCTGAGAGAAGACAGCAACACCGTAAACATCAAAACCAACCTCAACAACAACAACAACACCAGCAATCTTCATCTGGTACACCTGGATCAGAATAATAGTAACTATCAATCCTATTCTCTTATTGTCTTTAATGTTATTTGTTTTTTTATACAATCCTGACTTTTATTCAATTCTTCTCACAGTATTATTGTACACTTATGCAATCTTAATGTCTACTGTTTGACATATGTGTAAATGTGGACATGTGTGTGTGTGTGTGCGTGCGCATTAGTATGTCTGTGCGTATTTGTTTTTGGATTTATTGTAATTGGTTCAATATCAAACTAAGTGTAAGTATATGCACAGACACACAAAAGCACACACATACGCGCTAACTTTGTGTATATGTCTAGTTAAACAGAGCAGTTTGATTGGTGCTCTGTTTATCTGCCTGTCTGTCTATCTACCTTTCTGGTAGTTGTGTCTGTGTATATATGTCTTCCTTACAGATGACAATGATAATATATGGACATCAGCGTTGTGTACAGTTTGTTAGTTTGATTATTATTATTATTATTAATTGTGTAATGGGGAAAACAATAAATATGTCCCTTATGTTACTTCTTTTGTTTTGATTTGGCGTGAGAGTTAGATGATCTCTACCATCCGATGTTGATGGTACAAGCGGTCGATCATTCAATATGAGTTCTACTTCTGCCTTATCACATAGTATATGTAACTGTTGGGTGCAGTTTTCAGAGTCGAAATTGCGTCCAATACATCTAGGGATTCTCAAAGCCGCTATTCTCTCCACGGCGCCTATCCAATTCTGCCACACTTCCTCGTTTTGTGAGGACAATGACTGAACCCATCCCATATTTTGTTTGCAGAGTGACTGTAACATCAGCTTTGCCGGAAGCAACAGTGGCGACAGTATCCCAAGTGGATCAAAGATAGAAGATACTACTGATAGAATGCCACGTCTTGTAACAGGTTTTCGCGGGATTTTGAAGGGGAAAACAAAGCAATCTATCTCCGAGTTCCATTCTAAACCCAACGTACGTTCTACCTTCACTGTATCTCCATTGATGAATCGAGACGTCGGGTTAGGCTCCTTTAGCGTTACCGATTTTAATACTTCTGCCCGGTTAGCAATCCATTTATGCAGTCGGAAACCTGCACGACTTAGCAGATCACTTGCGTCAGTGATAAACCTACTGGCGGTCTCAACATCCTCAAAGCATGCCAAGCAGTCGTCAACATAAAAGTCGTGCCGTACTATATCTCTTACTGTTTCCGGATATAAGCAACCAAAGTCCTCTACTGACTTTCTCAACGCGAAGTTCGCACAGAAGGGTGATGAAGTTGCCCCGAACGGATGCGCTGTCATCTGAAACTCCTGTGGCTCTCCGTCTAGACAACCATTTTTCCACCACAGAAATCGCACTGCTCCTCGATCGTCTACTGGCACCTTCACTTGCATAAACATACCAGCTATGTCCGCGACTACAGCAACAGGCTTTTCTCGAAAGCGCAACAGAACACCAACAAGCTCGGCAATCGTATCAGGTCCTTCATATAGCTTTTCGTTCAAAGAATAGCCTCTAAAGGTTGCGACGCAATCTAGAACTATTCTCAGTTTATCTGGCTTTTTCGGTTTCTTTACGGGATGATGTGGAAGATACCAACTCGGGCGATAGTTGGCTGCTAGCTGCTCTGGGGGTACCGGAAGGGCATAACCATTTTTTAACATCGTATTTATCCCATCCAAATATCGTGCTAAAAGGTTCTCGTCACGCGAAAACCTCCGTTTCAGATTGAGTAACCGATTTATGACGACTACATAATTATTGTCCGTTACATTTGCTGGATCTTTCCATGGCAAGGGAATGATGTAATGCCCCTTTTCTAAGACGGTGCTTTGAGTAACCAACTGGATTGCCTTATGACCTTCGATAGAAAATGAGTGTTCGTTTTCTTCAGTATCCCTAAACTCAGCTTCATCTAGCCTTCTGATGTCGTCTTTGATACTCTCTTCGCTGATTCGAGCGTAGTTGACAGTGTCTCTTTTCGTATTTCCAATGTCCCGTTTGTCGTCCACGGCTAACTTCACGAGCAGCTCGGCCATTTCGACATCATGTCTAGCCTTTAGCAACTTTTCCTTTAACTCTAACTCCTGTCGAAGTTGTTTCTCTTTTTGCTGCGCCATTAGTAGCGACGACTTAGCACTAGTCACTCGCGATAATGATGGTTTCGAACTACTGACATGAGAGCCGGGGCACGAAAGGTTATCAACATGATCATTTATGCAAAACGGGGACTTGCCGACTCTCCGACTGCTGCTCCGAAATTTGCTTCCCTGATCTGGTTTGCATCGTTCCAAAGAAAAAATTTATTTTCAACAACGTTGCGTTCTGCCAATTCACCAAAGTTTCTTCTGGATGAACGTTCAGTACGTGATTTTCTGTTTGACGTTGAGTACTGACCAGTTCAGTACGGTCTTTTCCGTCAAGTGATAAGTACTGACCAGTTCAGTACGGTCTCTTCTGTCAAGGGCTGATCCGGGAAACTTTAACTCTATACGTTAAGTACTGACCAGTTCAGTACGGTCTTTTCCTACTTTGAGCGTTAAGTACTGTAAGCGCAATATCGCTTGAAATTAAGTCACGCGTAGATAAAGGCTATCCCGGTCCAGAACAAACAAGAAGCCGGTCACTGTTTCTACGGTACTATTAATAAACAAATGAATAACTATATATATACAACAAACCTTAACGGTTTCAAGAGTACAAAGCACAATGTTTAACAGAAAGCAAGCTGCCGCTATCATAGCGGAATAACGTTAAAGCCAAAATTGCGAACTAGCCGGAATCAGACACGACCGTTCAGGTGAGCAGTCAGTAGAAGAATGAACCCAAGTAAGAGATAGACAAAGCATAGGCACAAATATAGAATTTAATTGGCTACTTAACCAATCAATAAATAAGATAAACTCGACAGAATAGTACAAAGTAAGACATGGGTCAGCAAAATAACAGTTCACAAAAATACTCTGATTGGGTCATGAGTTCAACTGTCTGACTAAAAGGATCGAAGTAAAAACACACATACACAGTTAATTAAACAAGGTGGGCATGGATAATTGTGTTGCAACGATGCTAGGCTGATCCGGGACAGGTTGACTTGATTTAAGGATGGGAATTGAATTCATCTTACACTCAGAATATATAGAGTTTACTAATGAAGTAGAATCAGCTGAGGGAACTCTAAACTTTCTGGATTGTCTTGTAAAAAGACAAACTGACGAGAAACTAAAGTTTACCATATACAGAAAGCCGACACATTCCAACAAGTATTTGAATTTCCAATCAGATCATCCAATGGGAATGAAAGTTTCAGTAGCTTTAAATCTCGTTAACAGAGCTAGAAACATTATAACAGATAATGACGATATGGAGAATGAGATATCCAATATAAAACAGATTTTGATTGGAAATGGTTATCCTGAAAAGCTACTAGATAATATTATCAATAAAAAGGAGCCTAAGGGGAAACAAAAAATTGAAAAATCTTGACTATCGACGATAGCCATTCCATATCGGAAGGACACAGCTGAACAACTTCAAAGACTATTTGCTTCATAAAGTCTATGTCAAACCTTCTAATTCTCTAGAGAAAGCGTTGGTGTATGTCAAAGATATAGTTCCCAGAATGTCACAAAGTAATTGTGTCTACAGGATAGTGTTAAGAATGTGATGCATGCTATGTAGGGGAGAGCAGTAGGCAGGTGAAGGTCAAAGTGAATGAACACAGATTATGCACGAAACGTCCACCTAGAAATGAAGTAGAATTAAAAAGTCTAGAAAAAAGATCGGCTATAGCAATGCATGCTATAGACAGCGGACATAAGATTGATTTCGACAATGTCGAAATTCTTGGAAGAGGATTTCATTCACATAAAGAAAGATTGACTTCTGAAGTCTTGCACATTTTAACCACATCGAATGCAGTGAATAGAAAAGAAGGGATAGACTTATCACCTATATGGCAAACTCTTATGAAGCAAGATAGATGAAAAAACAATAAACACTCTAAGAGTCTCCATGATCTTTTTTTTTTAAACATGTAGGATCATGTTTATCACATATGAATTCACGTATGACAAATAACATACACACACACACACATACAAATCAACTATAGAAGAGTGAACACAACAACAATTTGACATTAGTCATTAAAAATATATGTGATGACTGCTTACATATTTGCTATTGGTGGAAATGTCCATGGACAAATGACCTTCGAATAAACTGACTGCAATTTATATAAAAAATTTTTGACTATATATTTTGATGATTAATAAAAATCTGGAAAACAGAAAGATTGAGCGAAGAAATATTTACTTTTCAATTAGATCCTCTTCTCTGGCTCTACTCTAATATATGTAGCATTTTTACAATACACAACAATGTGTATCTACCAGTTTGACTGCAGCTGCGGAGCTAGCTAATTGGGCGTACAATTAGGCAGGTTCATCGTTGTATTTCCAAACATCATCCAACATGGTTAAGCAAGGGACAAACAAGATCTATTCGTAGTTCTATTTTAGCTCACCTTGTTGATACTGAGCACAAGGTTGTTGTGAATACTGCATTTAAAATTATTTATCGCATTCCGACTAATCTTAATTTTGCTTTAGGAGTTCGTCTTCTACAGACAGCTGAAGCAATCGGAATCCACCTGAAGAAGCTAAACCTGTGTGTTCAGAAGAAATTTGTACAGCCGCTTTCCTTACCGTGGCCATTGTTACAAGAATGCATAAACAGGACTACGTCACCCCCCTCCCCCTATTAAATTATAAGTGTCCAAATTATTTTATTTTTATTTTGACCACTTCATCTTTAATTACGTGTTATTCTTGTAAAATTAATTTATTCTATCCATTTCTACTTTTTAAATGTGTATTGATTTTATGCGTTAATTATCAACCCATTGACATTTTGACACTGTTTAATTACTGTTAACAAACATATCACCACTTGTTTGGTAAATTGTTGTGTATTGTAAAAATGCTATATATATTAGAGTAGAGCCAGAGAAGAGGATCTAATTGAAAATAAATATTTCTTCGCTCAATCCTTCTGTTTTCCAAATGTCTAAATGGGGATATTTTCTATAATAAAAGTCTACTGAAGAAGCTGTGACTTACACAGAGAAACGTTCAGAAAACAGATCTTGTTTTGATTTTCTTAACACGCTGGGATTAATTTAAATAATTTATAATGGACTACTGGTCATAACTTGTTATTACATCTTCACAAATCCATCCAGTAACGGGTATTTTATATTCACTAAAAAGGATATCGTATAGTTTATTATTGAGAGTAATAGGGGTGGGGTGTGACTAGTATTTGATACAATTACTGACTAGTGGTTTTTAAAGATGAAATAGTGACGTAATAGCAGACGACAGTAATAGAAATTAGGGTTGAGAATTTGATCAGGTTGAAGTCGTTATTGAGTGAGGAAGGGGGGAAGGTAGTTCAGTGTTCACTTGTCAAGCTTGAAGCGGGTGAGAGAATGCTTGCAAAAGGAATACGTGAGAGTGATAACAGTGAATTAATTTAATTTTTAATAGTTGGTTTATAAGGATCAGATTTGTTTTGACGAGTTGATCGCGGATTGATATCAGTTAGAGAACCACTGAAGATCAACCAGGAAGTACTGGACATCTGTTTCATCTTCGTTTCTTTTAGGAATCATTGGCAGTACGCATTCATCACTAGGATCCGAACCCAGGACCTTCCGGTTACTAGTCAAGCTCGTATTCCATTCCGCCATTGGGACCCGATCCAATGGCCAGCCCGTAAATTCTAACTTTGACCAATTCGTGATCCTTTTAGTGTGACTAGCACCAACCAATGTCATCGGTGGGACATCCATCCTCACACTTGACTGGATGGACCTCACTGGTCACAACTTCTTACTAGAACCTACTCCAAGAAACTCCGTCCTACAGCAAGTCACTCGTAAAAACAAATCAACTTTGAAAATTAATCTGATGCTCGCTAGTCACTTGCTACAGCCGATGATTCCCAAAACTAGGATGAAACAGCTGTCCAGTACTCCCTGCTGGTTTTCAATGGTTCTCTAACTGATATCAATGCATGATCAACTCGTAAAAACGAATTAATTTAAAGCAATCAGTTCCCTTTATGAATTTCGACAACATAATAAGAAAACATAGTTTATCTGATACGTGTATTGCATTTGCGCAACGCATATCGGGCATTCTGATCACACACCTGCGTATTCAAATTCATAAAGGGGAAAAATCGTTTAATATAGAAAATATCCCCATTTAGACATTTGGAAAACACAAAAGATTGAGCGAAGAAATATTTACTTTTCAATTAGATCCTCTTCTCTGGCTCTACTCTAATATATATAGCATTTTTACAATACACAACAATTTACCAAACAAGTGGTGATATGTTTGTTAACAGTAATTAAACAGTGTCGAAATGTCAATGGGTAGATAATTAACGCAGAAAATCAATACACATTTAAAAAAGTAGAAATGGATAGAATAAATTAATTTTACAAGAATAACACGTAATTAAAGATGAAGCGGTCAAAATAAAAATAAAATAATTTGGACAATTATAATTTAATAGGGGGAGGAGAGCGACGTAGTCCTGTCTTGTAAGGATGGCCACGGTAAGCTTTCAAAAGATACACTGATAATATCTTTGTTATTATTGAACTATGTAAAATCCTGGAAATCTCTAACACTTATCGATCAGTCGAATTTAAAACTGAAGTTGAATCATAAGGTGAATTATCCCTTCTAGAAGTTCAGCTTTCAAGTTGTGCTTATGGAAGTCTACAAAGATCTACTAACCAAAAGGTAATTTTGTTCTGATTCACAGAAAAAGAAATCTCATAGCCTCTGTTGCAACGAGAATCTTCTACACAGCCTTCACAAACACTAATCAAGGATGGATATCCAACTTCCTTTGTCAACAAGAAAGATGCTTCTCGAAACCTGGAAACTCTAAAGAAACAACTAAATGTAAATCTGAAGTTCTAGGGAATTCTCTTAAGCTAACTGTCGAAGGGTATCTCTACGTTTAACCTACTCTAGACGTTCTCTTATTCACCATGAGGTCGAAGGTAGTGTCCCACTTTGACTGGACACCAGTAACTGGTGTGATATGTCTAGTCCTTTCTTTGGTGCAGACTGAATTCTATCAGTCAGGTTTGCAATGTGGCCACCATTCTAGGTAGCTCGCCATCACGATGCAGCACTGGGTGACGCGGGTTCGAATTTCAGAAGGGACGTGAGTTCCTTCAAGGTTGCAGATACGCCTGGCTGACGAGTGCCAAATAGCACGAAACCTAGGTCTAAGGCTTCCTGTGGCCGACTGCCTCCAACCATCTAATATAGTGTCCCACTGTTGTCAACTTTAATGTGCGTTTACCATTTCCTTTGCTTCTGTGGAGTTAAGGACAGCAAATTGTCTGCATGCACGCATGAATACCAGTCAGTATGGTCGTCGGAAGGAGACCACAGAACACTGGTCATACAGACAGTATCATCGGAGACTCTATTTAGAATCGTAAATAAAATAAAGTCAAGCCGTTTGGAAGGATTTCCGTAACATCTTCTTCATGACACCGAAACTCTATCATCAATCCATAAGGCGAAAACTGAACCTTTATATCCTAAAACCTTTTATTCAACAACCTCTTTTGCAGTCATGACGTTAGTATCAGTTTTATTTCCCTGATTTATTGTAAAAGAAACTATCTTCGTAACCTAGCTCCGCTCATTTGTTCTCCTTCTACGTATCGATTATTTCTGGGTGTAACTATTCATCACCCTAACCATTGAATTAGTTATCAACACTCTCGATTACGTAAGATTATTCGCAATTTTTCACACATGCTTATTTCTCATACACTTAGAATTATTTCTGCTACTTACTTGTTGACGAATAAAATTCCACATAGAAATCCTCTAAGGTTTCCTACCGACGGCCTCAAACCATCTGATAACAGCGATTCACAGTGTACCGTGAATGTGAGCTACCGAAACTGAAGGTCGCATTTCAAATTTGACTGGTGATAAAATTCAATCTACATCAATATCAACGACTTGACACATGGCACTAGTTCCTAACTAGAAACACAAGTATGTAGAAAATCAATACACACAGATCAAATACTCAACTATACTAGCAATAGTCCAATTACCCATAAAAGAAACTGTGTGCAGACATTGTTCAGAAGAGTTCAAACACATTGTAACACTGTAGCAGAGTTGAAAAGAATGGAAGAGAAATACCTACTTACAGTTTTTAATAAGAATGGATATCCCCGCCACAATTTCATCAAAAAGTGTTTAAAATCGAATCACAACACCAACAAGAAACCACCATCAAAGAACACAAGAAAATTCATCCTACCATATATCAGAAAAAATATCTCTGAAATAATAGCGAGAGTATTGAAACCGTTTGAAATAGAAATAGCACAGAGGCCAACCAGCCAGCCAACACAATCACTTCATTCGATATTGTGCAAATTGAAAGATCCACTCAACGAAAAAAGAAGATAAAATTAATACTATTTACAAAATAAATTGTATGAACTGTAACAGACATTACATCGGTGGTCGAAGTGGGCGTCCCCTTCGAATCAGAATCCAGGAACACAAATCAGTTGTGAAAAGACATGATATATATTCCTATTTCATATGAATGCATGTAGATAATTATGGACATTAGTTTGATTGGGATAATGTCGAAATTTTAGACAGAGGAAACACCAAACAAACATGTTAATCTGGACCAAACCTCCAACTAATCAAAAGTAAATCATGTGACGAGAAAGTTTAAAATCCAAGTCAATAGAAAATGATCAATACATATGTAAAGATGGTTGTTATCTATCATCATTCATGAAAAATTTAAATCATTTCACTTTATGCTAAAAATTGAGCTGAAGTGATGTCATCAAGAAGGTGGACGACGAAAGCTCCACAGCTAAAGCAATCAGCTCAGAGAACACTACTAATTGCGAATCATCCACCTGAGCTACAAATCTTCTCTATTAATTACTATCTAGTGTCCCATTAAAGCATCCAATACAGCCCTACAGGAGGTCAATCGGGAGCTCGAATAGCTCAGTGGCGGTAATGGCTCTGACTACAGCACTAGGTGACATGGTTTTGAATCTCACAAGGGATTTGAGTTCTTTCAAAACTACAGATACATGTCTTTCTGACTGATGAGTACTGACAAGCAGGAAACTTATGTCAGACAGGATTTCATGCATTTATTCCCCTTGATGAATTTAAATAAAGCAAGAACAACAGTGGCAGTTTGTGCAGAATAATATGGTACCATCATTTATTTAATGCGTCGAAGGTTTTTGAGAGAGAGCGGTAATTTGCAAGTACGTAGTGACTTGATGAGATGGCGAGGAAAGCAGTGGGACTGCAAGCATTCGTCGTAAAATTTTATTCGAGTCACTTCTCTGGATATTCTGCAGCGAATTGTCACCAAACGATTCAGTGATTTGAAAGATTCTGCGGGAAGGCAATTTTTGAGAAAATTCATGCATACGTCTAAAGGGAACAAATTCTTTAAACAGTACCATCGCAAGGCATCTCCTAGACACTGGTCATGAGGTGGAAATCGAGAAATCCTTTAAAATTATCAATAGACAAAGGAGCTCCATTCTCCTCAAGTTTGCCGAGGCAGTTTCTATCAAACGCTTCAAACCAGATTTATGTGTTCAGAAAGAAGCAGTTGTTAGTCTTTCCTTGCCATGGTAACTGGATGTCTTCATTCTCTACTCTGATTACGTAATCTTTGTCTTTAACCTCACCCCTCTTCTTTATAATCTGTAATATTGCTTGTCTCTTGTTTCTATGACGTGATTTGAACTCAGTACATCGTTACCAAATTTATTAGTTACTCATCATCTTACTCACCTCCCGTCTTTATTACGTAACTCCTTTACCATTGTATGCATACATTTATTTTGACTTGAACTGCCTGTGTAAAATCGATATAAGCACAATTTTCTGAGCACTTTTTACTAATTGTGGAACTTTCTGTCAACTGACAACATGTAAAATTTGCAAGTATGTTAAAACTTTTCTGTACGTAAACCTGACAATTTATTTAGGCTGTAAGCAGCTGATGAGAAGCCGACGAAATAAGCAATGATGGTACCATATTATTCTGCACAAACCACTGTGGTTCAGACAGGATTTACTGACGATTGCCTTCAGTCACTTAATAAAGGGACACATCTCTTAGAAAAAAAATGACTATATAAATAATTAAAAAGTCAATAATTTTTCTTTAAAAAAAAGAAAGAGGTGAGATTTATTCACAATGTTTTGAGCAATGACACCGTTAATCACCAGTACTATCAATCAAATGGGTAATAATAACAGCAGAAGTAATAGTAGTAGTTGTAGTAATAATAATACTACTTAGAATAGCTGTGCAAATAAGTAGTATGTAACAAATGTATATGTATGTATCTGTGAGGTTTGAAATGTATATATATATGTGTGTTTTTTGCCTAATACTGAATGACATAATAATTTAATTTATTAACACGAAGAACAATAGAAAAGGTTGACCTGAATACAGTTCTTATTTTCTTGTACGTTTGATTTGTTTGTTGTTTTTGTTTTAATCGTAGATTTCACCTTTTCATGTTCACGATGGGCTTCATTTTCATGTGATGATTCATCTTTTTTTTGGTATTCTCGTCTCTCATTTTGTTTGTTTCGCTTCATGACAGAATTTTTGGTGATATCTGGAAAGCAGTAAGACAGTGAGAGAGCATATTTTAGTTATAGAATGGAAGGGGGGGGATACAAAAGCGTTTTAAACTATTTTGTACTGCACACCCACAAAATGTAGTAATTGTAACGATCGGAACTGACTTGTTGTAGTCCTGTGATGAGAGGTGGCTGTAAGCCAAAGCTGTAAACAACAATTTACGTCAATGTTCACATGCCGAATCAGGGTCATAAGAAAAAAGCACAATAACAAAGCTTAACCTTGAGTAACTCACCAACCAATCACAGCAGAATTAACGTGTGCAAATACGATTCGCAGATATATGGCTTAACTTTCTAAGGAACAGTTACAAGCAAAACAGAATAACCTTGAGGAAGAAAACAACCAATCAGAAGAGGTTGCTTCTCCGCTAACAATAAAAATCTATAAATATCTATTGATTTTCTCAATAAATGATCTGTTGCCTAGCCCTTGTCTTCTGTCGTTACAGTCTGATTGTAAGAAATCGATCTTTGCATCCTACTGTGTAATTGACTGAAATTTCCTTGAGAGATGCACAGTCACAAAACGCTTCAAAAGACAGCAAAGAATGGACTGTTATTTGTCGTTAGATCTGTGTGTTTCTGTTCAACAATAATAGTACCCATATATGAATATAAGAAAAAATAGTTAAGCGAAGAGTCTCTTCTCGGCGGTGAATTCATTCACTTAGCTGTACAGTCGCGGTTACATATAATTGTGTATGTGTGTGTACATTAGGTTTGTCAGATAAGAATAAAAGTTAGTTTATTATTATTATTATTATTATTGTTTCCTTTAATTCCTAGAAGAAAGTAGGGCGTGCGTCTCCATTGCGTTCGGTTCTCTGCTAGAGTCTTCACTTAGCTCCATGTCTGCCCACACGTTTTCATCTCCTCTTCACATCACCTCCTCCAAGTCACCCTTGCACTGACGACCAACTCGCCGCTTCCCTTCCGGCCGGGTTCCACTCGAGCAATGGCTTGTCTAGTGATGTCACTCACTTGGTGGTTTCCTCAGAGTATGACCAGCCAATCAATCTCCATTTCTTCATGCCTATTTGTTTCACAATTGGTTCCTGGTTGGTTCGCTCCCAGAGATCCCTGTTGCTGATCTTTTCTGGCCGGTCATCTGATCTTGAGTAGTACTGAGGGAAGACAACTGTTATGACGCGCAGTACAAGTCTCTGATCCGTATAGTATCACTGACTGACTTCACATTGGAGTTGAAAATCCGGATCTTATTTTTCATGCTGAGCACTGCTGTCTGTTGACGTCCACACAGACTTGAGAGTAGTGAAAGCTTGTCTTGCTTTTCCGATTCTTGCTTTGACATCCTCGTCAGTTCCGTCGGCCTGTAGTTGAAACGATGCTTCCAGGCCGGTAGGTAAAAGAGGTTGTTTCTTTCAGGTTCCTCCCATTTATGCTGATTGTTGTCTGTTGTTGTTGTTCTTGTCTAGGAATCTTCATTATCTCTGTTTTCTCTATGTTCACCTGAAGTCCTATCTTTGATGCTTCTTCTGTCAACTTGTTGCTTTTCGCTTGCATATCTTCCAGTTTGTGGGAAATCAGACAAAAGTTAGTTAGTTAAGGTTATTGATATACGTATAAAACTTGGGCACTGTGGTGGTAGAGTATAACTCCATTATTGATAAGATTTTATGCTGATAAATCACACAGTGTTGTACAGTAATATCAATTGATGACCACACGCTTCGAGCACAAATTATTACTGCTCATAATCATATCAAGTCACTCACACTAATTTTTTCAAAAAGTTTTTTATATATATAATTTAAACTAATAATAATAATCATAATAATAATGAAACCACCACTATAAACAGAATGTTGGTGGAAACATAGTGAAGTATAGGTAGATAGTAATGATATTTGTTTATTCTCACTTTGAGGTTCAGTTACTACCGATTTAAAAAGTTTCTAAGCTCCTTTCTGACATTCACCTCTCTTCACACAAAATCCATGCTAAGTATGGAGGTATGATAGAATTTTTATATTTGGTAGTTGTACGAGCATAAATTCTTATGAAGTTTCTTCTGGTTTTATCCGAAGATATACAAGGAAACAGTCGCGAATAAGCAGACCAGATGTTCGGTATCAGACAAGATAACTTTAGCTGACTGCTTGCAAGAACTGGAGGGCCTATTGACAATAATGTCAGTTAGTTCACTGAGTCAAAGGCACGCGACTAACCCTACTTACAGCCTTCAATGTTCTACATAATATGATGTAGTCTCCTTTGAGAAGTCCAAAGAAGGAAGAATGAGGGTGAACAATAAAGGAGAATGGGCAGAATGCAAGAATTGTTAAATTTTAAGAGAAGAGGTGGGGTTGAGTTATGTCATCAGAATGTCTCAACTTCTTAATCTAATAAGTCAAACTAAAAATTTTTTTAGAAATCAACAGGATAAGAGACGACCAACAGAGATTTGAGGAGAAATTGATGAAGAGTTAGGTGATATCCGATTTACTCTCTATCACAGTGTCGTCAACGTTACAAGAATCACGCGACTGAATCAGTCAGTCCACACAAGTCTTGTTCCAGCCTGAAACTGAAAACAACAAACAGTACGACATTTAGATGGATTCAGTTTAAGACGATTTAGGTGAAGCCATTCACTGGTTAATTTCAGATAAGAATCTATTCGCATACCAGCACAATCCAAAGCAGAAACCATTGGGACAGAAATGGTTAGATCATCGGGGTATTTTACTGAAGTTAGCTTTGGAAGAATATAGAAGATCATGCAAAATGAAAGAAAAAAGGAATGAAGAGAGTACAGCCACCACTTTAAGGCACACCAGTTCTCATTAGCAACGAAGTGGAGTGCTTTCCACTGAAAAACAGTATGTTGTTTTCTACCCGGAAAATAAGAAGGCAGACAGCCACCTTGTGAACCAGAATTCATTGTTTACTGAAATAAGCTTGCTCAGTGAAAGTGCCCTCCGCGGGAATAGAGTTAAAAGTGACATTGTAGTCTAAAAAGGACTTGAAACAATATTGTGGTGGAGTACATCGACATCATCTTACGTCCTTCTGTTGAATTTGTAAGCAGACTGCTTTAGGTCATTAAAACATTTCAAAGAAAGTTTAAAAACATGCAAGAGAAGTTTCTCCATACTTTTGAAAAACTGAGACATGATGGCAACTAGTCTACATTTTTAAACCTGATCCAGAAGCTGACTTTGGTGCAGGCACCACTTTTATTTCTTTCCAGGTGACAGGTACTGACTGGATTCCTGTAAAATGATTATGCTTAAGCCTTTATCATAAGACGAATGTCATTACTTCTGGTTCTGAGTAGAATAAAGGGCCTCACTAGCATTTATCCACTTCACTCATTTCTCCCCAGTCTGTTTAATCCGACTCGACAACCGCCCATAAGCTTTCGTCTCCTACTCATACGATTTATTCCATGTCGCTCTTGAGCGTACGCCTAACACGTTGTTTCCCAGTCAGGCGATGGCTTAGCGCGTGATTTCATTCAACAGTCTTCTCAGAGTATGTCCCAATCATCTCCACTTCGGTCGATAGGTTGTTATCGAGTCCTCTGTCACAGTTCTCTTGTTACTATTCCTTCCTGGCTGACCATCTGATCTTTATTTTGTGACGAAGACAGATGTTACTGATAGTCCACAGTCAATTGGCAATGCCTTTGATGACTCACACTCTAAGTATTTGAACCATATAGAAACGCTGCCTCGAAACTGGTGATCAAGATTTCTACACTGTGAATATTTAGGAATAATTTCATTATGATAATGAAATCACTCCTAAATGTCTACGTCTACGAGCTCCACTTCCAACGGACAGAGTTAGAAGCAGAACAGAAAGTCTACAAAAATTATGCCTGAAAGAAGAAATCCACAGAATCGTTAAAAAGTTGCAACATATCAGATTTGAAATTGAGCAATTAAAACAAAAGCTAAAGGGAATAGTTACCAATGCAGATTATGATCTTATAACACAGTCCTCCAGCACTGCAAAATCAGCAACTTTCAAAAAGTAAAATAATAGTCAAATCAAAAAGTTCAACAAATTATTAGAAGAGAAATCTTCATCTCAGAACGATGAAGTCAACAATCCAAAGTCAACGGCGATCGATAAATCAAAGTGGGTTATCAATCTCTCAACACATATATTAAGTCCTACGGAAATAAGTGTATTAGAAAAGGGACTAAATTTCAGTGTATCAGTAGACAAGCTGAAACCTGAGGATGTCATCCCTAAAATAGAAATAGCACTAAGTGGGATAGACAAAACAACGGCTGACGAAGTACGGGTACAATGTGCACTTGCATTGAAATCAATTCTACAGTGATTTCAGACAGATGAAGATCTATTCTTTTTCTCACTCCCGACCGGCTTTAACATCTTTAAACTGAGTGAATCAGAATTCTACAGAGATTTCAGAGTACTGAAAGCTTGTCTCAATTTTCCGGTCGTGACCGTCTTGGATATCCTCATCTGCGCTGCCTTAAGCTGAAACTAAGCTGCCCAGATAACGACCTAGTTATCTGATATAATATTCTGAGGTCAGTCATACTCATTCCTAAAGCTGCTGGTTTCGGGATTTCATCATGAACTGGCATCAGTCAGGTCATTGGTTCATGTCTCAGTGGCTTAACAGTCTACGACCTCGCCTTGTAAACCAAAGGTCCTGAGTGCGAACCACAGTCGGTGTATACTGCCTTCCTTGATTACACATCTGCATTTGACTTTGTACCTAGGTCTCTCTTGCTAAGTAAGCTTGCTGCAACACAGACTGAGAGCTGGACAAATAAGTGGTTGTATTCCTACTTTTCTGATAGGAAGCAGTACACTGTCTACAATGGAAAGTCCTCCACTACCTCACTTACTTTAGCTCGTGTTCCTCAAGGTGCTGTTCTTTCTCCTTTTCTGTTTTCTTTTTTCTTACATGACTTGCCCCATTCTGACGTAGCCACTTTTGTCAAGTATGCTGTTGACCTCTCTGTCTCCATGCCTATCAACTCTCAGTCAGACTGTTCCAAATTAAATAACTTTCTCTCGGAAATTAGTCAGTGGTCCTCTTCAAACGGTCTTAAGCGGAATCCGTTTAAATGTCAGGTAGTAAATTTCACTTTCAGACGAAAACGTGACCTACAACAACTAGCTAGCTCTCATGGCCCCACTATCATTGACGGCATAGAGGTTGAAACTAAATCTAATGTCAAGTACCTTGGACTGAGTATTTCCTCCTATCTTTTCTGGTCCTCTCACATCTTGCTAGTTACTAGAAAGATGTTTCGCTTAACGTTCTACGTTAGGAAGCTAAGGCAGTCTGGTATAAAGCAGTCTTTGCTTTCTCAGTTTGTCAACTCTTGTATTCTAACCATCCCTCTTTACTGCTCCCCATTAATCTTTCCTGGACTACTTAAGAAAGACTTTGCTTTGCTGCGTAGGGCACTAAAAGCTGTTAGTAGTGCAAGTGGGATTTCGTTAAACCAACTCGTTAACGCTATTGTGGATAGACATATAATGTCATGTAAGAAACCAGCGAATTCTATATCGTCAGACCCCGAACACCCTCTGTATACGCAGCTCTCTCCTTGCATTTCATCTGGTAGAACTAGAAGCAACTATAGGAGGCTATATGCTAGGACTACCAAGTATAAAAACTCCAGAATACCTTATCTGGCACAGCTGTTATGTGATGAGAAATCCGTTAGATATGACACGATAAACTTACTGCGGCACTCTAACAAATAGTTCCCATTAGCTTTTGTTCTCCTTTCTTTGTTACTATTATATTGTTGCTCATATATTCTATTACACACTAATTTTATATTTCATATCCTGTGGTGCATTGTTTAAATATGTGAATGCAATGCTGTTCTTTTTTACTTCTTTTATTTCTCTTTTTGTTGTTCTTGCTTTTTATTTTTAAATCCTTATAAAATTTATGAGTTAATTAGATGTAATATTGTAATGCACGCTGAAAATTCCATAACTGTACCACAAATACTGTTTGGAATAAAGCTATTATTATTATTATTATTATGAAGGGTCCCAAATCAGGAAGAAACAGTTATCCACTAATCCCTGTTGGTTTCCCAATAGTTCCCTAACCGATATCTGTTCATGATGAAATCCTGAAACCAGTCAAATCTTTGCAAACCAAAACTTGAATGAAACTGTTGGTCAAAGACAGACAATATATATATATATATTCAATTTTTAACAATATAATGTCACCATAAAACACACTAACCTTACTTACTTGATAGGTTTTGGTGTGATTTCACTTGATTGATATGCTTATAGGTCAAACGACTTTGGTAACCATATTTCTTCAGAATCTGATAATTTTTCTGTCTGTTGAATCTTTCCCCTGTCATGATTATTCGTGGAGAATGTCGTCTTGTTGTTATTTGACTGTTGAGTCTCCACTGTACTCCTCCGTTCATCATCAACATGATTCTCATCACCGCCATCATCATTAGGATGATCATTGTCACCATTATCCTCATATTTTCGATTCTTATTACTTGACCGCTTTCTATTGAATCTTTCATCTCCTTTCGATAGAGGTAACAATGAACACTCACTCGGATCATTCATACATGTAGTTGGAGTCACTGTAATACTAATCCCTGTTGTAACTACTGTTGTCATTGCTGATATTGGAGTGTCCATCTTTCCGGTAGGGTTATTCTGAGGTTGATGAGGACTAGACTTGACGAAACATCCATCATATGGAAGACATGCTTTATAACAATTTAAATCAATTTTTTGATCAATACAATTAGTATAGTTCTCTTTATCATTACTATTATTATTATTGTTATTATCATTGTCATTATTTTTGTGATTGGAGGGGATTAAATGTCCGAGAATTTTCTGCATAAAATTCGACTTTCTCACAGTTATACCTGTTTGCTGAACTAACTGTTCAGTTTCTTTGTTTTGTTGTTCTTCTGAGGGATAGTTTGTTTTCTGCTCTCGTGTTTGTTCACTTATTTTTTTATCATTAGTTGCATCGCCGTCGTTTTTAGTATTTTTACTTTTACTACTCATATCCTTGTTAGTAGTAATAGAAGCATTACTCGTTAATTTTAAATTATCCGGTAGAATTGAATTAAATAATCGACAAAAAAATCGATTTCCATCTTTCATTAATTCATCACATGTTGACAGTGAATGATTCTTATTCGTATACTGTTTACAACTGCCTTTCTGATTTGGATCACTGGCTAAACCGATAGGTAAATAATGCTCCGATCGATTATTATTTACATAGAGAACAACATATTGTCTCCCCTCGGAATAATATCTCTGTAATAGTCGAAGACGTCGTTGTGTCAACTCTAAAACACGTGTATGCTCTGTAGGCTCTTGTTGACTTGTATAAATGTTAGGCATCGGTGCATAAGCATACCAAGCTTCCACACTACCCTTATTCACTAGAAATACAGCCAGTAAATGATACTGTGGTGTATACTGCCATCTACCGTGGGAATATGAATACTGTTTCGACTTGGCCATGTGTTTCAACAGAACACGTTGGTTGAATCTGTCTCTGACGCGTTGTGCTATTTCCTTGGATAGAATTTGTGGTTCTTTGGTAGTGTGATGATAGAATAATCCATTATTGTGATGCATATTATTATTGTTATTATTATTACTAGTACTATTACTATCGATAATACCACTACTTATATCTTGACCAGTAGTATGTGTGATTACAGGAAGAGCAGGAACTACAGCAGTAGTGATAACAGCTGTACTAGTGGCGGTAATAATTGGATTCCCTGTGCTCAAATGAGTCATTTGAGGTAAATTATATAAATCTGGAGAGGTTTGAACTGTTTGCATTTCTGAGATTGATTTCGATTGTGAGTCATTTGTCCAATCATGTCCTCCAACTCCTCCACCTCGACCACTATTAATCCCAGTACAACCCAATGATGTAGCATGCTTCAACAGGGGATAATATTGATCGTTCGGAGTCACTGAGCCATTCAATGATCGATAGTTGAAGTGTTGTTGTTGTAACTGTGATGGTTCTTGATGGTGAAGTTGGCGTTGTTGTAGTGGGTTGCATGGAGATAGATTTGATATTGATAAGGGTTGATTGACAAGAGGTTTACGGGTTTTATTCTTCACGGAAACACCAGACCAATGACTCGAGTTATCTGTACAATAGGCAGTTGTTGTATGACTTCGACTACTCCATTTCTTTCCATAACCCCCGCCGCCGGATGATTCGATATACATTGGAAAGGATTATTTGTATTGCTGATGGATTATTATTGATTTTTGCTTTTCTCCCCAAAGTTACAGGTAACCTAGAGAGTACAGAATAACCAGAGGAGGGAAAACAACAAATTAATGCAGAAATGTCTTTTGAAGACATGATCATATACAACAAATTTTTATAAAATTTCATCATGAGCTGACATTGGTTAAAGAACCATTGGAAAACCAGCAGGAAGTGCTGGACAACTGTTTCGTCCTGGTTTGGGACTCTTCACCAGTACGCATCCACCGGGATTCAAACCCAGGACCTTCTGGTTTCAAGGCGAGCTCGTAGACCATTAGGCAGCCACTGAGACCCTATCCAATGGCCAACGCATGAATTCTTACTTCTGACAATTTATGACAGCGTGACCACTAGCCAATGTCTTTGGAGAGTATTTGTCCTCACACTTGACCTGGTGCACCCTACTGGTCACGACTTCTCACTAGAACCCCAGGTAACTACCTACCTGAATAGGGCAAGTGGCTAGGAGCATCTCATGGATATTCAAGTGTTGGTTTGTAGAGATTTGATTGGTTACAGGATTTCATCATGAGGTGGTTACAGAACCAGTAGGGTGCAGCCGGTCGGGTGTGAGGACAAATACTCACCGAAGACATTGCCTATGGGTCGCGTTATGTCACAAATTGGCAGGAGTTACAATTCATGGGCTGGCCATTGGATAAGGTCCCAGTGGCTTAATGGTCTACGAGCTCGTCTGATAACCAGAAGGTCGTGGGTTCAACCCCGGTGGGTGCAAACTGGTGGAGAGTCCCAAACTAGGACGAAACAGCTGTCCAGTACTCCCAGGCGGTTTTCCAATGGTTCTCTAAGCAATGTCAGCTCATGATGAAATCCCGTGACCAATCAAATCCCTACAAACCAACACTTAAAAATTTTATAAGTTCTATCACGCATTCATACATCAGTTAGAGAAGTATTGAAAACTGTAGGGTGGGTACTGGACAGTTGTATTGTCCTAGTACTTAGGACCCTTCTCAGTATGTACTCTTAACCCCTCCCCCAGGGATCGAACTCCGGACCTTTGGGTTATAAGGCAAGCTCTCTGGCCATTCAGCCACTAAGAGAGGATTTAGTGACTCTCCTTTATTCTTTCCTGGGCTACACAAAAAGGACTGTGTCATATTAAAGGTTGTCAGTAGGAAAATTAGCTTGTTACTACTGTAGCCGACAAAGATACCCGAACTCATCTGAAAAATGGTCTAAATCCATATTGTCCGACTCTCAATACCTCTCTTCGCAACTCTCCCCGCCTTCCATCTCATTGTGTAGGACTAGAACTTATTATAAAACGTTATATGCTTGTACAACCAACTACAGAAATTTAACGACGCCGTATTTGGCCAGGGTCCTAGGTGACAGAGATAATGTTAAGCGTGAAGCCTACGACTTACTATGTTATTAGAAAATTAATCGGCTCTTTTTTCCTCCTCTCCTATTTGTAATCTATGCTGATACTATTTCAATTAACTCATAATTTTAGCTATCAACATTATTATCGTTGTTATTTTACACTTTTTGTGCATTTCAGACTTTATTGTCACCGCTAATACCAGTTGTCTTCTCTCATTACTCAAGATCAGTTGGCCAGAAAAGATCAGCAACATGGATCTTTGGGAGCGAACCAACCAGGAACCGATTGTGAAACAAATAGGCAGGAAGAAATGGAGATGGATTGGCTGGCCATACTCTGAGGAAACAATCCATCAAATGACATCACTAGACAAGCCATTGCTCGAGTGGAACCCGAAAGGGAAGCGGCAAGTTGGTCGTCAGTGCTAGGGTGGGAGACTTGGAGGAGGTCATGTGAAGAGGAGATGAAAGCGTGTGGGCAGACTTGGAGTCAGGTGAAGACTCTAGCAGAGAACCGAACGCAATGGAGACGCACGGCGGAAGCCCTATGTTCCTCTAGGAATTAAAGGATATAATAATAATAACATTATTTTTTGACTTTTGGTTTCGCTGCTGTCTAGTAAATTAGATAGAATAATGTACCGAATACTGAGAATTCCACACTGTATCGTAAGTACTGTTTTGGAAGAAAGCACCCTGTAAATCGCAATGCCTTATTCTACTATGACGCTCTGACAATTATGCTTGCTAATGGACAAAAGTTTGTTAAAATTGTACACTTTTTATTTTAATTTTATTAAAGAATTCAGGTTGTACGCAGCTGCTGATGAGAACCAAAGAAATAAAATGGATCCAGATTATTCTGTGCCAATGTTTCTTCTTTCTTTGTTCAAATTTATAAAAGGGAATCATTTTAAGAGATCAAATCACTGTTATTATTATTAATTCTAAGTTCTATCAACTAGCGATTTATAGTGCCACCGCAACCCAGTGTCTTCGGCGAGTGTTTGTCCTCTCACTTGATGTGATGGACCCCACTAGTCACGACTTCTCTCCAGCACTTGACACAACTTCATCATGGAATCAGTCATTACTGAGCTTCAAATTGATTTTCAGGTTTCAGTTGGTAGGAATGCAATGAGTCACAGGTGTGATTACGGATTGATATCAATTAGAGAACCATTGAAAACCAAATGAGTACTGAACACCTGCTTCGTCCATATCCAGGCCTTTTCAGCAGTACGCATACATGATGCCACCAGAGATTGAATGCAAAACTCTTAGTTTGCAATCAGCTGGATCTATCAGTTTGAGTATGAAGATACATAATCACCGAAGACATTGGTTGGCGTTTGCGATATGCATCTCCAAAATAGCAGAAGTTGTAATTCATGACCGATTGGATTGCACATGCTCCCCGGGAACCAACACTTATAAATTCCTATAATGTTTAACAGAGGAAAAAAAAATCGCCTAGTGTCTGCACTTGTAATTGTGTTTTTTCATTCTTCGAGTTTCAATTGGGACATATGGATTAAAGCTTCAACCACCGAAGTTTCGGTAGCGGCGGTATTTGAATTTCATGAGCTGGGGTCCCTAAGCTGACGGTCAACCATCTCCTTTTTCTCTGAGGGTTTACTAGTGACCAAACTAGGCGAAGTTTAACAGTGGAGTCGAACTAAAACCTTCACTTGATTTGTGAGTATTCTATTATTAAACCGCTGGCTCTAAAATCTGTCTACTCAAACTGAGAATCGAACTAGGGCCTTCCACGTGACAGGAGGAATTATTCCCCGCTGCAGTTGAAGTTACAGTAGCCCAACCGGCTAACAAGTCTACAACTTCTTACTCATTATTCTACAACCTCTCAGCGTTTATGTGTCTGAACAGATTTTTTGTATGTTGTATGTATGTGTGTAAGTACGTGCTAAAAGTTATTGTGTGAGAACATCTCAAGTTGTTTTACTTAGATACAGGGGGATTCTAATCCTAAACGCTTTTGGCTGAACCTCTACACCAATGAGGCACATCTACTCGCTTCTAATACAATAAGACAATAAATAGATTTAGAGACTTCACACATTCCTAGGTAACATAATAGTAATAGTAATAATAATTCATCAGCTGTCCAGTGGTAGAACCTTCACAAATCGCTTAGCTGGTAGTAATCTCACTGAGGAGGCAAGGTTCAGTGTGAGACTATCAACCCCATCCTGTGAAGAAACAAATGAGAAAGTGGAGGGAATGAAAATAATAGTGATAGTAATATTAATATTAATAAATAGTCATTATTATTTTTACGAGTTGACCACGGACTGATATCAGTTAGAGAATCATTGAAAACCAGCACTGGAGTACTGGACAGCCAGCTGTTTCATCCTAGTGCTTGGTAATCATCGGCAGTACGCACCCACCACTGGGGGTTCAAACCCAGGACGTTCCGGTTACAAGGCAAGCTGGCTCGTATACCATTGTGCTTGAAACGTGGTCATCAGTTAATATTTTCCTGTCATTAACCATCATGTAATTATTAGTTTTTGTGGTTGTTTTCTCTTATTTTTTATTTTTTGCGGTAATATTAACTGACAATCTTGGTTGTGAACGCCATTGTCACCACCTTAAAATTTTTTATCATGCAGGATTACTCAAACTACCACTACAAACACTGCATTATACCTGACAATAAAAAACAAAACAGCAACCCTGAAATGTTATTTTATGATTGCTTAGTGTTGTTTCAACCAAATTAACTGATCATCTTGACGATAAACATTCTTAGATATCATTTCATAACTTCTTGTATGACTATAGCTTTACTGTCACCGTGCCTAATCACATCATAGCTTCCACTACCCAATACTGAGTTATTATTAAATGCTGTTTATTTTCCTTTCTACTTCTTGGTATTTTTTCACATTTTTAAAAATTATTTTGCGTTTTTCCTGTTTTTTTTTCGCTGTTGGTGTCCTTATATTTATTTTTTTTTGAAATACTCCTTTTAAAAGTTTGATAAAATTAGATGCAAATATTGTAGATATGTGCTGAAAATTCCACACTGTACCACTAGTACTGTTTCTGGAATAAAGCAAATTATTATTATTATTATTACTGTATAACAACACTGTGTAAGACTTTATCAAAATAAATTTTTGACCCACAATGGAATTTCTGACTTTACCCAATCTGAAACCCTTTCGAGTGATGTTGTTGTTGCTATTATTACCATCATCCCTGGATTACAAGGTATACACACTTCAACACTGATAATCACGCGATCAGGATTAAGTAAACAGACAATCGCCTGTCAAAAATAAAACCAGACCAACATACACACACACGAACAAACAAAACACAAACAGTCACAATGACAGTGTAGGAAAAGAAACAAAAACCACGGAGAAAACCAAATCACAACGCTTGTTTTTGTTTCTTTCACTGTAACTGTTTGTGTTTTGTTTGTTCGTGTGTATGTTGGTCTGGTTTTATTTTTGACAGGCGATTGTCTGTTTACGTAATCCTGATCACGTGATTATCAGTGTTGAAGTGTGTATATCTTGTTATCCATGGTTGATGATAATAATAATAATAAAATCACTCGAAATGGTTTCAGATTGGGAAAGTCAGAAATTCCATTGTGGGTCAAAAATTTATTTTGATAAAGTCTCACAGTGTTGT